TCGAAACGTATAATTGACCTTGAAATAGACCTATCTAATGACCTTGAATGGTAGCCATCTTCACGAGAGAAAAAGAACCCACAGGAGAGGAGCTGATTGCCTGCCAATTGCAAGAGCAGAAGGCGTTTATTTAAACAGCTCTTATCTCAAAAATTTGTTTCCTTTAATTAACTTACTTCTCATAGTTCAGGTCATATATTACTGTCCTTAACCACTCATTGAATGTCTATATAGCCTTAGAGACGAATCCATTAGCAGACCCAGGACGAGAAACGCTCCCTTTCCTTTCCATTCCTTTTCATTCCTTTCATTTCAACCGCCACAAGTGTGCGATTCAAAAAAGGGATTCCTGAACAATAAACCAGACGAGAATCAATTGACAGACTAATATTTCAAATATTCTATTCCGCCACCACCGTCGGCCCATCCACAGACCCACTAGTCCCTACTGAGTTGCGGTCGAGGCTAATTTACATGACTTGCGTCAGGCTAATTCGGCCAGGTCAATAGCTTGAAGGGGGGCAAAATGATGTTTGCTTTATTACGTAATTACGGGAGTAAACTTAATATTGACGGAGCGACGACGGAACCGGCTGCTTTGGTGGGGACCTTGTGACTCTTTTAAAAGCTACCCGTCCCTAAGTGATTTCAAAGTGTACACCGTAAAGGTCGATTTAAAACGAAACCCCATTATTCCACGTTAATGTCTCCTTGCAGAACGAGTCCATATTATTGGATCCTTCGGAAAGTCCGTAGCGTTTTTTTATAGGCAGAGTTACGGTCTACGTTTTTCAATTTATATTTTGTATTCTTATTCATTAGGTTTTTTTATTATTTCTTTATATTTCCCAAATAATTTCATTCCATCATTTATAACATATTTTATCATATATTTTTAATTTTTATTACCTTAGTTAAAAAGCTGTTCAACCTGCTTCTACATAGATTTTGTTTTCTCGCTACAGAATATTCTAGCGATCCAAAGGAATAATCATCCCATAGAACAAAGTTTAATTAATCAAACAAACGGCTATAAAATCTTCCAGTCGGAATATAATAATTCCTTTTCACAAATAAGCTTCCCTCGTCCACTAACCAGGCGTAACCAAGCCACAATGCTTCAAAACTCTACGAAATTCTCCAAACACCCCAATACAAAAAGCTTGTCTCATCACCTCTGTACTAATTTCTATTTACCAACTGCGCCTATCCAACATAACATCGAGACCCCGTGTGTCACGTTGTCAGAATTCACAGTAGCCCAGAGATCGTGGCAGCAACATTTCCGTGTAACACCACGAACCAGAGAGACGTCCACGTTTCATCGCTCGGAGATGCTCCATTTTCGTGTTGAAAACGTCCATTCGGCCGCGGCGTGGTGAATCGAGACGCAAACGCAAGGCTATTGTTCGGTCGGCACAGCCGCGACTATATAAAGGCCGTATCGCAGTCGCCGCGAAGGAGGAAATTTGCACGGCCGCGGGGCGGAGCGTACATTTCGCGTTCAACTTTACCTTTTGTCGCGACAACGAATACACACACACACTGGGTCCCATCCGGAGTTTCTACAACGCGTGCACGCAAGGAACCGCTGGTCCGTTCCCTTTGTCGGCGTCGAAGCAGCGCCCCCCCCCCCCCATCCAGCTTGTTGTTAACTTCCCTTGAGTTAACTTTTCCGTCGATTTCCAGGCTTTCTTGCCGGGTCGCGAGATTGCGGTAAGAAATTCCCGACCCTCCCCAAAGTCGGAGAGCGAGTTACTAGGAACTTCGAACGAGATTACAACGGGTCGGGAGGATCGAAGCGTCCCAGAAACAGTTTTTCGATGTTGCCCCGTGGGACTCGGTGCATCGCCGTGCCGGTCGGGAATCGTGAAAAACTTACTTCGTTGATCGATTTTGTCGCGTGAGAATCGATAGGTGGTGGTGAATTTTGAAGGAAGAATCGATGGAGGTAATATTTGCCTGACGAACCGCTGAGTTGTACCACTTGGCTTGGTAAATATTGACTTTCAACACTTGTCTGATCATACGGACGGTTATACCACTTGTAAAACTAGATATATATATATACACTACTTGTTACGACTAGATAGAATGTGTGATGATGTACGAACTTGTACAACTTGTACGAGCCACTGCCGACACCCGCTACATGTCCGATGGACATCTGATCTGTACTACTTGTCACGTCAGTTGCAGACTTATACTACTTGTCTAACTTGTCACTGTATAATACATCAAGCTCTGTATCTACTTGACCGTGAAGTATTTTTACCCACATCGATCAATATCTTACTTAACTCAATGATGTCAGTATACTACTACTCTCTATGCAACTGGCCACGTGACTGGCTTGGGTAGCCAACTTGAAAAAATTGATTGGAAGTCTACAAAATCTTGTTTAACTACATATTTATCCATGATAAATGGGGATCATGAATGGAATGTAATGTTGCATAAAATTTCTCGTATTATTTAGCCTCTTTGGATCTAAGTCAAAATATACAACTCTTTAAAAACAAAACAACCTCACTTCAATCAAATAACAGACTTATTTTAGCCTTAACTCTTCTTATACAAAAGTCAGTCTTAGAATGTTTAACATGAAGCAGCAATCAAAATTGTAGTTCCGAAACTATCTTTAAACGTGCTAACAATCACAAGAAAAATAAATTAAACTTCAAACAAAATGCATATATCGATCTTTAAAGATTCATTTACGGAAACTAGAAGCAAGCAGACATTTCGTTACTGCGTTAAAAATTCTATCAACTCCCTTATAAAATAAGAACAGTACTAAAAATAAAAATTCTTTAAATACATAAAATCTTCAGTCTAATTATCACTTTCTAGCCCTCATAAATCCTATCCCCATGAAACACGTAACGAGCCCCAGTGCTAAAGCAACATTAAATACACACCGTTCTCCGACTTCTTGCTCGCTGTAACGCGCGTTACACGAACACCAGAACCGACGCGATGAAAAATCCTTTCAAGTCACGGACAAACCGAAACGATACAATTTCATTCGTCTCGGGCGTTCAAGTTCGCAGCTACGGAGAACAATACTTTCGCCGTTCGAAACAGTCGAAAGAAACGGTACATAATTAATCCTCGCTCTGTTATGTCCCCATAGAACCTCGCGAACGATAACGTCGTCCGACGAGAATTAAGCTTCCGTTTCCACTGTTTTTCTTTCTCTTTTCAGTTCCTCACGCGACCGCCTCGCGATATCCGTGTTTCGTAGTCGACGGCGCGACAAATTGACGTTGATAAATTCCCCTTTTGTCACAAAACGATGCATCATCCGCGCCAGGTCTCAGACATCGCGGCGGACGAATCGAATTATTCCTGAAAATTGTTCCACCGCCTCTGGTCTCACCTCCTTCTACCGTTTTCGTCGTCGTCGCTTCGAGAACGGTTTTGTTAGCGTACCTAGGAAAATTCTCCGTTCACCGTATCGAAAGAAAGAGAGAGAAGGGGAGTCCCAGACCGTATACGACGGCTTGTGAACGCGTCCGTCCGGTTGTATTTATTCGAGACAACCCCCCAGCTACTTTCGCGATTTATACGCGTAAACTGCAGGCTCTTTGATCCTGTGCCTCGACGTCCGCTCCCGTGATCGAGCACCGTACGGGAAACGAAATGTCTCGAGGAATGTACTGTCGTCGTCGCTTGTGAAATGCAAAAGCTCGCGGGGGATGACCTCGTTTAAGACGCTTTCGACGGAACAGCGGAAGAAACTGTGCTGAACCGTGGCCGACCGGGCGAGAAAAATTATTGGGGAGAAAATACGGATGATATGTTCCAGTGGGAACGAACTGTCTTGCTGATAGTGTCTTATATTTCTTGTTAATCGCGTTTTATAGCTCGTTGAACGCATAGAAAATGATGGTAACTTGAGGAATAAAAATATAGGGAAAGGCAACTTTCTGGGGGAAATGTTGATTATCTTGAGAATAGTTATTGCCTTATTGAAATAATGTATTATCTTGTGAGTTACGTGATACGTCGGTGCTGGCCATTGTAGCGTGTAACATTGTCAGAACTTTGTATGATTACATCGGAATAAAATGGAACGATTTGGGCTAATGAACGGCTGAGTTGTACCACTTCGAACAACAGTGTTACTTGATTTGTGAGTGTATGAAATGTATGAAAATTTTGTTTGACTGATAAAGAATGAATAGAAGAAATGTGTACACAGAAAATCTTGATGTGATGTTTGTTTGATTACTTGTTTACTCGTATCTGTGTTCGTTATTTCAATATTATAATTAAGAAGCAGTATGTTTTTCAGAATCTCATATCTAGACAATACACTGCGTGGCATAACTATAAAACCACCCTAAAATTTTCAATTCTTATGTACTGTGGTTAAAATTAAAACACACCGAGTACGCCATGTCTAAAATCGTGTTGAGAAATAATGTTTCTCCAAAAAAGAACAGATTATATACCCTAGAAGAAAAGGTGGTTCGTTTTTATTTTAACTACAATACATAACGATTGAAAATTGTAGGGTAGTTTTATAGTTATGCCACGCGGTGTATATTTTCTCATATCTGGCATAACTGACGTCGTCGAGACCAAAACCAAAAAAAACTGGGAAAGAATCGCTTATTTTCTTGTCTGAGCATGACCGCCCCATTCTACTTATCTCGACCATTCCACCTAGCTACTCTACTTTCCCAACGGCCTACTATTCTACCACGTGCTATCCTAATCTGCTTATCCAACTAAATAGCGTACTGTTCGTTGCGTCTGATAAGACGCTGACCTACTCCCCTTATCCAACCGTAGGCTGTGGACCCCTCCACCTTTCTCCTTTATCGTCAGCTCGGTCGCGGTCATTCCCACTCAGAAACTCCGTCATTCGTTTAACAGCACCGACCGCTCCTCCATCATCCTTCCAGGCACCGATATAAAGTTACAACTTCCCGTTGTACAATTTTCTCACCGGCACACACTGATACCAAGGGTAAACGAACATTTTGCAGTCGGCCCGCTGGACGTGAAGATAATCGGGGCGAACCAGCCACTGTCGGCGGGCAAGAGGTACGAGCTTGTGTGCTTGACTTCCGGTTCTATGCCGCCGGCCATGGTCACCTGGTGGAGGAACGAGCAACGTTTGGTGGGCTCCAAGGAGACCGTAAGTAGATCCCGAACTAACCGTCTATTCCCTAGCCGAAAGTACATCGAAGTCGACTATTTGCATCTGTGAAATGTCTCACAGCCGTGAACAATATACAGGGTATTCCCAAATTGCTCGACCGCATTTCACTAAGCGACCAGAATAACTGATAGAGCACACAAGACACTTAGCTAAACGGAACAGTTACGGTTCACAGGATTTTTTGGATATTCTGGAGTATTCAGAATTTGAAAGAACTGAAGCGTTCTTAACTTAAATGACAAGGAGAGGGCTCGAGATGGTCAAATGGAATTGTGATGCGCTTTTGCAGGATGGTAGCGAGGTTAACCCTTACCCAAATCTAAAAGTGTAGGTGCCTACTCTTATTGATTTTTTAAATAATAGGTATTGAAGTTCTACGGTCCCTTATATACTTTAGGTGCGTTTACACATTTATATTTATATTACAAAGAATAATTATATTTATATTATAAAGAAGATGAAAAAAAGAGTATTTTGGTACTAGGATGTGACGGACGCCACTGCTCCATTAACTCTGACAGTACAACATTCGCGCCTAATGTGTATAAGCGGCCATAAAACTTTAATACAGATTATTTAAAAAATCAATAAGAGTAGGCATGTACGCTTTTGGATTTAAGTAAGGGTCAACCTTTCTACTATCCTGCAAAAAAGCATCGAAATTCCAGACACCCATCTCGAACGCTCTCCTTATGAATGAATTCGAACTTTATCGACTGGAATCAAGACTTGTTAGAGGAAAACTCCTAAGCAGACCTTACCTAAAACACGATGGTGCTCGAAACTCGGTTTAGGACTCATTGTTCTAGTTAGAAGTCTTAAGTGCCTTTATACAACAACTAAAAACAAGTCCAAACGGTAGAAACGGTCAATCCCTTCCATCAACTGAACCGTTAACAAAGCTGATCGATCAATTTGGGAGCATCCTGTGCAGAGAAATCAAGGATGAAACGAGAATCGACAAAGGGACCGGTCTCTGTCTGATGAGCATCCACGTCTGTTGGATATCGTTTCGGTAGGACTGCAGCAAAGGAGGAATCGGTCGTGAGCATACTGACGGGATTTCGATTCAGCATCGTCGGAGCATGCACTCAACATAATTTCTAATCCCTCACGTAGGCCCATCCCTTGAAGGAGCCGTAAAATCGATGCCTCGCGCCCATCCTCCTCCTCTTCGGTGTGTTGCGAGCTCCCACGTGATAGCGTGCGAGGATATCGTTATCGCGGGGCCGTGGGCCGCGTGGTTTAAGCCACGCTGAAAGCGCCATTAGACGGCGGAATAATTTAAATCAAAGTAAGCCAGTGACGTGATAACGGTGTCCCCGACTCCGCGGGCCCTCGAGTGTATGTCTCCCGTTACTGGCGGCCGTAATTAAGGCAAATTGGCCCCGCGGCATCAGGGGGTGGGTGGGTTGCCGCCTCGCCGATTAATTAGCCCTTGGGACGAATGTGCCGCGACCGGAAAAACGACGAATCGAAAAAGGGATTCTGGAAGGGACGTGTTAAAGGTAATTAACGGTCCCGAAGAGTCGTTTCCCCGTTGTACTTTTTGGTGATCGGGCTCGCGGGCATTAGAGCTTGCGTTGGTGGGTTTTCGAAATTTTAGAGGCACGGTTGGAACGTGAATTGCACGGAACAAGGGCGAACGGGTGAAACAATGCCGGGGAGTAATGGAAAAATGGAAAGAGTAGTTTGGTGGGAAAGAACTGTCGGGAAATAGTGTATTCGAATTAATGGGAGTCCGTGATGGGATTGCAGGGAAATAGAATGAGTTTGGTTAGAGGGTGTAGTGTGAGGAGGAAAAAATGAGAGGATAGAATAGGTTAGAAAACTGGAAAAGAAAGGAGAAAGAGATGGAAGTGCAATAGGATTTACGAGACTTATTGGTAGGTAGTAAGGAAAAAGATAAATACAGCAATAATGGAGGACGTAAGTTAGGGGAATAAGACGGAAAAGAATGAAAGGTGAAGGTAGGTAAGTTAGTTTTGTACAGTTAGGTTAAGTGTAAAGCAAGGACAAATTTATTGGTTGTCAGGCTGAAATAAAGAATATACATAGATATATAGGGTGTCCTAGATTAAGAAAAAAATGTTATATAAATATAGGTCGTGTGAAGCTTTATTAAAAAATTATAACAAGAAAAAACGAAATACGAAGGGAACAGTAACAGACTTGCGGTTACTGAGATACAATGTAGGAATAGACCAGCACTATTTACATTTAGTCTGTTTATTAGACCTCTGTTTACTATCTGAGGCTGTTTACTATCTGAGTATACATTCAATGCTGGTAGTTCTAGTGTTAATGAAATACTGTTACCAAATGGTTTATTACTAATGTTTGCATAATATATGTACAAAATACTTTATATTTGCTCTACTTTAACAATTCTACCGGACATCTGACTCCTATCCACACAGACAGTACAAAATATCTCAATCCGTCTGACCATACGAATTCCATTCTACTTATTTAGCACGGAGCTCGTACGAACCTTATATCAGCGGTATCGTCCCACCGCAAAAGATTGCCCGGAAATTTCTGTCAATTCAAACAGAAAGTGTTCACGTAGGGAAGATGCGCGTCGTAAGCGTTAGGAGTAGACTGAGTCGGAAGAAACGAAACTTTCGAAACTGTAAGATTACAGGAGGAAGTGGCGGAAGACGAAGAAGTAGAAGAAGAAGAAGAAGAACGATCTCGTTTCCTCCGACGTCCTATAGATTATGGTTCCGCCCCCCGTCGTATTCCTTCTTACGCCTCATCCTCTTTTGTTTAACTTTCTTATATAAGCGACGGAGGGAAAGACTTACGGAATGAGACGTATCGACTTTGGAACAATATTTTCTCCGTTTCGATCCTCAGGCTACACTTTCTTCCACCCCTTCTCGCTCTCAATCTCCGCGGCTCAAATATTTATATCTTGATTAAGTGACACGCCAACGCGAATGAAATTCCAACGGTTGAAATTAAAATTTCTAATTTACAAGTAACGCGCCGTGCCCCTAGAAGATTAATGTCAAACGATAAAATTAATATTTTCTTTTACCGTGGGTAACGCGTAATTCAAACACCCCGCCCCTTTCCCCACTACAGACGAGGTAGACAAATTGGAGGGAAGTGAAGACTTAACGAAGTCCCGGGGATGTTCCGATGTAACTTTCCATGGAAACTAGGCCTTCGATACATCCCACGGTTAATGATAACATATTGCTGTATTATCGTCGGGGATAATGGGAAACAGTGGTGAGGAACTTTTCGTAGTTCTGCCCCCCGGAACCCCACGAGACGATAAATCACGGGATACTCTTCTTCTTCCGTTTCTTCCACGGACTGTTATGTACGAGAACCATACAGATAATTAAATCGAAGAATTTCTAAAAGAACCCCCCGCATCGATCAACGTCATTCTTACCTTTCACCCGTTTATGATTCGAAATAACAGTGGGAAAGGAACTACGATGTTCCGTGATAGAGGAAATTTAAAAAAAGATAGACGGGAACTGAATTAAAAAAAGCAAAAACGAAAACTACATTAAACCAGAAAATTGCTCCGTGTGTAACGTAGAGATTGAGGCAGGTATTTGTAGAGACCTGACTGCGGTGTACGCTTTCTATTAAGAAGCACGGTGGAGAGCGAGAGAAGCGAAATGAGAAAGAAGAGAAAAGAAAAAAAGAATATCGAAGCCAGGAGGAGCGAAGCGAAGTTATCATAATGTTGTTACAGAGTTCTGGCGATGGGAACACGACCACCAGTATCTTGCCGTTCACGGCGACCAAGGCAGATGATGGCAGACACTTGTCGTGTCGGGCTGAAAATCCAATCATGGGAACCGAGCCGATAGAGGACGGCTGGAAGCTCGAGATACAGTGTAAGCGTATTAAAGACACACTCGAGAGATCTCCGCTACTCCCGTTCCCCCATCCCTCTGGTACCCATCGGCCAGTTTGATCGATCTGTTACGATTATTACGCTACAGGCTGCGACTTATTGACGTTTTCAATTTGCAGACACGCCGGAGACCAGGATACAACTGGGCACGTCCCTCAATCCGAACGCGATACGAGAGGGCACCGACGTTTACTTCGACTGTCTGATACAAGCCGAACCACTGGTGTATAAGGTGGAGTGGCGGCACTTGGTGAGCGAAGAAATTTATTCAGAAATGTTCTTTGGACAATAGAAAATTGGTGTACACTATGTAAACGAATAGATTATGGTAATAATTACTAGTTAGAAATACTGTACATTGATTGATACTACTTATCTGGCCAGATATACAGTTCCTACCTTACTTGTCTGATCAGTCATTGCCCCTATACTACTTGTGTAATAGAATAAGGATCTTGTACTACTTATATGATCACGTATGGTCCCTATACTACTTGTTTCGCCAAATGATGTACCTGTACTACTTTTCTAGCTAAATGTTGTACCTATACTACTTGTATGGTCGCCATATTGCCCTCCTGATCAGAAACTACCTCTATACTACTTCTGAGACCAAATACTTGTCCTACTCGCCTGTTTTTTAATAGTAATTTTCTACGAAACCATATTTATAAATATTACTTAAGATTTTTTCGATTGGGCAATAAGAATTCTATTCTTAATTCTCTTTGGTTAGGTTTAAGAAAGCAGAATCTGGACCTCCTTTGGTTGCCTCTGATCTCTTGATCTTCTTTCCTTTTATGCTATAAAAGGATCTACAATTTCACGTATTTTATTATCCCTATCCCTTGACCATGAGCATGGGCCGTTATATTGTTCTAGCTTAACCAATCGGGTTCAACTCCTTTGTATGATCAGACAACTTCCATATTGTACCCGATTGAATCAATATTAGCTGTAGTCTACTTGCTCCTATTAAAAACGGTTTCAATTTACTCTGGTTGATTAATAGCCATCATACTTCACGTTGAACGGCCACCTTGTTCCCATTCTACAATCCCTCGTTTTCTATCCGTTCTGAAAATATTCGATCAGTTTCACCAGAGGTATCAATTCCATCCAGTGAAACGTATAGCGTAAAAACCTTGATTTTCACATCGAGATTGTCTCCTGCCCGAGGTTTCGAGTTTTGCGTCGACACAGATCTTTCATCGCTATTCCATCAGATGTTTCGTCTTCCTGTTCCTTTGATTACTTTCGGCCAGTAAAGGCTTCTCACAGGAAACCGCGTCTTTTCATCACTGGCCGCAATTTATAAAAAAAAAAAAAAAGAACAAGCTGTTTTCCGAGGATCAGAAACTCCCGAAAATGGTCCATTTCCAGGGTGTACTGGATACCGAAAAGTTCGCCGGTTGTACGAGGCAGCCTTTGCTAGGCGACTTGAAAGAGTCCGAGCCGGGGAACCCGGTAGTCTATTAGTATAAAAAGGGGGAAACAAACTTCCGACGAACAAGGTATTCAAAGTTTTCTAATAAGTTCGATCGCAGGGAGCCAAAGTCTCTCTATATCTTGCTGTATCCTCCGACCGCAAGAAAGGTAAAGCAACACGTGCACACCTTTACAGGCGTGTCCAAATATATTCCCAACGAAAACCGCTCAATTCAGCGAATATACAGGTTGATCCAAAAAAAGGGTTCGTGACTTCTAGGGTAGATAGTACTCGCCAAATTATGAAAAAATGGTGTCGATAAACATAGGTTGAAAAATTAATATTTTCAAAGTTATAAACAATTTTTGTTTTCGGTTAAAGCGACTGACTTTCTCGCTTTGGGAGCTATCATATCGTATTGAAACAATTGATTACATTATCATTTCTCCTTTTCCTGGTTACAGAAGGTTTTTGACAGTTTTTATTAGTTTTTATACAATTTTCTTCATACATAACTTTGAAAATATTATTTTTTCGACCCCTCTTTATCAGGACATTTTTCCATCACTTGGCGTGTACTATCTACCCTAGCAGTTATGAATCCTTTTTTTGTATCACCCTGTATATAGTCCTGGTTAACGCAACAGATAAATACGCCAAGCAACAACTGAACACAAATTCAAACACAATTGAGAAATCATAAGATTCAGACACTTAAGTTTTCTGGAATGCTAGACAGCACAAAAACTGATGTATTTATTATCGCTCTGTTCCAGGGTAAAACTCTCCATCACAACATCACACAGGGTATCATTATTAGCAATCAGAGTCTAGTGCTGCAGGGTGTCGACCGTAAAAGCGCGGGTAATTACACCTGCGTCGGGTACAACACCGAAGGAGACGGGGAAAGTTCTCCGTTCTACTTGAACGTGATGTGTGAGTATTCCCGAGCATTCTCGGCGAATTATTTAGAAACCCTGCACCACGGAACAATTCGAATTTAAGAGGACATTCTACTATAGCCGGACAAAAAAATTTCTTTTTCTTGCATTTTCTGCTAGCTTGGGATCCTAAAAATGTGTTCCTGAAGAAATTTTGGGAAATTTATAAAATTGTCAAATCTATAGAAGAATAAAGGACGAATCACATATCACACGCCCATATCGCATACAAACTTTAAAGGCGTTTTTCTTAAAACCCTGTTTTGGAAAATGATTGCCACGATATCTTAAAATCTACTTCACCGATCTGGCCCATCTTGTGCACACATCTTCAGCAGGTGTGACGCTATCGTCCCTACAAGAATTACTTTTTTTTCTTTATTAAAATTTTTTAATATTTCAACCCAAATGTGGAACCTGCGATAGTCATCCCCGAATAATTTAGAATCTTTTTAGCTTTTTAGATAGCTTTAGAGATGGTCGACTTTCATGGGCTGCACAGCGCCAGCTTTATTTCATATTTTCAACCAAACAAAATTTTCATTTATAGTTTAAGATATAACAAATGCATAAAGAAAGATTCAGCATAAAAATCTTTCATTAAATCCATAAAAAGAATTCCTAATAAAAGTTAAGAAAATCGCATATCACAGTATAATGTCCCCTTAAGGTTTCGATCGTGTTCGCCTAAACGAATCTCGAAAGTACTAAGAAAACACGACACAAGGCTGACACTACCGTCCGTATTTTGGAAAATTCTCAATTCTGGAAATTTGTCTGTACGAGCCAGAACAATGTGGACCGATTTAAATCGTAATTTTCCAGTCGCGCCCACCTGCAAACCGAATCAGGCGAAGGTCCACAGCGTGGCGAAACAAGAAAAGGCAAACATATCCTGCCAAGTGGACGCGAACCCGTCCGAGGTGAAATTCCGTTGGACCTTCAACAATTCCGCCGAGAGTATCGACGTGGCCTCCGGTCATATCGCCCGGGCCGGCACATCCTCGATCGTCTCGTACACACCCATGACCGAATTGGATTACGGCACGTTGCTCTGCTGGGCGAACAATCGAATTGGAGATCAACAAGTGCCCTGCGTCTATCACATCATACCGGCCGGTGAGGTATCTTTATGTGGTAATTCGATCATGGAGATTCCCGTCGACCGTGAGAACCTCGTCGTGTATGTGTGTGTGTTGGGTAACATCCTGCACGATATACGACCGATATATATATGTCTATAGATCAAACGAATAAGGACCGGAACGATCAGAAGTGAGATGACGTAAATTTTTCGTGAATATCTAGGAGAAAGAGTCTATTAGGGTAAGCATATGCATGTGACCTCCATGTCAATTTTTGTTGTTATTGTGTGATAAACAATGTTCCTTACTTGAAACATCATTCTGTAAAATTTTAGATCGCTACCCCGTCGTTTAAGGATAGTATGGGGGCAAACGCCCTGAACTTTATCATTTTTTTTATCAGTGACTACTAAAGATATTTAAATGGAGGAACAATGAAAACGTAGCTGAATGTTAGATCCAGTACGTATATTTTTTTCAGAATTGTACATCAATTGTTATGGATGGAAAAAGATAGTTTATTTTTCGAGGTGGTATTTGCAAAGGATCTCTTGAGTGGCAGCCACGAAAAAAATAAGGAATGTTCTGTATTATCTAACTATTATCTGTAAAAGCTTCAGGAACGTCGGTATGGAGAATAAAAAAACACAACAGAAAGCTGGTTTAACAGAACACTGCTGGTTTGAAAAAACGAGATAATATTCTTGAATTATCCCACTATTATGTTATGAGCCTAAATTAAACGCAAATTGATAAACTAATCTTCATTACTATTTTTATCAATAACTGCCGTTCTATCAGTTGAGTGAAATAAGTGCGTCAATATTTCAGACGGTTTAATAATTTTCTATTTATAACGACCATGTAATACTCGTAAATAATGAATAATCGCAGGTACGGGCAAAAAGCGTCCTACTGTTCTGTTGCCATTTGCACAATCGCATGTGTACCGTTGTACAACTGTGTAGCTGATAGAATTAGATTTCTATTCACTATACAACTGATATATTTTGCGATTAATGTGTCTTGAGCAGATTTTCATTTGTATAATATTACTATATACTATCTTCTGTTAAAAATTCCACATTTAGAGTGGAATATTATCCCCATATTACCGTTAAACCAGGGGTTAGCGATCTGAAATTTTACAGAATGGTGTTTCGAGTAAAAAACATTGTTTAAAAAACAATAACAACAAAAATTGACACGGGGACCACATACTTACCCTACTAAACTCTTTGCAAGTTGAATATCGCGAACGAATAGTTGAAGATTTTCCCAGAGTGTAGAAGTCCGTAGAATTAACCTGTTATTCTCGTCTGACCGGTGAGAAGCTACTTGTCTATTCTACTTATCTAACCGTGCAAGGGCTCGTATCCCGTGTCCGACCAGTGGCGGTTCTATTCCACTTACCTGATCAGGGAGGATCTTAATTCCCCTTGACTGGACGCCATCCCGAGCTACGTGTCTGGCTCGATACTGCCCGTTCTACTTTCTGCCTTATCACCTTTTTTGCAGCAGCTGTCCGTCTAACCGCTGTCTCATTCTACTGAGACAATGAATAGCTCTTCAGCTGAAACTTTCAGTTCTCTCTCTTGAACCAGAGCAGTAGTTTAATCACTTTTAATTTTCCTACGAAAGACAGAAAAATGTTCCTTTTCTGTTTCATGAAAATTTTAGTGTAATTCAATGATCACTGATATTTTCCCTCTCGTACAATCTTCTACGTAATATATCCAAACGACAATGCAAAATTTCGACTGAACGGTACGACTCGATCGTTTGATAAAAAAATTTTTCAGCCAGGTATCGGACAGACGGCACGTTACGTGGAAGCAAAAACGAACTGTCCACAGTCGAAGTAATTACAACGAAATTCTGGCAGTACCTACGTTAATCCAGAGTTGTTCGCGCTATTCTGACTTTTCAGGAGCGGCAATCCCCGCCGCACTGAATCGAGGAGTTTGGAGATTAAAATGGAAGTTCGTTACGACGTGTGCGACTGTCGATGACTGCATAGGTGTGGGTAAACGTGTGTGTGTGGATGGCACTATTTTGCAATGGAATTTCTCATCGATCTATCGAAACAATCCAATTGTTACAGCCTCAAAAAGCGCGGTCTTTTGAATGCCATGCTGAAATCCGCTTTTAGAAACTCTTATTCCGCCCCCGTGTACTTCAGTATTTGACGATTATTCACATGAATTACCCAAATTAAAACGTAGGTTAATGGAATTCCATTCCCTTTTTTTTCATACGAATTCTTCAACAGGTTTCAATTTGATATCAGGCTTTAATCGTGAATATTTACAGTTTTTACCATAAAACACGTTAATCCCAAGTCAAAGCTAAGGCTTAGCTACTTTTCGAAGCACAGAACAACGGTCAGAATTTTCTCGTGAAAGAAGAATTTCGAAAAATCAAATGGCGAACGATTAAATTAAAAATCAACGCGAATTATATACAGTGAGTGTACAAGATGGTTGTTTGAAAACGTTGGGAAAATTTTCTTGCTTCCCCTTTGAAGCGTTTCTTCTTGTCAGTCTCTGGAACGACGCTGCATATTTTCCTTTTCCTTCGCTGGCTAATTACTGTTCGACAGCGGCGAACCGGCGTCTGCTGTCGAAAATAAACTTTGAAAGAAAACTCGGTTTCGTATTCTGTACGAACGAAATTACAAGGTGAAACTTCCTGGGGAAACGTGGCTACGTAAAACGTAGTATAATGCGAATTTTACGAACTGTTAGTAGAAAAAAAGTGTCCCATTAATCACGGACTTTACCATTTGTCTGAGCGTATACGGACTTATACTACTTTATTGGCTGAGTATTGATATATGTGATTTGTTTTGTACTACTTTTCTGAATATTTACTTACTTATACTATTTATTTTAAAAATCTCTGCCACACGCTACATGCTTGGTTAGATATTATTTTTACCATTTGCCTGAAAGTCTATGGACCTATACTCCTGGTCTGAGTATTGATTTGTGTTAATTCTACTACTTATCCAAATAGTCATTTACTTATACTATTTATTTGAAAAATCTCTACTACTTGCTACACGTCTAGTTAGATATTCACCTATACTATCTGTCTTCTGATGGTGGTTGTCTAATAACTATTGGCCTATACCACTTAACTAATCAAATGCAACGCTACTGTCTGACTAGATAAGATCTCAGATACCTAACTGAAACAAATACTTTTTCATGCTATTTGCCTAATCATATATACCTCCAATTCCATCTGTGTAATCACATGTAACCTCAATTCCGTTGGAGAAGATTCTTGCTTACGCTCCGACGAAGGAAAAAAACGCGTCCCTAGTCGTACACCCCGTCGCCCGGAAGAATTGCTCCAGACTTTAATCTAATATCTTAAATGGAATTACACTTCGTCATGGCCCCGTTACACGGACTATTCCCTTTTTATTTTCAATTACTATCCATTAAAGGACACTGAATGCGAAGCATTTTTACTGCGACAGCCGTTCTATCGAATTAACCAGGGGCCAACTATAATGAATTTACCCTCCATATTTTCCCTTCTCCTAATTGTCGAATAGCTCGCCCGTTAATGGTACGTGATGATTAAAACGACGCTAAGAATAGAGTAAATACGTATTCACGGTCGTAGGGAGTTTTTCTACGAACGATTTAGAAAAGTTTAAATAAATTAAAACTAAGCGAACATCGAGGACGCAACAATGCGTTCGATATCGGCTGTCGGGGCACGTACAAGTTCTCTCTCGAATTTGGCACCGCGTTATCGATAGCCTTCCGCCGCTCATAAATTCCGTGAACGCGTTATAAATTCTTTCCGACCTTTTCCACTCCGACACCTTTCGAGAGTTTCAGACGTCTGTCCCATTAAAGTCCAAACCGATCGAGTTTCCCCAAACCCCTCCACCCATTCCCAGAACCATTCTAAACTCCGAACCGGTACATTCGTCCAACTGATTCATGACCGATAAACTCTCAATTTTGAATCAATAAACGAACCCGCCTAGCTTCATAGTCCACTTCTATCAAAAACTAGGACTATTCCAGCCCCATAAACTGATTCTAATACCTCTCACGGTAATCGACCTAATAATTACTTAACCCTTAGAATACTGTGGGTTTATATATCTGCCCAGAGAAAAGTGTCGCTATGGCCTAAACGGCGGAAATATCCGCTTAGCATGATATATTAGAAATAGTAGCCAGAGACTTTGACTTTTACTGCAAGAATCAGGCTCTTTCGAAATTCATGGGGTAAGTACCATGATGTCAAACATAAACCCCATATGGGAGGATGATTTGTAGAAAAGAAGAAAAATGTACTGAATATCCTAAAGCAATGTCCACACTGAAGCAACGAAGAGGATCATTTTATCCCGTCTTCTTGCTTCATGATCTAATACATTTCCACCAGACACCACCTTATAGAAACATTTTACCTCTTCTGAAGCAACACAATCCAAGGAACTTAGGTGTTGTTTCAGTTCCAAGGCTACATTTCTTCCTAGCAACAGAAGCACGTAGAAACCTGGGGAATTATTTCCCAACAAATGGCGACTTTCAAGAAACATAGAAAATTAACAAAAAGTCCCTCATTCTTCAATGAGGTCGCAGCTTAAGACGCCAAATTGGGTCCTCTCTTTACAAAGGTTAAAGTAATCACTTAAAGAATACCGAAGAGACTCCACATTAAATAACCGGAAACTTCCATTAATTTATGACGTCCCCAAGCCTTCCGAATCCTCGCCCATTACCCGACCAACCTGAAGTTCACCTGTATTTTCGAGACCGCCTACGAATAAATCGCAGGCGGGTGTACGGCTAACGAAGCGGTCCGAAATCGTAGATAAGTCCTCGGCGTGGGTCGTTCCACGCGTATTGTCGTCGTCGTCGTCGCGATACGCCGCGCATACGAGCGCGACGATAACGGCTGGTACGCGGGCTGCATTTTAAACGAGCGCATTATTCCCTCCCCGTGCCGCCCCCGGGGCCAGGTCGACCGGATATGGTTCACAATTGCACCACCTCGAACACATCGACGAACTCGTTCTCGGTGCGTTGCGCGGAGGGTTTCAACGGCGGGCTGCAGCAGTCCTTTCTGCTGGAGGTCCGAGAGAGCAACAGCCAGGAGCTAAGGGCGAATCTGACGTCCACCGTGCCACGTTTCAGCGTCACTCATCTGGAGGCAGGCGCCCTTTACCAGGCGTGCATATACGCCTACAATGAGAAAGGCCGGAGCGAAGCGATGGTTGTGCAGGCGGGCACCCTCAGGCTGCCCGAAAAACAATTAACGTCCGATTCAGGTGAGCTGGCATCGGTGTGCTTCACCTTTCTATGGGAAATATACAGGGTGTCCGTGGAAGTAGCGATGATACATCTGGGCAAGAATGATTCTTAGGAGACGTTTAGAGGAAAGCTTAGGTTTGGAGTTTAGTTTTTAGAAAAAGCTTATTTTTGGCGTTTAGTTTTTAGAGGGAAGCTTATTTTTTGAGTTTAGTTTTTGGGGGAAAACTTATTTTTGGTGTTTAGTTCTTAGAGGAAAGCTTATTTTTGAGTTTAGTTTTGGGGGGAAAACTTATTTTGGATTTTAGTTCTTAGAGAAAAGCTTGTCTTTGGAGTTTAGTTTTTGGGGGAAAACTTATTTTTGGAGTATAGTTTCTGGGGAAAAGCTTATTTTGGAGTTTAGTTTCTAGAGAAAAGCTTAGTTTCAATTGTAACGTCATATTGGGCCTCCTGATCTGAAAGTCTTGATTTTCTCACATGTTAAAACTCCTGCTTTCCGAACACAGCGTAATGTAGGAACATTCCTCATGGACAAACCTAATGACCTACCCTGTAGACGTACACTCGCAGTGGAACCACGGTCGAGCTTTATAGCAATTTCATAAAGTGAAGGAAGGGTCAGTTTGTAGAGCACTTTGATCCATAGAACGCAATTCATCGTGTTGGAAAGATCGTTGAATTGTCCTGACAAAGCGGTTAACTCGTAGACTTCCTCCAAATGGAGTTTATAACTGTTTCGTTTGCTTCAAAGCGGAATAAATAGCGGATGAATTTAGTAACCAATGGTTCGAGGCAGTAGAAGCAACGGAGAGAAGTTTCGGACACTCGATTTATCTGTTCCCTGGCGGGGTTCGTTCCAGAACGACCCAGGCAGAATATCAGGCTGATGCCGATGCTGAGCGTGATGATCGGCGTGGTGGCCGCGCTGATCATCGTCGCTGTGATCGTGATGATCGTGCTCAGAATTCAGCACACCCAGGTCGACGAGCAGAGCAAGTCGCAGATGGAGGACCACGGCAAACAAACGAAAACGATCCCGATCCAACGGGAGCTCAGGTTCCGTGAGGCGAGCAGCCTACTTTCCGACGAGAAACACCCGAGCAGCCCGTTCAGAAAGCTCGAGAGCAGCGGTGACATAAGCGAAAACGACGAGAAGAACCCGGACATCATACCTCAGCAGATCACCGGTTCGTTGATTCCTAATTCATTCGAATCCTCCACGATCGACCTTATAACTTTTCCTGTTTCTCTCGACTATCATCTCTATTCTGCAGGGTGATTAACCGTTTAACGGGCAGACCCTTAAATCGTTATTTCAAACTTATGATATAAATATTGTATCTTGTTATTTTAAAGTCGAAAATATCGATATTGAACCAACCTATTTTTTAATTTTTTGTAAATTTGTCTTTAACCCTTTACGCCTAGACACCTCTTTCGAGGAAAAAAATTATTGCTCGCGATTAGTTTATTTATAAATGATTCCAACACGTGCACGTCAGCTTTATTTTCCTGACAAAACCTATTAATTAACTTAAAAATAATGGTAATATGATTTTCTAGATGTGACATATACGTCACACTAAGAGACTATTCTACTTCTAAGACTATTATAATATTTTTTAAGACAATATTCGATATTCTTTGAAAATCGTTATCTTTAATTAATTGATTTTCTGACTCTGTTCTCGAACAGGCGACGAGCCATCTGAATACTTGAGGAAGCGACGCCTGGTCTCGACGATCGAGACATCGCCATCGAGAAGTTTGTTGGAACACTCGACGGTCACTTCCGTCAGTGGTCACGGCAGTTACGTCGGTTATTGCACTCTTCGCAACGGCATGCCGCTCCACGAATTCTCGAATCTGGCGACGAAACATAAAAGCGTAAGTTCAATTTCCGGTAATTGCTACCTATATCTCTCCACTTGCATCCGACGCTCCGGTTGAAACGTTGCCTCTAAACTTTTCGCTCGCGAGTTGTCGTGTTCGCTGTTTAATTTGTGCAACACTCCACTAGACTTGAACTTTTCTATTAACACTCTTTTACAAGCGTGACGAATCGTCGAATTACCTACTATCTGCAATCAAATCTTAAATTCCTTGGGGATTAAGTTCGAACTTTTATAGTTGCAGTGCATATCAAAATTTTGGCCAAATGGAAAGAAAAAAGTTTTAAAGCATAACGAAAAAAATAGAATAGAGGAAAACTCAAACGAACAAATTCCACGTTGACAGGATCACGGTTGAATTCCAGATAACTCAATAGTTAAAGTAGAATCGAAATAACACAACTAACCCAAATAAATCACCCAATAATAGTACCTCACGCAAAAAGAAAAGACCCAATTATTCCCCAGGACGGTCTAACATCGAATGCAATTGATCCTCAAAGAATCCATCGATCTTCATCAAAATCCTCCAAAATCGTCGATTATCAATAGTTCGAATAGAATACCCTATCCCACCCCTAAATACCTGATCCAAAAAGAAAACGCCCAATTATTCCCTAAGGCACTCTAACATCACCTCCAATTAATCTTTAAAGAATTAGTCGATCCTCATAAAAATCCTTAAAACTCGTCAAACATCACCTTTCCCGTTTCTACTCAAAATCTATCATCGGTTTCAACGTATACCATCTTCAAACGTCTATGAAACTAAGGCAGGCCTGCCAGGTAGCCTTACTGATGAATTCAACTAGCAGGCCTAGGACGAAACGCTACCCTTCTTTTCTCATCACTAGACTGTGGATTTTAAGCATTTATAGCCTATGGGGCTTTGTGAAATACAATAAAAGAAAATAATATCATCAGGTGCTACATGGTTTTTATTTCATTCTTAACACTAGAACTACCAACGATAAACGCATATTTGCTTCGATCGGTGGATAAACGTGAAAAACTTTCAAAAACTTAGAAATTTAAAAATTGACGAATTTCTTCACTTTCATATCGTAATAAAAGGTGCAAGAAATCTGAGAAAACGTATTGTCATAACATTTTAAACGTCGTTGTAATAGTGTATTGACAAGTCATTTTGACTTGCTTGGTAATTCTAGTGTTAATCCAATAAGATAGTTAAGAGAAGAAAGAAATTCCTACTTTTGCTCTTGCCTTATAAATCACCTCAAAAAATGTAATTATGCATAAAAATCCTCAGTCTACTCATCACCTTCATTCTACCATCACCACACATTCTACCATCCTCGAAGGATCAGTCGACCCTCGAGCCTCATCGAGATCCTCCAAAAGCATCGATCATCGTCATATCCGTACGTGAAATTCAGTTCCAGCCAATAGTTGGTGACGTCTACGAGACCGGGGTTTGCACTCTGCCGAGGCAACACTGGCCGAGCCAAAGTGTTCAATCGATGTCGATGACGATGAGCCCGCCGATGCTGTACGGTGGTCTAGGTGTTGTAGCCAGGACCTGCCCAAGCGGCAGCCTGCTAGCAAAGGACGTGGAGGCGAGGATCCCCGGCCAGTGTTGCATCCAGTCGCAGAAAGACGGAAAGATCAGCACGCCGATCGTGATGGCGAAAAGGGAGAGCTCCGTGTGACGATTCTCCCGGTTGCAGACCAGTGAGGTGTAACACTTTGTTATCGTTTTGTTCTTGTCACGAATTATCTCGGGGCGGTGCTCTTCTGGTGCGCCGTTCACTGGTGAACCGTTTCGCTGCCAACACGCGCGCCGCTGAAGTGTATTTAATAAAACGAATTCCTTTCGTCGATGTTCGAATTTACGTTGTGAGAAATTGTTGCCTGCAATGGGAAAGAGGTCTGGAGAAATTCTTGTTGCCCTTTTGTTGGTTCGTGTATTTGGTTGGGAATGATGACGATTGTGCGATCTGGGCCGGAAAATCGTGGTACAGATGGGAAGACGTGTTTCGATTGTGAAGCTTTAAGAATGATTGTGTATGGTCAAAATAAAACGGATAATATAGGCTTTCTTTTTGTACATTTTTATGATTATAGTAATTGTTCTGTTCCGAGGATTGTCGATAAATGTATTTGTAAGTCTTCCTGTATAATCTATTCCTTAACACTTTGCTGGCGGGAGGATTTTTGTGTTTGCAAATATACAACTTGAGCTGTTCTAAAAATATTTAGAAACTAGTACTTAACTCTTTTATTTGTCAGACTTTACTTAAAGGAGGAACGATTTTTCCATATTTTTTACTATTCTAGTTCCTATTTAAAAAAGACGTACTACTACGTCATCCGACATCAAAATGTTAATAGTCTATTCTTTAGCTCTCTAGATTTGTTTCTTGTGCACAAATGTCTAGTAAGTGATATCGTTGACTTCATTGCAAAGCAATAATGAAGAAGTAAAAATCTTTACGGTTTAATTTCTCTGATTATTTTTCGTTGCGCTTCCTGATACGTTACTATTGTAAATTTTTCGTCCCTAAATGTAAGGGAAACTTTCACTGAACAGATACGTATACAATTGCATTAGCTGCAATAAGTATTTGCATACACTTACTTCTTTTAAGTAATAAATTTAGGAATTGTTAGATCAAGTTATTACTACTCATTAATTCTATAACGTTATACTGTTTTCAGTCAAGTAATTTTCCACCAGTGTAACTTTTATCATTGTGCATCCTCTTTTTTTTCAATATGTGATCGATATAAGAGACATGGCGTGTGTAAATGTTTCCTGTACAAAAATATCTTCAGTGTATACAAAGACTAGAATTCTTAAGAAATTATGCAATCATGATTTACTAATTAATTTCACCAGATACAAACAAGCGTTTAATCAAATGTTAACTGTAAAATCATGTTTCTTGAAAAACATCCAATCAATAAAAAGAAATGGAACGTTAAACGTATGCCTTGATAAAAAATCACACGCATCTTTGTTATCGTACCACGATTTTATCGGCCGCACGGAACTTTAAGAACTCTCAAGCGTTCGCAGCTAGGAATCGAAAACAAAAAGAAAAGAAAAAAAGAAAAAGATTTTATTTCCAAACGAACGAATCTTCTTCACCCGGGACTAGTGCTCGCGTTTCCGTTTCTCTGTTCGATCAAGTGCCCTTTTTACATTGAACAGACGATCCTCGAGTTTGTGAATGTAAAAAATAAAAAAGAAACAAAACTAAACTGAGACGAAGAACAGAAAAACAAAGAAACCGAAGAAAGATAGAGAATCACGTAGATCCGTGCGTCGCTACGCTGAGTGTGTACTAATAGATTGAATAATTTACGATAAATTAACTTATACATACACGTGCACGGGTGTTCGCGCGCGTGCTGTACATACATACATACGAGATACCTTGGAATACGGAGGATATTTTATACATAAAAAAAAAATCGCTAGCATTTACAAAAGAAAAAAAAAGAACGAAACAAACGAGATGAAACAGAAGAAGACGCGAGAGACACGGTTCGATTTCCCCACTTTTGCTGTCGGTACAACCGTCTGTACAATTCGTCTAGTTCGATGTAAGTAATAAATATACAGAACTTATTGTGTATGCGTGAAGACGGACGATCGATCGAGCAGCCAGAATAACGTACACTGAGGAGACAAAGGCCCTCCTTCGAATGCGAATCAAAGATGAAACAATGAAATCAAAAAGATAACTATTCGACGTGAATGAGAAATTATATAGAGTCAATGGGAACAAGAATTTCGTTTGTGTGTGTATATGTTAATATTCAGCGTGGGAGTGCAGGGGAAGAAAGAGGGAAACAAAATAATAAGAGATGCGAAACGAACGAAACTCGAAACGATAAAGAGATATTCAAGAGAGATCCCCATTACTTTCGTCAGTATGCAGTATTCTGGATTTTATTGTAAGAATTAAGTATCTGTATAATGTATAAAGTAACGAATTTCCTTCTAAGTAATCGAAACACGAGGTGAATCGGGAGGAGATGAATGTCTTCGTTTCGATTTCAGAAACGATTAAGAGCTTTCTCGTGGTCTGATCATTGCGATAGCTCTCTTCTACGGCGTCCGCGTGAAGCATGGAAGAGCATTCACGGGTGAAACTTCATTCGGGGATCGATAAATTTTCGGCAAATCTTGGCGGTTCGTGCGCGGAAAGTTCGGAATACTCGAGCGGCAAAAATTGATTTTCAAACGAAATTTCACTTTGACTTGTGTTCCGGTAACTATGTACGCAGCTTTATACGAGATCACTGGAGGGTCGCCTTAACTCCACAATTTTCCCCAACATTTCCATTTCTGTGAGAGAATAATTATATAATAAAGAGAGACCAGATATTAAAGAAAATTATATGCAGACCTTCAATATCGAACTGAACTATAAACGATCCTTTCTAAGTATTGTATAAAATGTACCCTAAAATAAAATTTATTCTCAAGTAACCAATTGAAATATTATAGAACCCGTTGAATTCATTTTGTACGAACAAACACATATCCGAATAAATGTTTGAAACTGTTTGAAAGAGTTTGAAACTGTTTGAAACTGTTTGAAAGAGTTTGAAAGAGTTTGAAACTGTTTGGAAGAGTTTGAAAGAGTTTGAATCTGTTTGAACATGTTCAAACAGCTTCAAACATTTCCAAACAATTTCAAACAGCTTCAAACTATTTTAAAGAACTTCAAACGGGGCCAAACAACTTCATATATTTTCAAACAATTTCAAACAGCTTCAAACTGTTTCAAACAGATTCAAAGAGATTCAAACTGAGTCTTTCACGAATCTTTGACAAATGTTTCCTGATACATACATTGTTAACGAACTCCATTCCAGAACTTTCCGACTCTGGATCGCCTACCATGCCCGAATGAATCGTCATCTCCTATCCTCTGATCCCACGACCGAATCATAAACTAGAAGCTCGTCGAAGACTCGCGCGAAGAGAAAGACGCGTGGCGTGTACAGCTTTTCCTAATTGAAACTAACTCTCGCGAAGCAAGACTGCCGTTTCTGTCGGGACGGCGGTGGCCGCGTTTCGCTTCGCTCTGTAAATGTCTCGTACCTTTCTTTTTTCGTGCGCGATAACGTCTGTGTATTTAAAAAATGGGAAAAAGCAAAGCAAAAAAAGAAAAAGATGAAGAAGAAGAACGCGAACGAAGATCTGGTTTACTTAAAGTAGATAAAACTCGGTGTGTAACGTGGATCATAGCAGAACAAGCGCCGGTTCCCTCGCGAGTGTCGCTGTCGGTGTAATATAATCGAGGAAAAAAAGACAACAGTTAGTCGTTCTATCGAGATTCCTCTAGATGAATGTGTTCTCTCGAACGCTAATCGTTAAGTTTCGATCCACGACGAGCGCGGAGACGCGTGGATCGGTTATTTATTAATTGCCATTGATGGAATTGATGTCTCGGTACATAGCCAGTGTACTAAAAAAAAAAGAAACGAAGAGAAAAAAACAAGAAAAAAAGAAAACGAAAACTCTCTCGAGTAATCCATTCAAGAAACGCCTGTATTTCCTTCCCCTTGCATTAGCGTTCGCGTCAAAGCTGACCACAGAAGGGACGAGAGAAACTTCGAGGATAGAAATAGGTGTTGGTGGCCGTGAAAACGATATAGCACGGTCGGAAAATCAATCGGAAGCTTGTGAGATACTCGTGTTTCGGGCGCCTGCGGAAAGTCTTACCAGCTTTCTATCTGAAACTCTGTTTCGATTCAAGCTTCAATGGCCTCGCGGAAAAGAACTTTTAGTTTTGCAAATACTAACGAAAATTCGGAATTATCTTTCTAGAAAATGAATAACAATTGTTTACCATTATTATCTACTTAAGGAATGAAAATGGATTAACATCTAAAGCTCTCAAAAACCTGCTCGTTGAGTAATCTTCGATGAGTGTTCCTCAACACTGAACATTAAATATTTCATAAACTAATGGACATATGCAACTGAAACAGATATCACTGGCTTCAGAATTGCAAGCTCTATCATTGTGCTAAACCTCATTAAAAGGTATTTTTTTATAAACTTAATGCATATTAAATACCCGCATGTAATACGATATTTTTATAAGTTGGCTGACTTTATTATGCAGTGCGATACACACACACAGATCGTAAGCGTAACTCACAATTTAATACCATTGCACTAGAAAATGAGACTCTCGAGTATTTCTGATAATCAATACAGAAAATCACCGATAAGTGTTCGAAGGCTCCTCGGCCCTAAGTGTCCAGACGTCATTCCTACCACGGAGGAGGTTCCCCATGAAACCAGTAAAGTGCCCAGTGGTGGGGTACACGTCTGGACACTCACTGTCGAGAAGCCTTCAAACATTCATCGATGATTTCCTGTTTTACTGTTTGGCCATCAGTGCTACATCGTTTCCACCGACTGTGCACCCAAAGTGCACCAGAATACAGATTCAACGAGTTGAACAGAACCGAAGAAAAGGCCAGTGGCGCAACAAACAAAAATATCAAACGCATACTGCCAACAACAAGTCTTTTTTCATAAGTTTATTCGTAACAATCTTCACATGGCGCGTTTGCAACGCGCTGAACACAGTTCGAGCTCGCGACCGATTGTAATTTAAATTTTCGTCGACGAAAATCAGGGGTGTACCATCGATTAATCCAGAAGTCCTATCTCTCGAACGAGTAGCTCGCGGGCCGAGGGACTTTCCTGTGAACTCCGACAAACTCCGTGACCGCGGCCGACCCGACCGAGAACTTCGAAACATTGTTGCTTCTAGCGATGGAAATTGTGGGAAGTACGTCTGCCCGTAACAGCTTCGTTATTCGGATGATTGTGCGTCTCGAACGCGCCGCTGAACATGAACTCGTGGGGTGGCGGCCAGACCCTATCTGCGAAAGGGTTAATCGCCATCCGTTATCAGAATCCTTTTCACTGTGTGACTGTAAAGGCGTTCCTTGATCTTTGCGCGGAGCTACTCTTCGTAAGTGCAGAATCATTTGGTCGGTACGAGCGTATGCGTTGCGGTCTTCGCCAGAGACCAATGAACTTTCTTTCTAAACAACTTGTAAATAGATTTTACGGATTCGGTTTGTCAACTATTTTCCGTTAATCCTTTGTAACGAAATAAATTGGTTGTATGTTGTATGAGCTATTGTTTTCGAGAAAATCGAGCTTTACGATCCTATAAGTGCATATTGGCCCGAACTTTCCGTTAATCCTTTGTAACGAAATAAATTGGTTGTATGTTGTGATGGTATCTTGTATGAGCTATTGTTTTCGAGAAAATCGAGCTTTACGATCCTATAAGTGCATATTGGCCCGATTTGAAAAGGTGTCCAGTACATGTGCACTTATGTAACTTGAGTTATATACTCTTCAAACGGGAAGAAATGCTGACTTTGTACTAACACATACTGAAGACACTCCAAGTTCGAGTGCATGTGTACCAAAGAAGTCCTAAGAATACACGTGCATTTGAGGAATTCTAAGTAGAATAGGTTGTTAAATACTAGAAAATGTTTAAAATCGAGTTTGTGTGTGTATAAAGAATACTGAACTCGGGTGAAAATGTATTTGAGAAATGTTTAATTTGGGTACGCATGTACTTGACGATTTGTTATTTAACGTGCATGATTCACTCGAGGACTGTTAAAGTAAAAGAAGTCTGAAACTGAGTACAAGTGTACTTGGAGCGTTTTAAATAAGGATGCACGTATACTTAGAAAATTCCACGGTCAAGTACACTTGTACTTAAATATTTCAACTTCAGTTCATTCTTACTACGATAGTGCCACTTTTGCACGAAGAAACATTGGTATTGTATTTTGTATATTAATCTGATTGGATTTTAACAATTTTTCATTGGAGTCCATGCGACGACCACCACACATTAACCGTATCGACCAGCGTTCGCACACCATTCGCTTCGTTACTAATGTATCTTAGACTAGCCAAGGATAAGAGCCAAAGAAATCTGTTCTAGATTAAGACATGGTAGCACCGTTTCAGCCGTATGCCGCCTGTTACATCTTAACGAACGAGTCTGACCAGCTGCTTTCGCGAATGAAACCAATGGAACCGAAACAAAAACCGTTTGAATGAAATTTGTATATGTAATTAGTCTAGCGATATCTGACACAAATTTCATGTACCCCATAAAAAGGAGACGTTTTTTTGATATTGTAAATACTCTGAAATAAATAATCGTTTTTATTCAATTAACGCTGACCACTCGCATTCCTATTCGTTCCCTTTTTTTTTTTTTAGAAACAGGAAGATCGTTACCTGGATACAAATGCATAAATGGCACCTGGGAATATATTCTTAGATATACTTCCACGGTCATAAGTATTGAAGTGTTTGCACGTAACAGGTACTCTATCACCGTGCTTTCAGGGAAATACCTTGCGACCTTATGCTTTAGGTTCCGTACAACTTCCACCATTGGTACTGACTTTCAAATAAATATTCTTATTAATAATTGTTTTCATTCGTCTCTCAAAGTCAATCTATGCTCACCCCCACCACATTGTCTGGGCACCACGCCTATTTCTAGGCCCACCCCTATTTCTAGCCCTACCCCTATATCCATTTCGCCGCCCACAACAGCATAACTCCAGTGGTGGGAGTGAAACAAGTGCTCGATTTTACCACTCGTACATTTTTCAATTCAACTATAGCAGAAGAACTTACGTAATCATGGACAGTATGTAAAATATTATTACACAACGCGTACACTTTCATCAAACAGTTGGACACCTGAGTCTGAATTTCGGAAAACTCATACGATTCCAGTTTCTCCAACAAAGTTGGCGGCACCGTGAACACGTGGAACCAATCGGTAAATAATCTCTAAAATCGGCAACATTAATCAATTGTATGTGCTTCATTCTTAACCTAAAGTTTACTTGGTGAACGTGATGATAAAACGGGAGGAATATTGATCTCATGAGTTTGCAGGTTTCGGTTTGTCTCCCATACATGGATTTGAAATGTTTATAGATAATATCTTCTGGTGCCTGTGTTAAAATGGGTAACCAATTTTTTTATCAACGAAAATTTAGAAATTTATTTTCAGACTGATACCTCTAGCAAGTGAACATAGTTTCGTGGATACACTAAAAACATTCCAGTTATGAGAACATCAGGAACATCGACTTTTAAATCATTAATTACCGATTCCATTCTCTAGAAATCAGAATCGTTGAAGCTAATTACTTAAACGCGTTTATAGTCATTATTTTTTATATTAATTTTATTTGTAATTCGTACCTTCGTCAAGTCTTCGTGTGCACCAGCATATTCTCCAATATAAATGACACGTGTTATATATGAACTCTATAAATAAATAATTTTCTCCTAACTATAATATAAATATTCACAGAAACTTGTTTTTACTAACTAATTAGCAAAAAAGAGATCAAACAGAAATTTTCAAATAGACGCGCCTAAACTGAAATTATAGGATGCGCTGAAGATAATGCGCAGAAGAAATCCAACGGTTTTTTCATTTAAAAGAACTACTAATTTACCGTTCTGTTACATAGAAAAATATTATGTTACGTCGTTTTCTCATTATTCTTCGTGTGAAATTTTAAATATGTTTTTAATATTTTATTATACATTAAAATACTTTAGAGAAGAGATTTGATGTAGATAAATTCCATTTTCAAGTAACAATTACAATATAATTCTTTCCTTTTATGGCAAATCTTTTTTATACAAAACAGAAAATATGCAGTAAATAATTATAGCAATGCATAAACTACGATTATTAAACAAACAAGCAATGATCAAGTTAAACTCTGCTTACCCTCTTGGCTGCATGTAGATTTTTCTCAACTACGTCTAGCAAACTTATCCTCGCAGGTTCAAACACTCGTTTCATAGTTAATCACTTCTTCAACAACGAACTTGTACTTTAACACGCACGGCACGCACAGTAAAACGTTGCTAATTTAAGTTATAACTATTTTAAAACAAACCGACATCCACACGGTTAGACATTTCAAAGTTAACTGACGAATGATCATAGTTACTGCACTAGTCAATTAGCTACAGTTAAACTATTATTTTCCAATATCATCTTTTTATTAAAGAAAAATACTTCAGTATTATTGAACATTAAATATTCTAATATATATAGAATGAATATTATATAAATGCATTGCATAGTTTAAAAATGTTCAATTTCAAATTCATCGAACGTTGTATAACAGCACATTTCCGGAGTACAATTTCAAATTGCGTTTACAATGAAATATTCTTTGTTAAAAAACATAGTTACATGTGTATTTTATTTAAATTAAATACAGAGTAGAAAAAAATGTATAATTCAAATAATAAAACATAATCCAAAACGACTGATGAATCATAAATCATTTTACAAATATTTACAAGATACTTGTAAAACTAATACTGTACTTATAGTGTTTTAAATCTATAATTACAATGACTGATGTCTCAACTATTGCTATAGATTACATTTAAGTCGTAAGTATTTCTTAAACAATAATACTGTTAAATACATAAAAAGGGATCTTATGTCATGGAATAATCAAGCATAATGTATATAAATTTAAGAACTTAATAATTAATTATAGTTATTTTTTTGGCTTTGGACATTCTAAAATTGGGGGCGGTGGCGGAGTTGCTTCGCTGGGATTCCCTAGCCAAACAGATTTACTGAAACGACCCTTTGTAACAGGAGCTTGCCATTTATTGATGCACATAACTGTAACTGTAGGCTTTTCTGCAGTGACTGTTGCTATAGTTACTGCTCTGAAAGTGAAATCAAACTCATTTAAATAATCAAGTAAATCTATTTTCTAAACATTCTACTTGTCATTGAATTTTGATGAATATTCGGAGACAGGAAACAAATAAAACGGTGAAGTACAATATAAATACTGCATTTATTATTTAAAAAATATATTACAAATTGATGCTGGGCAAAAATATATCATTTACTCAGTTGTCATACATAATATTATGTACTTTTAATTAATAAATTGCTGGTAAAATATTCTCTTTTTCACTTAACCAGTATTTATTAAGACAAAAACGAATTGACAATATATATTTTGCTTAATCAGATTTTCAAAAAGAATTTATTATAAAGTTCCTAATAAAATATACATGTTATACCTAGATTATTTAACAAAAACATACAAATCAAGAAATCAACAGAAAAGTTCCTAGCTACAAACTGCTAATGAATGTAAATCGATTTAGTATTATTTGAAATAAAAAGCATAAATTTATTAAAAAATAAGATTAATCACTATCTTTATTATATAAATATAAATCAAATAGTCTTCATACAGACGATGTGCAGTTGTATGAAATAACAAAGAGCATCAAGGCAGTAATTGTGGTAAAAAGGAAATCATTTTTTCTAATGCCAGGGCACTTGGTTTGGATGACTGATGGAACCCAATTTGTAGTACCTTGTTGTAGAAGGTGTCTGTTGCATTCCTACTGAATGGTTCGGTGGAGTTGCTGCTGTTGGAGTTTCAGCACTCTGAGCAGCAGTGCCATCACCTTTCAAAACAGCAACACACTTCCAGTTATTAATATAATTGTCTTTCCATAACCGAACACAACCATCATCTCCTGAACTTGCTAAGATAGTTCCCATAATGTTCCAACATACACGCCACACAGTACAATCATGGTCAAAAAATTGTGCTGCTGTAGTAAGTTCAAAGCGTGGTGCACCACTTTGTACAGTATCCCTACATGAATGATAGTTTGTTATACCTTCACAATTAATTGACACTCGTTACTCAATACTGATTTATACTTACAATATAGGCTTCAATGTAATTATCCGTACATCTTTTGTTGCAACAGCTAATGTATGAAAACTTCTACCTAAATTTGGAGCAAATGCAATATCATTAACAGGGTCAACAATGGCTAATGTTTCTGTTTTTGCCCATCTCCTACTACTTTCAGAGTATTCGTATATAAACACTTTCCCTCCAGAAGATGGACTTTGATCATTGCTTCCAACTGCTATCATTGGAGGATGTAACCTGATATATATAGATATATATATATATATATTAATCGATAGATTACTACATAATTACAAAATATAATTGCAATAACACTTCATTATATTTTTACCTTGACAGAGATGGATTCCATGAAAGGCAACTACATTGAAGCTTACAGCTAATATCATGCTGGAGTGTCCATTGACTCAAGTTCATAACATCCGGAGCTTCATATATTCTAATCACTCCATCTTCACTACAAGTAGCTAACAATAGACCAAGGGTTTTAGGTGCAAATTTCACATCTGTAACTGACTTTCTGGAATCTACTAAATTTGTTCTTCTAACCCAATGTCTCATGCCACGTTCACCTGGGCCTGAACCTTCTCCAACTGTTAACAAAGTGTAAAGCTCCTGAATAACTGATTATAGTACAGTAAAGTGAACACATTATAAATAACATTCAACAGCAATGTGCACAAATATAAACAAAACATCTAGATATAAAAATGTGTAGGAAATTAATAACAAACCTATTTTAATAATACAATATAACTTTACCTATTTCTTCCCATACAGCCGCTGTTCTGTCGAAAGAACATGTTGCAAGTACTTGACCAAATTCTGGATGTGCCCATGTAACTTTCCATACAGAGCCACTGTGAGCTTTCCAAGATGCAGTTAAGTGCCAATTTCCATGCTCGTCTTCATCCCAGACCTATGTCAATTTAACAATTTTCACACATGACTACAGCAACAAATTCTCACGGTACAAACGTAGAAGAGGTAACAGTGAACCTCTTACTTTTACAAACTGGTCACTGGAGCATGTTGCCATTCGTTGCCCGTAAAAATCATAGGCAATATCGTGGATCAAATCCTTGTGTTCAGCATTAATGCTATGCGCTTCAAACATACTTAATTTATTTAAATTATTACTATTCAAGAAAAACTTCCGTAACTGTTATAATGCGGCGTGTCAGAAACTGTACAGGTTAGGAGATAACGCTGAAAAATTTGTACATTAAAGTACGCCAATGTTAAAACACTGTAAAATTTAATTTACGCAGTACCGTGTAGAAACTAACGTCACCAATTAAAATCACTTACTTTCAATATATTTACATGATATTTTTATATACTCAAAAGATGAGGGAAAACGCTGTACGATGCAATTCCTCTTCTAAACATCTTTTACGATTACTCTATTTTTAGAAATAAAACACTTTTTAAAATCTTAAAAGGAAACCGCTGTTACTGTGCTTATAAAACAAAACGTTTCTTTATTCTTTAAATGTTGAATTTTAAACACACTATTCGAACGCATTTCAAGAAACCGGTTAAAAACATATTGATACTAGATATGCCGAATCAACACATTATTGTTATCACTATGAATACAAAGATTGATCACTATAAATACAAGATGAAACAATTAGTGTACAATACAAATTTCAATTTATTCTTTGTAGTTTTAATGTAATAATATATTGTTGAACAAAATATTTTTCTACGCTAAATCTTATAAAAAAAGATTTGTTACTAGACTGATAGTAATTATTTAATTCTTCCTGAAAAGCAGAATTAATACAATTTAAAATACATACTCTAAACGAAAATATATTTCAATCCTGTCATAATATATTTTACAAACGTATTTAATTTGCATTGGTTCTGAATTAATAAGTTTCATTTCATAAATACAGTTAGAGTATCTGGAAATTTCTACCAATAGTAAAGCATTCCTGATAAAGATTCAGACCAATTCAGACTGATTCAGGCTAGAGATGGTGTGCAAAATCACTAACGGTGATTTATCCACAAGTAGCAGTTCACGCCATCTCTAATTCAGACAGACTGTCATCAAGCTACAGTGTGTAACGTGTCACATCACGTATTTCTTTTAAATATATTGATTAGTAGATTGTAAAATAGTCTGTAAAGGTAGTTACATTAGATTTTTCATTAGTTTACTGTGAAAACAATTTTTATTTGCATTTGTTCTTAAACGTTTCACTTCTTAAGGGAAAAGCATAAGCCGCTAGGTTAATTTTATAACGTTTCAGATGATCACAGACGTGCAACTGGCTGTTTTCTGCAATATCCTCGGTGCAGCATTATTTTGCTTGGTATTCCTGTTTCACTACATAAATGCGAATTACTCGAAATGAGGGATTAGCACAATATTTTGTAATATAATCTGAACCTACTTCATCAAATATTTTCACATGTGCAAATGGAGTTGCGAATCTATATGTTGTACTTGAAACTGACTGAACGATGTAAATCATTTAAATGGCTTTAATTTTATAAATACATTCTGTATTATGTAAAAATATTGTTATCTCTTTATTCCCATTTCTATTGTATCATTACAAAGTTTGTTATAAACTACATATTAGTACAGAAATGTTCATCTTTATTATTTCATTATTATAAAATATATTAAGTTCGAAGTAATATAATTTGCCTTTTACTGATCATAAAGAACGAATGAAAAAAATGTAACAACAAATAGTGCAAAATGTCGGAATACGTGTCATTAGTGTTTCCCATCTTCAGACAGTCAGACGATATCAGGCGTCACGAAGTTAGCTGCAAATATCTCGTAATTGTATGTAGTCAAAGAACTGTCTTTTGCATACGTATACTTGCATACAGAAAATTCACAATATACAAGTTTTTGGATATCTTACGTGTAAATTTAGAAAAGTTAGCCAGCAATGACCGACGATTCCAATGGGGAATCTACGTTCGAATTTGTTGAAAGGAAGACGGACGAATCATCCGCATCTGGAGAAATCGTAAAAACAGGTGAGGCTGAAAGGCAAAACATAAACACCTGTGTATCTGTTAAATACTCCTACGAATAAAAACTTCACGTTTGTCTTAATGATCTCTCATAATTTTTTACATACTAGAGAATAATTTGAACTGGAATTCAATCTGTGACATTTAAAAAAATACAAAAGGTGTAAAGTAGACAATAAAGAATTAATTCGGAGACATATCTCGTGACGTATAAAAAAATGTCTCGAGTAAATATATTTTTTTAGAAAATGCTATTCAGAAAATTAATTATTACATTTCATGGCAATATGCCTAATACATGTAAATGACAGAAATAATATTAATGCTACCAATCGGGTAAAACGTAACAATATAATTTTCAGATTCTTTTAGCAGCTTATCATCGTATACATCTCTGTTGATGCCTTTGGGTGTGTCAACATCTACAGGAAATTTGTTGTCAAATGTAGCACCACCTAGTGCATTGCCCAGCTTTATTTCAAATTCTGGGACAGTGTTGTCAGAAAAATCTGCTAAGAATTTGGAATCTGCCGCGCAAAAGAAACATGAACCTGTTAAATCAATGTTGAATGCCCCTTCTAAGCCCTTGCAGCAAGAAACTCAAGAAAAAACTGAAACTCCAGTTGTATCTCAACGTATACAAAATGTACAAACTACAGCACAAACAGAAAGTCCGTTGCAAGATTCAGGAATGGTTGGTGGTGGTCTATTATCCTGGGTTAAGGAAACAGTAATGAACAGTAATGTTTTAAGTAAAGTTGCAGAGAAAGCCAAGAATAGTGTTAATACCATGATTACAACATTAGATCCCCAGATGCGTGAGTTCATTTGTAAGTAAGAATGTTACTAATCCTGTCGTGCAAATATAAACAAAATCCGAACTTTGCTTATGTATACATTTGTTAATATTACTAACACTCTGTTCTGTAAATTTTGTGTTCAGATATGTGTCACTTTGTGTGTGTATGTGATTATGTTATTGCATCATAACTGATGGGATATATGTATATATAGTATACTATGTTATTTTTGGACGATCAGTAAGCCAAACTTAATTCAATGAACCGTGCTGTACTCTGTCTCAACTGTCACTTGCAATACAAAATACTGAAGACTTTTTTTTGTGAAAAAGAGGTGTTTGTGTTTTATTTATGAAGTGAATCAAATTATACAATTTGTGTATGTGCAACCATAATACAACTTGGTATATAAAAACTGTGTCCAATTACAGCTGTGAAAACAAATCAGTTTCATAATTTGCATTGTAAATGCAAACAATTATGCTCTAGTCTTGTGACTCAAATGACATTACAAGTAGAACTTCTCATTACATATTACCACTTTATAAAAAGACTTATAGAAACAATACGTTCCAAAATTGTTTTATTAAAAATAGCCTATTCTTTTGGAAAATGAAAGTTTGAGGAACTATATGTATATATTTTGTACTATTTAAGTGTGAATGTAACAATTTTACAACGCGTTTCTTTAGTGACCGTGCAATATGTTAGTTAATGTGCAAGCTTATGTGCGGGCCTTGTTAAAAATATATATTTCAGATTCTGGAGGGGATGTGGAGATCATCGTTGCTTCAGATGAGGATGTGAAAGTAAGTCCTGTGCGTCAGGCTTTCCAAACAATATTTGGAAAAGCAACGGTTACGTAAGTAATAACTGCAAAATATACTTCTTTCATATATTACCGTGGTTCATATCATTGTCATTTTAATAAAATAACTGGTCACCTTTTCAGTGGCGTGCCCGTTGAAAGTTCAACCATTGCTGCTCAACCAGTTGGTTTCGCGGCTGGAGTGAAAGGGGCAGAAGAGAGAATTAATTCCGCGCGAAATATTCCATCCGTTCCGAAAGACATACCAATAGTTGCCGTGGAAAACTTTTTATTAGAAGTTGGTGAAGATAAATGGTACGATTTAGGAGTGCTTCTACTCCATGATCCTAAACGTAAAGTGACAATTCGAACATTTACACAAATGACGGCATTACCGAGCGAAATAGTGACAAGGGCACAAGAAGCTACACCTGAAGATTATCCTTTAAAATGGTCTGGATTAGCAGTCACCACTGATAGCTTGATTGCAGACATGTTACAGGTTTGTGTTAAACCAGAAGCTACATAGTTAAGTTGATCTCTTTGAACGTATGAATATTTTTTTTTTTAAGGTTCCTCACAACGAATGGCATCATGTAGTAACTGGTGTGGATAGGAGGGACATTATACTTTTAGCAGCTCAGTCAGTAGCTGGAATCTACAAGAATTCAATTGACCTTAAATAAATTTTTTACACGCAACCGATAACGCAATTTACCATTCACGCGCTTTTTGTAAATACAACTTTACTAATTTATAAGATATTAAACATTTAAAAAAAAATCATAAGATATCTAAACAAATATATCAGGATTAACTTTTTAGGCATGTAATTGTAACTATTTCGAGTTATTATTGAAATCAAAAACTTAACCCAGTTCAATAATGTATGTAGTAAAATTATTAATTATAAATTAAAGTGTATTTTAATTATATCTTGTAATATGTACAAAAGATTCATGGATCTACGAAAACGAAATATATTCAAAGATAAATTTGGTACATAGAACGTGATTGTTTAACCATACTTATAGTTGAATACTTAAACACGTTCTTACTAAAATATGTTTTGTTACTGAAATAAGATTTATACTTCATAAAAACTAATATTTTTTAAATAATTCACAATAACTTTAGTGAAGTATTTCAATTAATAGTAGCTAGGTTTTCTAATAAAGTGATTCAATAAAGACACATTCTGTTTCTCAAATTCATCTTTAATTTCCTGATGTATTCTTTCAGTGTGAGTACATTGCTGTGATTTTTATCGTTATTAGTAACTCCGAAATTCGTCCATTTGTGAGAACATCAACAAAAATAACAGACTAATTTGTAGTAAAAAAAGCAATGTAAAAAATCACAATTTTTGTTTCTTCTTCGTTTTTATACAAGAAACTGGCAACAAATTGCCACAATAAAAATAACAATCTAGTCTTTATTTGATGCTGATATGCTAAAAACGTAAAGCCACGGGATCTTGATGACGTGGCGATGCTTAGTTAAATAAATGTACAAAATATTCTTCCCTGCGCTAACATACATAGTTTTCGTTATAAATACAATTTATTATCTTCCTTTTCCATACTTATAATCGTGTTTTCTTCACGTTTCTCTGCGCAAAACAAAGTTCATAATAAACCGATGCAGTTGTATACGGCTCGAGCGATATTAATTGAATTACAATATTTAAATAGATATTTAAATATAGTGCGCGAATCTATGGTTACAATTTGTCAAGGTATGCGTTCAAGTCTGGGAGACCTTCTTTCAATCCCTTCCTCTTACGTGTATCCTGTGAGAACGAAAATAATTATGAATTAGTAACCATTACATAACAAATTCGCATAACATATTAAAAAGAAAAGGTATTTGTACGTTTCCCTATTCAGGCAAGCCAGGACAAACTACCGGAATACCAAAACAAAAAACAATTTCTCTTCCACGAGATTAAAAATGGTAATGCACTTAAGTTTACCTATTACCATCAGTTATGATCGTGGATATATTTACGTATAAAATTGTATTGAAATTAATATTTACCTGCACAACTTGGTAAGGTCTGGTGGAAGGTTCCATTGGGTCGCCGGGCAAGACCTGCCAATGGTCAAATACACACTGTGGGAAAGCTTGTCCTCCGGTATTGGAACGTAAATCGGCAGTAAAGCCAAAGGACTCGTTTACTGGAAGATATGCTTTAACTACAAACATGGGTGTGCCAGCAACCTGTTGCTCTTCAAATACGTGACCTCTTCTGCGATTGAGTACACCGTAGATACCACCAACGGCGACTTCTGGGCACTGTAAAAGATCATTTCAGTTAAGAAATACGTAAAAGGTAATCGATTCGCTGTATATATACAATACTTCGATCACAAATGGATCTTACTTGAATTTCACACAAGTAAACAGGCTCCATAAGACGAGGAGAGGCAGTGAGGAGACAAGCATAAAGGCAACGTCTTGTGGTAGGAATAATTTGGCCACCACCTCTGTGAATAGCGTCAGCGTGTAATGTTACATCGTGAATGTTGAAACGCACGCCTCTCAAGTTTTCTTCCGAAAGGACACCCTGTGATATAAAGAATCCTCTATTAGTATAATCTAAAACAAACAGACTGTAAGGATAATGTCTTCAAGTACTACACACTTCTTTCGTGGCCCATTGGAATCCAGCTACAACGGAATCCTTAATTTCATTAAGATACTGTACTCCTTTAGAGCAATCGATTAAGATGTTAGGTCCAGTTCCGTCAGGCCCGAAACACCAGATTTTTCTTGCTTCAGTTACATCGTAATCGTACTTCTCGCCCAAGTAACGGGCACGTCCTTTGAACTCGTCCCTTGGATTTACTTCGCCCTGTAATAATTATAAACAATAAATTTAAAAAAAAAAAGGAAATACTGCGTACGTTCATAAAGATCATGAAACTTACACTGTCGATATCTTCAGCAAGTCCATCAGGCATAGGACACGCCATCATGAACAGACGATTGTGTTTGTTGGGTGATTTTGAAAGACACATTTGATTCGATTGTTCCGAAATCGTTTCTCTGTAGGAGACCACGGGATCTGACTTTTTGATGGGTATGCAAGCATGATCTTCTTCCAAATCTTTCAAACAGATTTCTAGATGAAGTTCACCAGCACCAGCAATAATGTGCTCCCCAGATTCTTCGATGATACACTGCACCATAGGATCAGATTTTGCCAAACGCTTAAGACCTAAACACGAAAAGTACTTCATTATACGACGACAATACTCGTACAGTTCCAAAGTATAATTTCTATCATTATTTTCAGATTTTACATGAAATCACGGATTCTCATAACCCAATGCTCTATGTATAGTCTCATCCTTGTATTAATTAATCTCAATTATTTATATTTCATTGTATATATTTTTAAACGTACCTTCAACCAATTTGGGCAAATCGGCTGGATTTTTGGGTTCAACAGCAACTCGCACGACAGGCGAGACTGAGAACTTCATTACTTTCATGTTGTGTGCATCCTTGAATGTGGTAATAGTACCAGTTTTTACCAAAAATTGATCGACACCAACAAGACCACAAATATTACCTGTAATAAATAATAGACTCTTAGTAATTCGTGCACCGAAAGATAAACATTTCAACATTAGTGATTTTAAAAATCAGTTGGCCGTTCTATTGTCTTTCAAGAAATATCAGTACAGGTCTGTGAGAACAATCATCATTTAAAGTACTGAAAATTTTGGTGTCGTAAATCAAGATAATTCATAAAAATTTACCCACCAGAAGGCACATCTTCAATCGCTTCAACGTAACGACCCATCATCAGAATTGTACGTTGAATGGCTTTTTCGTACAAATCTTCTTTCTTGCCTGGTTGGAAGTTGGGACCCATGATACGTGCTTTCATACCAGTGCAAACTTTTCCAGAAAACACACGCCCGAAAGCGTAGAAACGACCTTTATCGGAAGTCGGCACCATTTTTGACACGTACATCATAAGTGGCCCGTTTGGATCACAATTCTGAAAAAAAAAATTATCTTACATGACACAATGTTTGTTGGTGCTACATAGAAATTTAATCTCAATGCAATGTGCTAATCAGATAAAAAATTTTAGTATCTTTCACTTATCTCAGTACAGGTCTGTGTATAAAATCATCATAAGAGGATAAGAACCAATAAATGATGGCATTAAAAAGTGATTAAATATATACCTTAATACCTAAAGCAGCATCGTCATCAAGTGGACCTTCGTATAACATTTCCATACGGTATTTTTGAGCAGTGACGGGGGATGGCAGGTGGATAGCAATCATCTGAAGTAAAGCTTCTCCAGCTGGTAACCACGTTCTCATAACAACCTAAAATTAAAATGGACACTACTATATATTCGATATACTAACAATTAAATATATATGTATTTAAGTTTCAAATATTATCTCAGTGTCTGTTCCTGTATCCGTCAAAAAGATTCAGAAGAGGTGTCAGAAATTATCGAACAATCATCATTTTTCCACTTCGGTGAAATCAGATTGGTTACTGAACCAACAATTCTTACCTTGAGAAGAGCTTTGCCGTCCTTGTCCTTGTCTTCCGGTTTCAGAACAATTTCTAATTTTTGCAGGAGAGTATCTGCTTCATCTTTTTTGTAATTCATAATGCAATCGAATACCTGTTAATTTTGAAACTGTATCAATATTGATGAACATAATACAGTATTTAATAAATACAGAAAAAAATGATTAATTACACACATACCTTGTAAATTGGATCTAAAACGTACATGCAGAAAGATCTTTTGTTATCTGGTTCCTTCTGTTTACTCCATTTCTTGGTTTTAGTGTTGAAGAATGATTCTCCCCACAATCTGTTCATGAGTTTTACAACATCGATTTTGAATTTCTCAGCGTACATTTCGGAGAATTGTTTCAATGTAAATGCCCAACCATGAAGACCAGAACCAAAACCAACGGATCCTTTGCTCGGGTCTACTCTAACTTCTCCCATGGGACCATCATCATCGGAGTATGTAGCAATAATTACGTTAACATTTTCAACAATACGTTGGAAAGTCTGATAAAGATCTTCGCTATCAAGTTGAAGTTCCAACAGGGCTCTGTCCATCTTGTTCATGAACAATACAGGCTTAATACGTTCAGCAATAGCTTGACGAAGTACAGTTTCCGTTTGTACACAAACACCTTAAGAAAACAGAAAAGTATTAAAATTTCAATAAAAGTATAAATGTAATAATAAAAATGTGTTGTAGCAATTGTGTCGTAGCATATTAGTAAAGGACATAAGGATAGAGGTCCACCAACAGCGTTTAAACACAGCTGTCTTTAATCTCCTTCCATTGGTGCACCGTCAACACTGTTCACGTACATCAGCCAGATAAACCAGCTGATGCACTACAGAGTAACACTGTTCGTGCTGGAAGGGTTCTCGTGGAAATCAAAGGGACCAACTATAAAATACATACCAGATACACAATCAACAACCACAAGAGCTCCATCAGTTACACGAAGAGCAGCTGTTACTTCACTAGAGAAATCTACGTGTCCAGGTGAATCAATCAAGTTGATCAAAAAACCCTTTTCCTCTTTGTCACGTTGATCAGGATTTGTGATAAAAACTAAATCTTTCTCGTCAAGCTCAAAGAACATAGAAATGGCCCTATAAAGATATGTAAACTGTTAGTTGTAAGAAGCTAAAAAAATCCTTAATTAACAGTAGTAACAGTAAGTTGAACTTACGTGGATTTAATGGTGATGCAACGTTCCTGCTCATCTTTACGGGTATCAGTGAATCTGGTCTCGCCAGCTTTGGCACCAGCAATAATACCAGCCTTGGACACAAGGGAGTCAGTCAAAGTTGACTTTCCGTGATCAACGTGCGCAATGACGGACATATTTCTGATGTTTTTCTTTTTGTCCATCATGGCACGTATCTCGTCCACCGTGAAGTTCACCTGGAACAAAAAGTATTTGGTTAATACACAAAATATATATATAATTATCCAAGAAGTACCATATAAATTGACTTTTACATACAATACTATCAAGATATGCATGAAGTCAAAAATGTAATGTTGTGAATACTTCAAAAGAAACGAAATTTCAATATTAAATACATAAACATTTCAGATTGCTCCAAATTATGGAATATTTTAACGAATAAATAATGTAAATTTGTTTAAAAAGGAGGTTTAATAATTATGATACTGACCATATTGAAATTAAAGCTTCGCAAATCTTGATATATATTACGGATACGTATACGTTAGAATTTACAACGAAAGAAAATATCTTCCCATGTGGATATTTTTCTCCGCGCAGCGTCCGTGTGTGCTTTTCGAGCTAAAATTCCTTAGCCTAGAGTTCTATCAGTTCCTCATGCTCTATATACATCGTGTGTACAATAAGAAACTGGTGAATGACTCCATAATGTTTCCAATAGACGAAACGTTGGCCAATAAAAAGCGCTTTTCACAAAGGCTCACGATATTCTGAGAGCATGCTGATTCGCATGAAAAGCTTTACAGAGCTCCACGACACGTTGCCTCCCAAACGAGAGGCGAAACATATTTCTGCTCAGAACATCGACAACTCTGAGCCATTCCTACGGAAAATTCTCAGGATTGTTCCCGTGGAATATCTGCAGAACCGTCAGAGACTTTTGCCCCGGCATATTCATCGCGAACTTCAAAATTCATCCTCGAAAAGAGTTGCGCAATCCCAAGTAATCCGCCAGTTTTCAATTTTCCCGAACCCTGGTGACACTCGTGCTTCAAAAAATATTCGTACCTCTGCATTCCGCACACCGTACAGATCAACGCGTTTATAATACTTTTCGATGATTGTACGTACCATTTTGGATGTTGTCCGATTTTCGTTGGCCTGGTCAGAAATATACGTGCACCAACAATGGCGGACTCCCTGGGAAAGAACACGAGTTTCGTGAAAGGGACGAATGTTTCGTGCACGGTAGAGGGCACCCCTTGTCACGCGTATTTCGTGTCGTGCACAGGACCAATTGGAATTTCGTGATCCCTTCTACGTGGCCAAATATGCGTGCGCACGTTGCATGCGACTTGGGGATTTAAATGCAATCCGTTAATCTTTGGGATGTGAGTCGTGGCAACTGTTGCGTCCGGTGCTGCCACCTAAATGGTTCAAATTAAAAAATTGCATAAAAAAATGTTGCGCTTCTACTTGTACTATTTCTTCTTTATTTTATAGATATTATTGGAAACATAAATACTACTATAACAAAATCGGTTAAATATACTAATTGTAGCTTGAGGGAACAGGAAGAGTGAGGGATGGAAGTGAAGATAAGATAGAAAAGTTACGAAAGAATCACTGGATAGTTACTGATACATTTATCGCTAAATATTAATTTTCCTGTTTCTGATAGTAAACAATGTACTCATACAAAATGTTACACTTATTTAGTAATTATAATTCTATATCTATTATACGCAGATACGTGTACAAAAAACATGTTATATAGTGGATAGAGTCATAAACAACTTCAACTATTATTTTTTGAATTCACTTTCGTGTAAGACACTTGCAATTAAAATTAATACATAGTGTGTCTTCTATTACTATTAAATTATAATGTAGTAATTTTCATTGGCTCTAGTAGAAATCATTTATGACTCAGCTTAATGCTTACATACATTTTACGAAAATAGTGATGGTTGTGCCTTTTCTCGTTAAACACTCAATTTTAAAGACACTAATGTTTGTGCAACGTACATATTACAGATTCCTATTATATACATACTACACTACGAAATGATTACACTTCTAATGAATAAACGTACGATTACTAAAAATTGGCGAAAAGAATTTTTTCAATGAGTCAATACCTTATTTCGTGAAATTAGAAGGAAAAACAGTAACAATTGCAACTTCTTTTTAATGTACGTGCACTCATGCATTGTAGCTTTACAATAGAAAAATAGAAAAACCATATTAATTATTTACATTGTTTAGAACAAATGGTGGATCGCTTATTGATAAAACATTCAACTAAGGTAGAGAATTCATTCCTGATACAGAATTTACATTAAAAAATGAAACACGATCCTACAACAATCGAAACGAAGAAAAAATAGACTTTGACGCTACACTCTTTGGTTTATTACTATAAGTGGTAGAGAGAGATCTCGCAAGTCAATTCTGTCTTTCTATTCGAATCGAGTAAAATTTCCAGTAAACAACGTAATTTTAGCGATTTCCTTTGCAACTGCGTTCATGAACGATTACACGATCAGGATTAAATGTTCTTCCGCAATGTTTGCACGGGACCAGTTGGTTCAAATGCGATTTCCAGCTAGCTTCCGCCATCGCCATCACGTCTATTACCGCATTCCCTGTTTCCGGATCACCTGTGCATAAATAACATTACTTAATATTTATAAAAACCACTTTAAAAAAGCAGAACACGCGTGCGTATAAAGTGAAGATATTATTTATTTCTCTCTTTTCATAAATTGCTTGGAAAATCACTGTTATCGTCGCACAATGTGGTATTTTATTTCGGTTGCAGATTCGTATTCAGCTCATGAAGATCTATAAGAGACGCGTAAGGTTGCAAAATTTTGTACGTAATATTGTACTTATATGTCTACAGAAAAGTTAATTTTTATAATTCTGGACTTCTTAAGATTTGATATAAACAAAAGAATATGTATATATATATATCAATTTTTTTAAAAATTAAATTTAGCTGGATTGGGAAAATACCACACTGCGTCGCGTTTTTAAATTAATAAAGTATTCTTTCAATAATTTTTTCTTTCTCAGTTTATGATTTCAGATTTCACCCCGCCTATATGTATAAGGATATGCATTAGGGATTATTTTAAGTACATTTGATAAAGCTCGGCTCTGTCGCTTCCGGTTCGGAGCGGTACCACCCCTCTTGTGATCGATATAATCACGCTGACCTTAAGTTCATTGGTTGACCGCGGCGGCCACGCGACCAATATTTCACTTCTACGCGACTTCTATAGGAAGCAGCAAACCCAGAAATGTAAACCAGAGTATTGCGTCGGCTGTGTTACGCCGAAAGTGTGCCGTATGAAAGTTATTCGAGGGGAATCGATCATCAAGGTTATTCAACTCTGACATTAATTAACCCGTTCCATTGGAACTGACTATCTCTATAAACAGTCACAGCAAAAAGGACCCTTTGAAAACAGATTATTCCTTAAATATGTACAGTAAACTATGCTTTCATCATTACACATAAACATATCCCAGGCATCTCGGCATCTAATCTACTCTTCAAGCTTTATAATATAAATAAGAAATTTCTTTTAAAAAAATGTGGACCGTCTTCGAAATGCGCTAAAAAGTAGAAAACAATTTCTATTTTTATTATTTATACAGAAATGCAACGACGGTTAAGAAACCTTATTTTCTCTTACTAAATAGCATACCCAGATAGCACATGACGCCCAACGACGCCTTAAAGACAGCTTAAAGGCGCCTTAGACCTAAAATAGCCGTAAAATGGGCGTCTTCAAGGCGTCATGTGCAATCTGGGTAGCTACATTGCAACCTTTTCGTACTATTTAATGTGGGGAGCAATACTAGTGTGCCAAAGGGTCAACGTAAGATAGTTTTCATTCTCAGTAATTAGACAATAGTCGTAAAGAAAAAATCAAAGGGAACTACATTGGACTGTTTGGAAGAACACGAATTGTGAATGAAAGCAATAGTTTATAATAAACAAAAAAAATCGGAAATGTTTTGTAAACAGGCCCAACGTGGGAACATCCTCAATCAAAGGGAACTACATTGGACTGTTTGGAAGAACACGAATTGTGAATGAAAGCAATAAGTTTATAATAAACAAAAAAAATCGGAAATGTTTTGTAAACAGGCCCAACGTGGGAACATCCTCTACAAGATGCAAAAGGTTTCATCTTGATTAATCCATTCGTTGCTGAGTAATAACTGGACATACATAAAAACAAAACATACATACACATCGAATTGTATACCTCTTCCTTTTCGAAGTCGATCAAAAAAAAGAAAGATTTTTTCACTCACGATTATAGATCACGTCAGGCCTCTGCGGCTCTTTCCTTCTCTGACCAGACGGCAGCTTGTCGTTCTCCGCGTGCCACTTCTTCAAGCATTGTGGCTCGTGAATCGTTATACTACTCGATCCAAAATCTCTGCCACATATGTAACAGGTAACCGTCCTCTTCTGCTGATCCTAAAACCAATCCGCCTTTCGCTATTCAACGTCCCACTCCCATTGACAACACCCAAACACATGCTTAACGGACAATTTTATTGCGTGACAAATGAATACTTTAGACAGCATGTAGACGATGTACAAATATACTTTCGTTTCCACGAGGATATTTATTTACACGAGGGCGGTTCGATCGAACAGGGACAGATCTCATCAGGCAAACTGGAGAATATAAGCGTTCTTTCGACGACGACTCACCCCCGTTGGGCTGGTCGAAAGTTCTTGCATGCTGACAGTCTCCAGCTTCGCCGGCACATGCGGTTCTTTCTTACGCAGATGGACTGGTTGTCTCACATTCTCGACTTGGGAACGCTTAACGCACTGGGGCTCGTGTATCCTGATGCTTTTCGTGCCGAAATTTCGGCCGCAGTTCTGGCAGGTGACGGTCGGCGGTCCTGCACGCGAGGCGTTCACCGATTTCTCCGTGGTCGAGCTCTCCGATTTCTCGATATCGGAATTCTATCGATTTCGAATTTAGTTGTGATCGCCGAAAAATTCATGGAAATTATTTATGGTAAGTTTCGTGGAAGTTTCGAGTCACCTTTGGCGATGCTTTGCAGCTTTTCTGGTGCACCAACAGGCGTTCCGGCAGGAACGTTCTTCCGCATTTCGGGCACGGCAGCAATTGCGCCTGGAAACGTAACAATCGATTTATTTTTCTATTTTTTTTTTTTTAATCATATTAATTCTAGATGCTTCGTCAATGAAATCGTCGCTCTAGTTCTTAATTGTTCTATCTCCAATTGTCTAAACTGAAAAACTGAGTTTACAGTTTACGAAGTTTAACATTACAGAAGCAGGAAAGTAGTAAAATAATCAAACACACTATCATCTACTGAATAGCTATTTATTGCAATATTTAACAAAATTCTATCTTATTATCAAGATAAATTTTTAATTGTTAGTATGGGAGATACAACCATTAAAACAAAAAAAACTTTCAAAGTTTCAAAATGTCTATTGTTTGGGCCAATGGGACGCACGTAGATTAACTAAATTTTGTTTGAAAAATGGAGTTAGAACAGTTAAAAACTCGGGCGACGGTATAATGCGCCTTGCATCAGATCGATCCTGGATGAAAGCATAGCTTGAGAAAAACTAAAAGCCCAAAGAGGTAAGTTCGACTTTAAAAGTCGAACTTAACGAGTCGCAATGCGGCTCTTAGTTTTTTAGATCAAACATACCAACGGTAAACGCGTATATGCGATAAATGTAGGGCAGCACCTTGAACACGATAGGGCTGGCGGATTATAGTGCGTGACGACGATCTCTCTGTGGAACTAGAAACCTCATAAGCTCCCCCCCACTTGTTATTCCTATTTGCATTCCTACGATGTATGCAGGCGCGTAAGGGCGAACATTAACGAGTCCCATTACCATTCACGGCGTAAAAAAGCTCACGGTCCCGTATATCACGATCAATTCTCGTGTCTCATTAAAATAAACTTTTGCTTGCTGGTCTTAAAATATAACTCTCTACTCATAATACAGAGCACCGGCAAAATCGTAAAGTTTTTTTTTAACGATCTGAAAACTTATCGTAGTTTTACTAACAGTAAGATATACTGTATTGGTTCTACCGAAGGAACTTATCGTTCTATGAAGAACTCTATTTATCCTAGCGTTTATAGATATGAATTCCATATATTCGAGTCCATTGTGCATTGTTCATAACCGAATGCACCCGTGACGCCCCTCAATTACATTACATCATCGCCAATAATGTACCAGATCCGTGTTGTCTCTGATGAACGTAATGGAATGACTCATTTCGTCGATCAAAACACATTTCGTTGATCGTACAGACAAATACGGAAGTGCTCAGACGAGTCAGACCACTCACGCCGATTAATTTGACTTTGATGAAGTATTCATGAAAAACGTGGTCTCCGATCGATCTATAGTTGCGATTTATAGGTTTAAGGAAACGTTTATAATACAATACCTGACTCTGTTCCCATGCGACCGCGTTCCATTCCGAATGATCGATCGCTACGTCGGGCCTTTGAGGCGTTGGACGCCTTTGGTTCACGGGCAAGGAGTTATTTTCTCGTTCCCATTTCTACGGGAACAACATTCATCAATCGCGATATTAAAACAGTGAGAAATAAAAGTAAGAAGCACCGTTATCTGGCGCTAAGTGGATATTCTTTTTGATTGACATAAAGAGAGAACGAGAAGAATCGGGGTTATCATTTATCGTAGAGGTCCTCGCTTGTGGAGACATGAATGCTTGTATAGGTAATTGTCGTGGAGGGAATTATAAGTCTAATTTAGAACTGTTCATAAAGTCTGAGCTTACAGTTTTAAAGGAGTAATTGTAGTTCCATACGTGGTAATGAATTTATCGTAAAAACAATCAAACACACACAAGATCTGATTAATGATCTTTCGTGGCTATTGCATGTATACATGGGTATGTAAACAATAGTCGAGGTCATATATCGAACCGAATGTACACAAACTGCGAGTCATGTGCAATTACATGGCACTGATCAACCTGTATAGTATTCAACTATAACGGTAGCCAGGAGGTGTCGGTTGCGTATCTACATATGTGAACGTTTCGAACAATATACGTGTCGCACATATGGTCGTATCGATTCCACAGGGACCCTTGACGTATTACATGCTTTCAGATAGGAGAATTCAATAGTATTCATGCATCACGACTGATACTATCCGACTTTATGAATAATACAGTTCAAGTTCAGCATAAAATTAGATCTCTCGCGCGTGAACAATTTATACTCGGTCCCGGTGGTTCTTTCATCTTTTGCACACCTGATTCGGAATATTGTACAACTTATTATTCGTTTAACCGAAAGATAAATTATCATAGAACAGCCTGACAGAAATAAATTGAACAGATATGATTTTTCAAATATTCCACATTCTTTGCAATCTTAGCACGAGTGCTTAGGTTTAGGTTCACCCATTAGGTTTATTAGAAGTATCGACCAAACCTGGGGCATGTTAATTAATCGTTCGACTTACTTGCATGCACCTGGGCTCGTGAATAGGAAAGCTGGCGGTGCCAAACTCGCGGCCGCAGATGTAACAAGTAATAGTCCTTGGCCCTTTCTTAACAGGCGCCGAGGATGGTCTACTCGGCGGGTTATCCGGCCCTCGAGGGCTGTACGATTTAACCTTTCCCTCCTGAACTATTTCCTCGACCCTGTTCTTATTCTTATCGCTACGAAAATTCAAGGCGACCGGCTTCTGAACCGACTTCGGGAACGTGGTCTTCGTCTTCGAGTTCGTCGGGCTGTCCTTCAGCTTTTGTTGCGTGCCCTTCGGATGACTATGAAAACGCTCCGGCTGATCCGGCTTACCGCAACTTTTGCACGGCTCTGGCGCGCCTCTGCTTGACGTGGACGTGAACACCTCCAGATCATTTTGTATCGTCGGCCTCGAAACTTTTTTCTTCAGTGTAGACAACGAAGGAACTTTATGGCCGGTCGTTCCGTTTCTAATCAAGGGGATACGATTACAGTCGAAGCATTCGCACGAGTTCTCGCCTATAAACTAAAAGTCGCGAGTTCAGGAGAATCGCTAGACTCCCTAAAGGTGTACGACCAAGAGAGCCTGAGCCTGTTTGAATTCCCCCTGAATTCTAAAACTAGACACGAACCTATTATTATTGTCATCCAGTTTTCTGTTGTCGATGGTGGTCTTCCTGGGGACATCCTGCCCGGTGATACGTGCCTGCTTCTGCATCCTCGGCGACTCCGCGGTGACGTCTAGCTGACCGATTCTCGCGTCAAGGATCTGTTCGAAGCTACGTCGTTTGTGACGCACCGAAGCGAAACCGTTGTTGTTGCCCCACGACGCCGTCCCCGTGCCGTTTGACGTTGGTCTCTGTTGTTGTTGCTGTTGCTCGCCACCGATAGTGACGTTTTCCCGACACCTTGACGACGACGCTCCCCCACTAATTGCTTTGGCGTGGCGGTACCGTGTCATGGAATCGCTGAACAGCTCTTTGCTCAACAACGACATGTCCAGTTTGTCGACCAGCTTTGGGTCCAGGACACTTGGTTTCTCGAGATTCGCAGTCTTCGGCCGTTCCGGGTCGTCATAAAGGGATTGGTCGCGTTTACATTTAGGCGGCCATGTGCCGGTGTCCGGGGTCTTCGATTTTCCCCGTTGTTGTCCTTTTTCTGAGGAACGTTCGTCTCGGTTTTATTCATTTTTCCAAGAGAATCGATGGATACGATCGATTTCAACCTGATTTCTTATTTGGAACGATTGAAATTGAAAATATACTAGATGTTCACGAGTTTGTAGATCATTAGGGGTTTCAGTTTACATTTTAAAGATTAATTTCTCTTCGATGCGATTTTAGTTACGACTATGATCTTACGCTCGATTGTATAGTTGTTCGAATAATGAGGTATGTACTTACTTTCCAGCATGCTCAGATCATCCTTGATCACCAAGAATGTCTTCTCCGGTAGGAACTCTGTCGGGCTCTTTTTCCATTTCATGATCGCCGCCGTGATTCCGAAAATACGTCACTTGGAATTTAAACGAAGTTTCCCGATATCACCAATCCACGAAGACGGTTCTCACGTTTCGAGTGGAATTTCACTTTGTAATTTCATAACAGATCTTAACCGAATTCTGGATCTATCATGTATAAAAAAAGAAATTATAAAACACGCAAGGCATTTGATTTTAGTTACACACGCTTAAACTTCATCGTTCGATCGACCGATTGTTATTAGGTGTCGTCGGTTTGACAAACGACATTTGTGGTTATCGCGATAAACAATCGGATTTTCGGTCAGCTCTCAAACTGTTTATCATCATGGGCAGCCCACTGAACATAGCTTCCCTTGAAACGTTCATCGCGTCATTTAAACTGTTCCATTAATCATTAATCCATTTAAGTGTGTCGAAAATTCAATTTCAATTCGATAGTCACATAATAATTTTTTAAATACAAACTACAACGCCGTTGCGTTATACACGTTCTTAAACGGCGTATGTAAATGAACGAGTGTCCCAATTACTATTTTTTAGTAATCACTGAATTAAACAGAAATGTATTCGTTCCTCAATCAATTCAAATGAAATACACTTCATAACAATGGCCAAAAATGCGCATCATTTTTTATCGGTCTTGTTGACATTAGCCCGAATAATGCTCGATTACTTCTGTTTAATTGATGAGCATCACTGTGTCAATTTGAATTGTGCGCGAGGTACGAAGGAAGAAACGCGATTTTAAGCGCGTACGGCCTTTGTCAGCGAAACACCCGGTGCACTGAGCTTCGGTTTACCTTGCCATTGGCTACATATAGCTTTTACCTTTCTCATTGTGGTCGACTGTGTGAAGAATACAGGTGGCCACGAAAATCGATCCAACGACTACTATTAAACAACTATATCGAGCCCCCGCTTGTGTACGGTCTCGTCATCACGCGGAAGCGTGTCACGTCGTTTGATATTTTGAATGAAGGGATCGTGTCACGTATCACTGCGGCAGACCTAGCCATTATTTGAAGAAAAATTATTTCAGAAAATGATTCACACAAACAAAAAATAATCCCGCTTCAGCGAAAGTGATGAGAGTAATATAAATGTTGATTGTTAAAATGAAAGAAAAAGCAAGAAATTATTCATGACTTAGCTCGACGGTTATTGGCACTTTTTGCCCGTTAATAAATTAACATTTCGTCACAGATTTTGTACGCTCCAGTCTTATGGAATTAATTAGTCAACTATGCAGGCGGCAAAGTGAAACGCCGAATGCTCCTTTTTGCATAATGTTTTCAGTTTTACGGCGTATCGTGTGGAAATATGTGGGTACGTTTCACATAGAAAGTAAATTGTTATGCATTTGCACATGTAATTGGGAAGGTTTATTCAAATACCTCCTTAAAAATATGTTTGTCCTGCTTGAAACCGTCGTTAGAAAAATTAAATAGATCGTACACCTAGAAATGTATTTACACAAATGTATATTGTACATAGTACCACGATATTATCGACGGTATCTATATCGCTTAAAGTGAAACCACAATTGAAAGATGTTGTTGTGAAATTGACACCTGAATCCACGTTTGTACGAATATTCCCATTCTCGGTTAACAATCTTGAATGCTATGTCTTCGTACGGTGGACCGGCGTGGAATCTCAGTATTGCAAAGTCCTTGTTGTCAGCACAGGGTGTCTGAAAATTGTAAAGATTCTTTTTAATAAGATATGTCGAATCTATTGTCAGAAATATTACAAAATTGATTGAAAAGATTATCTTACCAAAAAGTACTCGGGAGTGGTGTTCTTGTCTATGAGATCAGGATAAAATATATTAAATTTGTAACCTTGAACAATTTTTGGGGGTGGATTATCCATATCATAATGCGTCTGATTGTATTTGTTCCATTCGAAACCAGTATGTACTCGATTAAAGTATCTTGGCTTTCTAGGTCTATATTTATCGGACCATAAGTAAATCTGTGCTTCCAACGATGATTCAACACTGAATTGTGCTTCATCGGAGCCCATATTTTTCCGTGCTTCTCTGTGCATCGCTTGTTCCTCGGCAGTCATTACATTCTGAATTTTTCGTCCAGTACTTAGTACTTGTTTTCGCGCATATTCTAATCGCTGACTATCGTCTTCCTCTAAAGTAACCAATGTTCCCGGCTCAAGTTGTGAATACAGTATATATTTTGGAGAATATCCTCCTGATTCATATTCACAGAACGACTCTGATAAAAGATCATCGGCTGCATTAGTAACTTCTTGGTCATCACTGGAAATGTATAAAACACACCCATAAGTTGGCGCCTTATTCTTCAATAATTACACGTACATACGCATACTGAAATGAATACATACTCTGATTGACTTTCTTCACTCTTTTCTGTGACTGTATTGGTAGACGGTTCATCTTGCTTTCCTGACTCTTCACCAGGTACTTCGCTAGTCGATTGTAAATCCCCAGGTTCGTTCTCTGTTCTAGAAACTCCTTGTTCAGCGATTAAGACTTCCAATTTTTTGCGGAGATTTTCTTGATGTCGATCCCTCAACCGTGCTCTCGCCATATGTGCTGAGGAGAACAAATAATTGGTACAAACCTAGGCGTTAAATGATGCACCTTAAAATACGCGATAATAATAACTTCACAACTACCTTTTAGTTGTGATAAAAGACTTTCCCAATAGCCAATGTCTACACCTTCAGGTTTTCCTGTGATTTTCTCTTCAATTTGTAACTGTAAGGCTTCCAACTGTGTTGCTGTTTTTCCTTTGAAAATAGCGGTCACATCTTTAGCTACTGATTCGTGTATTCCTTCTCTTCTACCAACAGCTAAAAGTGGAAAATAAATTAGTATCATCCAAAAAGTACCTAACAATTTCGTTACCTATGTATTACATCAATGCTTACCAACTTCATACTCAGATCTTTCCAGTTTCCTCAACTTGTGTAACTCATCTTCAACAATTACTGTAATATCATTCCAGTAATCTAAGTTTTTACCACGTTCCAATTCTTTATAGACTTTGATATCTTCGATTAGATCTTCCAAATCTTTTACGTGTAACCCACGTAAATAAGTGTAGGGTTCGTGCATTTCTACAGCATCTACTTCTTCTTCGGCACTAATGTATTTCGCAAGAAGATCAATTGGTTTAGCACGACCATCCTGTATTCTGATACGAGATCTCAATCTAGCTTGTTCTAAATGAAACTGGTCTTCTTGTCTTGCCCACTGTTCTAATTGGGCAGCCTCTTTTCCTCTTTGTAGCATAGTCATTTCTTCTTCCCTCTGTTGTCTTTCTAATTCCCTTTCTTGCCTTCTCTTTTTAACTTTCTCCAACTCCCTCTTATTCTCTTCCTGTTTATGTCTATTTCTAATTTCTAATGCTTCTCTACTAACACCTAATAGACCTTCCTTTTCAAGTTTCTTAGACCACACAAATGTAGAAAGTAAATTTCCATCGCCAAAAGGATTATCTGTATTTGTGTAATGCAAATAATCATTATCCCAACCCATTCTTTCTTTACGCTTACGTTCCTTTGCCTCCTTTTTCTTTAAACGTCTTAATCTCTTTTCCTCGGGAGTCTCTGTAGCTTTCATCAATTCTTTCTGGCGTTTCCTCTCTTCAATTTGTTTCTGACGTTGTTTCTGAAGTTTTTCTAACAGTTTAGTAGAATCTGATGAAGAATCAGAAGAGGATGAGCTACTAGAGTCACTTGGATTTGAAGAGGATGAGGATGATGACGACGAGGACGACCTAAAATAATGAAAATACAAAAAAATTAAACGTTCCACGTATCACAACCTAAAAGACATTCAATGTCCCTTACCTCTTTTTGCTTTTACGTTTCGACGACTTTTTACGAGAATCTCGTAATTCAGAAGAATTTCTATGCTTAGATTTTTTATATTTTTCGCTAGAACTTTTCGAATGCTTTCGTCTTGATTTCGAGCTTCTAGATGTACTTTCATAATCGCTGTCATTATCCCTACGTGAAATTCTATCTTTGTGTCTATACTGATCTTTATTTTTCCTCCTGGATCTCTCGTGGTCTCCCCTATGAGAGTATTTCTCCATTTCTCTTGTAGACATGCTCATCGTGTTTCTTCATATAAAATATCCTACATACAGTCGTTTCATTATTTTGACACTTAACCTCACAAAAAACGATGCTTAAACTCAGCAACATTCGCCATCGTTGAATTTCAGATAAGTTCAGCTGATTCCGGTTTACTACGTTGTGAACTTCCGTTTATACACAATAAATTCCTACAATACACGAAAAGTTTATATTTAAATGTTTTTATAGGGGAATAATAAATATATAAAAATTATTTTATTATTCTGTGCTATGCTTGCAATTTGTTTGATTATTCTTCCGATATTCCGTAATAAATTAACTCACATATATAAACCGTCAACGAATCAGAAGTACATTCCCTCCACTCTTCTTTACACTACATCCGTTAAACTTTCAAATCGTGCTGCATACGAAGTCGGAGAAAGGTTTTCGAAAACTTACGGGCGATTTTTCGTCGCGTTCAGTGAATATACGATTGGTTTCCAAAGTCTCTAATCGTCAATCAGTGAAACAGGATGGCCCATAAGATCTACTATTCGGATAAATACTACGACGACAAATACGAGTACAGGTTCGTAGAAATAACGGTAGCGCGTGATGTTCGATTTAGGTTTCGATTTTGGTCAATTGTGCCATTTTCTATGGTCTTCGCAGACCTCTATGCATAATTAATTGAACGTATGCTTGTCCCAATATTGCCATCGCGTTTCCAATGAACTTCTTACGTTTGACAAAAATGTAATTATGACGAGGCTATTTTATTGGGTTAGACAATAGTTTCTTTGTTCCTTTTTCGGGTACGTTTTCCAAGAATAAATCGACGGTACGTGACGTCCAGAATACTGACAATAGCCACGCAACAAAGAATTGATGAAGAGGGAGGGGGTAATATTAAGTGATTTTAAGCAGCATAAAATTTAATGATATTGAATTATTTTATACGTTTTTTAGTTATGAGACATATTTCTTGAAATAGAATTATTACAAAATACTTATTAAAGCGAAATACAAATTTTCATTATTATTGTGCCGAATATAATTAGTTAATTAAATCATAATAACGTTTCCTATATTGTTACAGTATAAATTGTAGATTTTATTCATTTATGAGTAGTGCAACTCTATAAAATATAATGAAATAGAAATATTTGTCAAGAATTAAGAATATTTTTGTCCTATTTTCATCTTAAGACACCACAATTGACGAAGTGTTGTTTTTTCATTCGATTTGATTTTTTAAAATTGTCTATGAAAATAAGGATTGACGTGTATGTCTACAGTTCACTTATTATAAAAACATAGATGCATATACTATTGGTCAGGGTATGCAAGAATTACAGATGTAATTGTTTATTAATAAAAAATGTTTTCTTAGACATGTGGTTTTGCCAAAAGAGATGGTAAAATTTGTGCCCAGTACTCATCTGCTCTCTGAACAAGAATGGAGAGCTATTGGTGTCCAACAAAGTCAAGGATGGGTACATTATATGATTCATAAACCAGGTATGCTTGTATTCAAATTTAATTGCTGTAATTAGCTTCCTTATATCAAATCTAGTCTAATTGTACTGTTTATTCGTTTCAGAGCCACACATCTTGCTCTTTAAGAGAAAAATAACATCACCACCACCAGAAGATCAGATCCTTTGACATGATTGTACCAATTTGTAAATAATGCTTCAGATCATTGTTAATATTCATAGAAAAGCTCAACTATCATGGCAAACCATCTTACTGACTTTGAAAATCTGATTGGTATACCATTCCTGAAACAATTGCCACACATATTCCTGTTTGAAGTTTTGCTAAATTTTCAAAGATATAATAGCATGTTTTATTTTTTTCAATATTTTGTTACATTAACATGGCCTTCTGTCTTCATTGCCAATAAGTCATTCTCAAAAGCAAAGTTTTCTGTATATATGTCTATAATGTGCCTTAGTTCTTAGTTGCAGTTTACATAGTTCTTAATTTCGGAATTACCATAATAACTTGGTATTTCATTCAATGTAACTGAAGTGGAAACATTGAAACATTCTAGTTCATTCTTTTTCTGATAGTCAGAATTCTGAAACAGGAATAACAGTTCTGTCAAGAATTTATCGAGTCAGGAAAGACCTGATGATCTTGTGATTACAGTGCCTTGCACGGGAGTGCTAATCTTTATTTACTGTTAAGGTATACTATAACGCTACATTTAGGATAATCATTCCTTATGTTTAACAAGAATGATGTATTGAAAAACCTGTAAGACTTTAAGTTTTAAGTTCGCTAACAATATGGATATTAATATGATATTCCATTACTATTAGTTAAGAATGAAATTCTACGTTTATTATGTATCTTGCCATAAGATTTTTTCATTGATCAGGATTACATAATAAATTACATTCATTTTGCGCGTAACGTCATTCAGATTCTGCTCTCTACATTTTTTTCGCAACGTTATTTTTACCAGTATGTCTTCGAACTGCTATGTTTTAGTATTAGTTGACTTCGATTTACTTTTATAAAATAAAACAAGTATTGTCAATTCTTCAATAAACGTTTGTAACTAATGATTTTTCACTTTACTCGCATACAATAATATTACACTACAACTATATACGTACGGTAAATTGTTATTCGAATGGTTATTACGATGGATATAAACGTAACGGTATAGCATTGTCATGAGGCTCTCATACGTTCCTTCGTTCTACGCTCGCACGACAAAAAGAGCTAAAACAAATTTAGCCAAATATGCGAGAAGAGAAGGAGAGGAAAGGGGGGAACGGAATAATTAAAACAACCACGTGACTGACCTCAATTCAATTATACAAACATTGTCCCTAGCGGTCAAGTAATTCTCACACTAATTTTTGTAAACTGTACATTAATTAAATCATCGTTTATGGACTGACATGTGTTGCGCACACAGTTCGTTTCACTTATATTACATAATTTCGTTAGCCAGTGTCCTTTAACAAGGAAACAAGTAATTAAGGAAATTCTTTCGAGAAATAAAAAAACAAAATTCATTTCCATATCAAGAATAATACCCAGGGATGCATCAGCGAAACATTTTAACGTATTATCGAATTTCCGTCTGTATCGGTTCAACCCCTATCTACTGCTCATTTTAAATGGCCCTTGAGCGTAAATTTTGATCGTAAATAAATGGTGTACAAACAATTTTGTGTGTATTATAAGATTATATTTAAAACTCCTATCAATTATTACAACTAGTACTAAAGAGCAAAAACATTGGAATCGTCGAACACGTTTATTTAAATCGGTCGCGATGTATCCAAACTGATAAAAATCCTGCTAATGCGCGAATGTATCTGTTATATCTGGACCCTCAGATCACGAATGATTTTTTTTTTTAAAACGACCACTGTTTCGTAACAATTGTGATTTAAAATATATGCGTCGGTTACTAAAATGGCCGCCGTATATGGTGAAACCATTCATTCAAGTTCCGAATACGCGTGTACGTACGCGAAATCGGGAGGGATACACACGTTAGTTTACGAAACCGCGCGTGCTGTGTGTATGTCCCCTTCTCGTGTGTGCGCGCGCAGGGGCACGTGTACATCGTAGGATCCCCCCGGATATCCTTACATGTGCAAAGGTACAACAGAAAAAGTGCGAGGAGGGAGTCGGGTGGAACGGGGCAAACGCGAACGGCGAACGGGCGGAACAGAGATGCTGGATAGAGGCTCCACGGGTGTCGAAGAGAGAGGACGATATACTTGATCTCTGACGCGCACACAAATGCTGCATCCACGCGACGAAGGGCTCTGTGTTTCTCATGGGGGCTTAGCCGGCACTCCACGAGAACGGAGCGCGCCGACAGTACGACTATCGCGTTCGCGGGAACAACGACTTTTCGCGCTCTGTAAACCGAAACGAAACGTGTTCAGCATCCCGGATTTGAAAAATCAGCGCGCGGACAACGTGACTCGAGACTTCATTGTTCCTTCTGTTGCCAGGGAATTGTAAATTATCCAAATCGACGGGTAAGCTACGTCCTTTGTTTTTTTTTTAAATAAAATTATACGGTCTTTGGACGTTATCGACAGAATCAAAGTGATAAATAAACATGGCAGGTGGAGGGGGTATGATCGGATGATGGTACCAGAGAAAGATTAAGGGGTTTCTATAGATATTGAAAATTGAGTTTATGAAGAAAAATCAGAAGGGCAGTAAGAAAAATGATGTCGGTTAACAAAGCAATGAGATTATCCCTGAAGTCGAAATTGTTTTCTGGACACCTTATAGAACAATAAAAGGCAAGGCATTCTAACGATAGTGTGTCTTTGACCGTTGATAACCACGGTCTTCGAGTAAACGTTACGGTCATCGAGTTTCCTTATTGTGTATTACTGCGTGTATCTATTGTTGATGCGAAGGGGTAAACGGTTTAATGAACTGCGTCTATCTGTTGTCTCTGTGCGATGGCACACGCATCTGAGAGAACAAATTCAAACTGTTCGTGCGCCGCTATGACCAGCCGGAGTTTTTGCTCTGGAATTCCCGGGTGGCACATTCTGTTCCAAGGAAAATTTCGATTCGAAAAAAAGGGACATTTCTTTTCACCTAATGAGAAATGTTATCCAGTTTGTAATGGGGTTCGATCATAACTTCCGGTCTCCTTTCTTTTTCAAACGTATTTCGGGTCGAGGACACTCAATCATAAATCCTCCGTCATTAACCCCTTGCCTTATAACATCGAGTCACGCACGTGATGACGATGACAAACTACATTTAATAAACATTCATACAATTCATTTTCTTTAAGTCGAAATGAAATTCTGTTTCGCTGGTATTAACATTTACGATTCAATCTTACTACTTGCCATAACAATTGAATTCCTTTTGTATCTGGAAAATTATTAACGATAAAGTCATTCTTGAGACTGCAGTCGTTAAAAGAATCGTAAGACAATGGATTAAATTACGAATTTTCCATATTTCAGGTGTATGAACAAGCTAAACTGTATAGCAACGACTGCTACTGAAAGGACATACGTTTCCAATCCCCATCCAAAATAAATACCGACATTTCCAAATATAGCGTGTAGTCGGTATTGTTATTACGTAACAGTGACGAGTAGACAATTTATTAACACTTCAAAACGTAGCCGAAAAGTTGTATTTATACGTTTACATCGTACACTTTTCAATACTTTCTAAAATGGTTTAACACTCTGCCGCGTGTAATTGTGATTCGCGACTGTTCAGTCTCGGTTAAATAATTCGAATTCCTGTAGAACTTTTCGGGACGTGTCTGTCGCGCCTTTGCCGCGTCCTTTTGCCGCCGCGACGAGCTACTTTTGCTCTCGACGACTCGAATAAGAGTGGTCGCTGTTATTTGGCTCCACTTTCGTTTGCCCTCGCCGGAGAGTCGACCGTAAAGTACGATCAACCAATCCCGCTCTAATAGCAACGTTAACCGAAGGCCGATTTCGATCGTGCTCACATATCGCGTTTCTTCTCCTTTTTTCCCCGTTTTCATTTTTTCGTCGCCGATTGGCTCGTTTTCACGCGTACTTACGGTATCACGGATCGAAAACGACGGAATCATAAGTGGATGGCACGACGAGATATGTCAATGGCAAACTTCGTCTCCCCGTGCACGATTTCGTTCGAGAATGGATCGTAAAGGCAGATTTCCAGGACAGTTCGAACCGGTTAATACCAGTTCCTGCGAGATATACATACATACGTGCATGTGTAGCGCAGGAAAAGAAAATGCACTGTTTATCCTCATAGTTTTCATTCATCCATTTGTTCCGGAAATCAAACATCGATAAATCCATAGCTTTTATGTATACGTTTCTTATTAGCTTCTGTTTACTAAACGATATGTTTGTCAACACTAGTTTCGGGGAGCTAATCTTTATGTATATATTTAAATGTTCTCCAATCCCTATTACATTTTTTTCGGTGACATCATGTTCAAATATTTGAACTCAGAGATACCTTAATGAAGAAATAACGAGTTGATCAATGTAGTATCAATTTTTTGACTTTTACGAGATAGCTGTAGGATCTAATACTTACGATTCATTGGAAACGCTAATAAATTAGGAACCGGATTGAGACTTGTATTATTCGACTTGTTATTTGCGTATGTTATTGTTGGACTGCGGAACTTTACGGAAAATAACATTTTTCGAAGTGATTCGCAAAGACAGATGTGAAGACTGAATTTTCTTCTATTTCTTAAAGATTTTGTTAAGACAAGAATACGACAGAAAATGTATTAAATCTTGTGTAAGCTTCACCATTCATCGTATTTCACATAGTCGTATATGCTATAAATGCATATAATCCGCCGTCTAGTTATTATAATTCTCGTATTTAGAATTCGAAACGTTCCGTCTGAATAACAAATTGACGCGTCTCTGACGGCTGACAACAGGCGTGGAATCTAAAGAGATCATCATCGCCTAACAATTCACGTATATAAACATTTCATCGTGATTATATAATAGATTATATTATGCACCGCGGCATCGCGTATTAGTATGCTGGACCCAATGGTGGAGTCTTCGCGCGACACGGCATGCAGATTGTTTTCCTGCTCACTTTTGCAATTATGTTAGATAATTGTACGGAGTCACATTCTAACGTGAAAATACGCATATTGCCTAGCTTATTGTCAAGGACACGTCATAACCGCCGCGGATATAATAATGAAGCCTTTCCGTACGAAGTTATTCCAATACCAATGACAACAGTTTCTAGTCATACGACCGTTAAGAAAAATTCCTTTATCCACGAACGACGGTGATTAGGAATTGCCATGAAGCTTCTCGTTGAATACTGAACGAGATAAAATTCAACGATCACATTTTTCGAACGGAATTAACCCGTCGGGGATGGAGAAAAAGCAACGCACAATTGAATGCAATCAGACGACGACCGGGCCGCTGACCGCGAAAGCTCGCCGCTACAATTAATCGGTTTATTTACCTGTATTAACGGATCTTGACAGCTAACAGAATTACGGCACGCCGTCGTACTAATATCTGCTCGCCTTATCCATAATTGTACACCCACATGTCGATCTTATCACGGCCTACTGCACAACATGTGTAAATATTTTAATATCCCACCGCAATCATAAGAATAACGCGTGTTCCTGACATAAGGCCGACATAAAAAGATAATAAAATAATTACAAACACATCGTCTAAACTATACGTATACGTATACAGACACACACGCATACACATGTATAAACGGTCCGTTTCCTCACGGTTTGCCTCGAGGCAATATTTCGTTATCATATCGGGGTAAAAGTTTACGCAATGAGTTTCTGCGGATCACAATATTCGTCGGTGCTACGACCGTGGATCCGCGAAAATATTATTTCTCTGTACGGTTTTAAGCTTTCGTTCGAAAAAATAAAGAAACTATCCGACACACGATATAATAATTGTTAATTATAAATCATCTTGTCGTGCAAAAGAAGTGTGTAAAAAAATCATCGATATTATGAACAAAAATGTAATATTCTTGGTAAAAAATATTTTTTTTTTTTTGTACGCGTGAAAGGATCCTCAAGATGACCCTGGTTACTTTCGCCACCGGCGGTTTTTAACGATTCTCTGTTTTTAGGGTAAGGACGGTGACGACATGGCGCACCCGAGGAAATTAAAGAACTGCATGTCGGGGAACATGCTAACGATGCTGACCGTGTCTGGTGTTTTCGCTGGTGTCGTTCTCGGTTTCATCCTGAGAAACTCGAGGAGCGAGCCCTGGACGAAACGCGAGATAATGTACATCCAGTTTCCAGGCGACATTTTCCTGCGGATGCTGAAGGGCCTTATTTTACCATTGATCGTCGCCAGTATCGTGAGCGCGATCGGCGGATTAGATCTGAATTTATCTGGTAATTGATGGGTGACAAGTATTCGCGTATTTTTATAAGTTTTAAATCTGGTGATTGATCCAGACTAGGGCATACAATCCTGGGATCCTGCGATCCTGGCTAGTTTTTGGATTCCCAAAATTCAAATATTTAATACAACTGATTTCGGGAATCTCGAGATTTTTAAAAATGTGAATTACTTTACGAACAACTGAAATATGTAAAAATAAAAAAACTAAATGATCATAGTCATTTCATAATAATAAAAATAATTATTTAAAAAATCATATTAATTCGATTATAACTGAATTGATATCATTATCTGAATGAACCGTATCAGTTATATTCAAATTAATATTATTATTTAAATGACCATTTTAATCATTATTGTCATTATTGTGAAATGACTATGTTCACTTATTTCGTTTATTTTAACATTTTTCAGTTGTACATAAAGTAATTCACATTTTTTAAAAAATCCCGAAATTCCCGAGATTAATTATGTATATCAAATGTTGGAACTTTTTGGATCCAGAAGACATCCGGGATTGTATTCCTTAATCCAGACCAACGAAAAAAAAAGTTGCGTTCGTCCCGGAAACTATACGAGAGAAACCCATTTTTTTGGTCCATTATGAAATCAGTCATGAGTTGATACAGCGACCGACGACCGTGAAGATTTATCTTGTCTCTGACAATATCAATCATCTCGCTCGTCTCGAGATGTCATTCATGATCGCGGTGGCACAGAATATATTCACTGTAATTCTCAGAAGTTCGATTTCTTGAAAGATCGCAACGTCGGTTTTATATTCAAATTTGACTTTATTAACTGGTTCATACCAGATCGATATCTTCTTAGTTATTCGATTCGTTTCTTATTCGCACACCTTTGGACCGGAGCATCATTGAATCTGATTGCTGGATCGCGTGGGAGTAGAAACTTGTTTACGCGACGATCGTTTGGCAGTACATAGATTACTGGTATTCTCTTGCGAGATTTAACTGGTGATTAAACCTCGAACAATTCCGACAACGAAATCTTCTGCTTCTTTTTTCTTTCGTATATCTATGATTAATTCGAGTCCAGGATGTTCTATTTGCCGGGAGAACAGTTTGTCGACCGAGTTCCTTTTCTGTCCTCCTCTCTTCTTGTGTGAATGTTGAAGAACGTTTCGTCACGTGATAACAACTTGGCAAACTAGACATAAATCTTGATCACTTTGTGTAACATAATTACGCATGCGTCATGTGACACGCTGCATTGACTTTGAAAGTGTGTATTTTGTAAGTGAAACAGAAGCTAGGTCAAACCTGTGATATTGTTTTAATTTGCAGGAAGGATCGGTATACGATCGATTTATTATTATGCGTCGACAACGATATCCGCCGTGGTTCTTGGTATAATACTCGTTTTGATTATTAGGCCTGGAGAGTTTAGTCATCATAGCTTAACTACAAATGACAATATAAAACCACCTAGGAATGTTACGACCGTAGATACGCTACTAGACTTAATCAGGTATATAAATAAATCACATCTCCCTACGACGAATCGTTATTAGGACTTTATCAAATTCTTTTGTTTCACAGGAATGTGTTCCCTCCCAATCTTGTACAAGCTTGTATTGCTCAAGTATGTATCAATTTAATATAATTTTATATCTTGTGCAATCCCTATTAATGATCCATGTATCGATTATTTAATTTTAATTGATTGTATTGTCACTCTTTTATATTAATTTCTATTCGATTAATTTATGCGACAACTTTTCGGCTAGTTACCAGCCCTAGTTACAACATGATTCATTGAAAGATATTGTATAGAGATTATTTCATTGTATGTGTTTTAATTATACTTTAATCGGCTATTATTCTGTGCAGTACCGTACGATATTAGTTGAGCCGAAAAATGCAACAGAAGGTAACTATAAAATCTAAACATCCGACCCTGATAAGTATCAGCGTGATTTACTAATTTAATGCTCTCTTGTTCCAGGAACCACTTTACAAGATTGGGAAATATCTAGTACGTATGGAGATGGTACAAATACTTTAGGTTTGGTAGTTTTTGGAATTGTATTCGGAATAGCTATTAGCAAAATGGGCGAGGCTGGGAAGCCCTTGTTGGCCTTCTTTGATACTTTGTCCATAGCATCTATGATTATCACTAAATGGGTGATATGGTAATAAACTACATAATATATAGTTTACTCGATTCATTTTTAAATAATCTATGTTAAGACGTTCTTTTTATTTGAAGGTTGTCCCCAATTGGTGTACTCTTCCTTGTTACCTCTAAACTCTTGGAAATTGAAGACATTGGTGCCATTGTTGGACAACTGGGTTTATATTTCATCACAGTATTATTGGGTTTGATTATTCACGGCTGTGGAACTCTTTCTATCATATTCTTCATTTGCACCAGAGAATTGCCATTTAAACTGCTCGCGAAAATGGGTCAAGTTTTGGCCACTGCATTTGGTACTTCATCTAGGTAAGTTGTTTTGTGATCACGATAAACCATCCGTTAAACATTCATCTATGCTTTAAATGTATAAAACACATAGTTCTCCGATTACAGCACGGCAACCCTTCCAGTAACAATACAGTGTTTAGATGACATTGGTGTAGATCCTAGAATCACAAGATTTGTTGTGCCAATTGGTGCCACCATAAACATGGATGGAACTGCATTGTATGAGGCTGTTGCAGCCATCTTTATAGCTCAAGTTAGACAAATCCCGATGACTCTCAGCAGTGTTATTGGTGTTAGGTAAATGATAATTACTAAATTAAAGAATGTTTCAAACAATACAGGGAAAAGAATCATGTTTTCTCACAGTATAATATTTTCAGTATAACTGCTACTGCAGCAAGTATAGGAGCTGCTGGTATTCCACAAGCTGGTCTTGTTACAATGGTCATGGTTTTAGATACTGTAGGTTTGCCTGCTGAAGACGTAACACTCATTATTGCGGTTGACTGGCTCTTGTAAATATACTGCTCCTTTAATATCCTAAGCTGAACATTTTTCAATTAAATTCTTATAATAATTACATTATCCATTTGTAGGGATCGTTTTCGAACAACAATAAACGTTATATGCGATGCACTTGGAGCTTACGTTGTTGAACATATGAGCAAAAAGGAACTCGAGGCAACTGGCAATATCGCAGAAGAAACAGTTGAATTAGCCAGAATTAGGGCAGCCGAAGCATAAATTGTCATCTTTCCTCTTGCTACAATTTTGCCATGATATTACGTAAACACAATTTTACTGTGTTTATATCACTTTTGTATCCTTCATAGTCAATTATTTGTATTAATGTATACTCATGCTGGGTGCAAAACTTATTTTATATAGTAATCTATACATATTTGTATAATTGCTGGATATTGCTACAGCAGGACACTTACTTAAAGATTTAAAAGAACAAGATTAAGCACTAATGTACTTTAAAAGATCCATCATCCATTTCGATTTTATCATAAATATACCAAAATACGTTATTTTTGTTTTCTCTCTTTTTGTAATAACGTTTTATTGTAGATGTGTTCTTGTATGTAAAACCAAATATAACATTCCATATATTTATTGAGGACAGCAAATATAAAAAAAAACTGTATTCAATACTATTTCTACATATATCATTTCTGTACATATATAGTATTTATTATACAGATTTTATTATACGTCCCATAAAAAATCATTGCCTGTAAAAATACTTAAATATGTACTTTTTTAATTAATGTTGTGATTAAACTTTTAAATTTGTCACTTACTAATTTCTTCAATAAATTTATATTTAAAGTTTGTAAGCAGATTTTATACAATTGCCCATTCAGAAGAACTTAACACCTTGATTATCATCGAATAAAATTAACTCAGCTTTTTTATTTGTTTCTAATGTTTTAAGTGCTCTAAGTAATACTTCTGTATCAAGCCCATGAAATTCTAGAAACACATAATTAATTGCTTAGTTTTAATACACACCTACTAAATAAAATTATACAATTTTTAAAGAAGCGCACACCTTGATCCACTGTATCTTCTCCTTGTGTTAATTCAAACAAAGTACATACAGATCCAATGAATCCTTTCTCTTGTGCCCAATTGTAGATTATCTCACCCCATTCTTCTAAAGTATGCCAATAAACCAACCATCTGTGCTTGTTTTTATCTAATGGACTTGCATTTCCTGACTTTGCTAATTCTTCTAAGACCAATAGGACAACTTCTGATGGTAACTTCCCTAACAGATATGTTAAAGAAATATTTGTATAATTTTATTTATCAGTTTTTTTAGAAAGGATACGATTAATTGCAGTATTATTAAACAATGGGCTTGTGTGTGCTTCTCGAATATCTAGAATGGACTGCTTTGTGACACGGTAATATTCTAGTATTAAGCTTTCCCATGCTGCCAATTGTTTAGCCCTGGTGTCTGTATGAGGTTGAAGACTAAAAAAAAATGTATATGTTATATGATAAATAAATGACGATCGATAATGTTACAACATAAGAAACTGTGTTAAAGATAGCACTACTTTATGCATTGAGTACAATTATGTATAACCTCTACACTACGTACGCATTATTACTTTAAACCTAAAAATTTCTATCGGATATTTAAATACAAGAAATAGCAACTTTCGTTCTAATTATAATTGAAAATATAGATCGTAACCTATTCTTACTTACGTATAGAAGGGAGGAAAACTATATTGCCACGGCCACTCGACTTCTGCCATTCTTATTCAAATATCTAACAAATCCAATGAATCATGCATCAGTTTACTAAATACACCTTTTGGGATGTTTGTTGTAGACTTAATAAAACTGTGTACAAACAAAAATGTTTACGAGTATAATATTTAATACTTTCGATGTATGGGAGAACAGCTGTCTCCAGCTGTCTCAATTTCAAATTGGCTACTTTACCGCACACGTAAAATTTAAGTATGTAAACAAAATCTAACGTTACTATCAAAACAATAAAAATGGGAAATAAACAAAAATTTATTCGACTTACTAAGAGTTGTACTTTGTTCAAAATTAAGTGTGTACGTACAGAGCATTTTAAAATATATCAGTCGTGTACACAAACATGGCACGCATTTGCATAAAAAGTATAGTTGTATTTGTATGTTGTTTATAAAAAAATTTGCCAATATAAGCATAGAAAAATGTAATTTATAACTTTTCCAAAAAATTATAAAAAACGTCTTTTCTTCTTCGTCATTTTGAACGAGGTTTTTTTTCATGAATTGTTGATTTAATCACAGATACGTCTGTGGTTGAATTTCTTCATGGTTGTTGCACGTTTATTCATTACTACGTGTTCACCGAATTGAGTTCGTGATTGTTTATGTTGATCCATTCGGTTGTTTACAACAAATGTGAATTCCTCATTACATTGGTTTTTATAAAATTCTTCCGGTTTTTAATCAGTGTTGCCATCTACAGTAAGACGGACAAACTTTTGGGGCACTTAAATATTTACCGTTTCCTTTTAAATGTTTGGGGGGTTGGAGAACTTTACATAGAAATTAACAAAATGCGTCTTCAGTGAACAAAGTGTATGAATTAACATACAATACGGTGCTACGGTATTAATTTACGTCTAAGGTAAGGCTCCTGAAAAATTTTAAGTACTCTCGACAATCTTAACCTTAATCTTCTGTTACTCGATTATGAACGTCATAAATGGTATTTGTCAACATATTTTGAGAAATAAATGTGGAAATTATACTCAGTATTATTGTTTCCACAGTGATATATCACAATCATTTTCATTCTTTTGCAATGAAACATTCTATTGTCTTTCATCGTAATTAAAGGTTATCATGTAAATGAGAATTACGGAATGATTGTTGTTATATGTTTGTATATATTGCGGTATTAGTTTATTTTAATTACTCTTTCTGCTTTCTGTTATGCTAGTAGATTTAGTTGAGGAAAACATGATCACTCTAAGAGGAAAATTAAAAAAAGATGGTGACTTAACGAATTCAAAAAGCAAAGATTATAACAAACGCATTTCTGTTCGTGATAAATTATTGATCAAAGAGGTACAGTGATATAGAGATGTATAGAATTGTAAATTAATTAAGTAGCTTTAAAAGAATAACTAACCATGGTGCGGTGACTTTTCAGGTTCAAGAAATGGAACAAAATTTACCTACTACCTGTCAAGTTACATTTAACGATCCACATTGTCTTCATGAGTTTACACTTCTAATTGTTCCTGACGAAGGGTACTGGATGGGAGGTCGATTTTACTTCCAGATTTATATACCTGAAGATTATAATATGGCTGTAAATATAACATTACTGTGTATGATGTAATGATTTAGAATTAGACAAATATTGACAAACTACCTTTTCAGCCACCAAAAGTTAATTGCTTAACAAAACTGTGGCATCCTAATATAAGTGAAGATGGTGACGTATGTCTTTCAATATTAAGACAAAGTAGTATAGATGGAATGGGATGGGCACCAACACGTAAACTTCAGGATGTTGTATGGGGCTTAAACTCCCTTTTCACTGTGAGTCTTAAAGAGTGTAACATTATAAAATGCAGTAAAACTTCATTTATTCGGAATTTTAACATTTCTTCAATGCTTTATCAAAAATAACTCGCATTGTATTCTTTCCAGGATCTTTTAAATTTTGATGATCCCTTGAATAGAGATGCAGCTGACCTTTTCATAAAAGATAAGGAATCGTTTCGAAGTAAGGTGAAAGATTATGTTATGCAATATGCAAAGAGATGATTCGAATCGTACAATAATATTATAATAATGTAATTCTACACTTATGGAATTAATTATTCGAGTTAGGCAAACATTCGAAATTTGATCGAAAGATTTTCTATATTTCAAAGTGACATCAACCAATTCGTATTTAATATTTTGCTACTAGTCTTCTCATTCTAGGGAGATTGTGTTTGTTATACTTCCGTTTTGTTAATTGTACGCAGCTTTCGATTGTTATGATACTTCATTGCAGTTATGATACAATTTAACATACATGTAATTATCGGTACCAGGAACGAAGACAGAGAATGTGTCATTTGTACAATATGCTTGTCCTCTTTATAGAGCAATATAATGATGGAAGATAATTTGTAAATAAATTCCATATTTAATAACGAGACCTTCAATTGCGTTATCCCTGAACACGGTGGGAGAATGTTTCTGTTTAAAAGAACATCGTTTTATTTGTATTACTTAGCATTTATTGGTGATTTTATTAGAACATCATCATCGTTTTTGTACAATTTCAAAGGGTTCGGTTTGTACCTTGATCCGTTAAAACGTGGTGTATCTTACGTTATATTCAAATATACCGATCGTTCCTTTTGCCATCTTTGGTCGTGAAACGTTCACGTGTCGGCGGACGTTGGCATCTGTTAAAATAATTAAAAGTTGTAACAAATAAATAATAACAAAAAAAAAAGAGAACAAGCAAAGGAAGCTTTTGCACGTCGCTCCTCTTTGGTTACTGTGTTCCCTTGCTCTCCACAAGACTGACTAGATACGTGCGTGAAGTTCAACGGTCACGTTAGGTAAAGAAAATTGGAAAAATCATGGCTTAATCGTATCTTATTCGTTAGAACGTGGTGAGCAGTTCTTCTTGTATGCTGGTCGATCTTATAAGTTTCTGCGTGGTGCCTAACAGGCTTTCGCTTCCCAACGTTTGACTGTCGGATGCCACTTTCGATTTCTCTTCGTGGTACTCCTCGTTGTATTCTTTCAGTCTATTACCTAAGAATACGGCCCTCTCGCGTTTCTTAATCATAAAGTCTGATAGTTGAAGCCATCTGTGTTCATGGCACTCCTCCACCAATGGTCTTTTACTAAAATCAGAACAAGATAGAAACATTTTTTTGTATATAACAAACAGTCTTAATTACAAACTATACGTTTCTACAAACCTGGGTGCCCGTTTAAAGACCAGCATAAGGAACCTAGTAGCCTCCTGACTTAACTCTTTGTACAGGTGTTCGAATCTGTATCTGACGAACAGGATGTTTTGCCTGGTTTCGTCAGGATCCTTCCCACGGAACGGCGGCATACCAGAGAGAAGGACATACATTAGGACACCAACCATCCAGATGTCCGTCTGAGGATGTGCCGGTTCTTCGTTGTAGACTTCAGGCGCTCTGTAGTCGGGATGGCCAAGTTTAGGTACCGGAGTGCCTAATTTGCTCACGAACCGGGCCGAGCCCATGTCGACCAGCTTTATCTGGACTGATCGAACAGTGGACATAACCACGTTGTCAGGCTGAATGTCCAGATGGCTGTATCCTCGCCAGTGGAGATATTGCAGACCGTCCAGGACCTGCGATATGGCAGTGGCCACGCAGTTCTCTGTGTACTCGTGTCTGCTTGAGAAATAAGTGAGTATATCGGCACCCTGGAGCTTCTCCAGTATGAAGACCGCGACTGGCGAACCAGGCGCCTTGTATGCTGCCTCCAGCATCGCTATCCTCTCGTGTCTCAAGGAACGAAGGGCTTCGAACTCTCTGTTCACCTGTTTCTCGGCGTCCGAACCCAGCTCCAAGATTTTGGCTACTACAACACGGTCCGAGGACTTGTCGACACCCTTCACCACGGCGGAGAACTGGCCCCTATTGATTTCCGAAATAAAACTGTATTTGCCGGTTAGATTAGTCTCGGTCGACCATTCGATCGGATGATCCTCGATGGAATAGTCCATGTGCGGTCTGTCTTCCTCCAGAACAATTTCTTGACCGGCTTCCGTCAACTCCTGAAGATGCCTCATTGCTCTTGTTATCTGAACCTTCGGACATCCCGGTGGCCTGGTCTTGATTAGTTTCGATGGGATTCCTTTCTCGCTCCAACCGATACGGTTTCGAGCCGCCAAACGGAAGTTGTAACTGGTGTCGTTCTTCAGGTTTCTCACCAGGTAGAACTCGTGGTCGATGTTCGTGCCGATGTCTATCCACTCGATGGCGTCACCTTCACGGATTTGAAGCTGGTAACACAAGACCGGAGAGTTGCCGTCGTACTTGGGCTGCTTCCATCGGAGAAGGATTTCCGTGTCGGAGAGCTCAGAAACCTGGAATAGCAATGTTTGTTAGAAAGGAAATGATCTCAGTATCGACAGTCTCGCTGTGCATGGAACACCTGATTTTACCTCAGGAGAGTCAGGACCAGAAGGAACAACCGCTTCCACCAATCTGCACCTAACGACAGTCTGCCCCAACGTGTTTCTGGCCACGACCTTGTAACTACCTATGTCGTGATCCTTGGTTGGACTGAAGTTAAGTATCGATCTTCCATCTTTATCTTCAGTGACCTTTATCCTGTTGGTTTCTTGGATCATGATGTCATTCTTAAACCACTGGATTAACGGTTTAGGACTTCCTACAGCTAGGCACACCAACTGAGCAGGTTTTCCTGGTTCTATAGGCCTGATCTGTGGCTTCTCCCGGAAGAATGGTGGATGTCCGTCCTTCTTGGACTCCAGCATCGCCTCAGCTTCGGCATAGCTGTCCAATCGCGTTCCCAGCTCGTGTTTCAAGCGTCTCAGGGTGAAATTATCCGGTGCACCGTATCTACTGATCCTGGCCCGTCTCTCGTCGTCAATTTCTTCGTCCATTACATCCGTGAAACGACGACGTTCGCGTATAATGGGCGCCTGAATGAAAGGAAGACAAAGTTAGAAGAATGTGAAGGTGGTTTCTTGGATTTGAAATTCGAGATGTCGATTACCCTCCAGTCGAAGTTCTCGTCGGAAATATTGCGGGAGAATCCTGGGCTACGGTTACATGCAACCTTCATGTATTCGCGCAAACGTACAGGGAAATCGGTGTCCCGAAGTTGCAAAAGATACGTGTCTGGTCCATTCTGGTAGCTGCAAAACCAAGTAATCACACATTATTGTTCATCCAAGGTTCGAATAACATTTAAAATAGTATTTAACGTGAAACAAGATCACGGGCGCCATTTCTACTCACAAGTCTGGGATCTTAATGATCTTTTATTGTCACTTCTTTACCTTTAAAACATAAATGGGTATTACTCACTGACTTTCGCTCTTAATTATTCCAATCTCAGTGTCAATCGGTTCTCTCGTTGGTATCTCGGTGTCCCAAGGTTTAGCCAACGGTTTCTTCAACGGACTGTATGTTCTGTCGTCGCTAGGTTCAGGAGTGTACTTGTGACCAGGCGGATAAACCATCTTGGACGGATGCTCGAAAGCGGACTCCAACTTGCGTCTGCGGAACCAGGTGCGGCAGGATGCGTTGTTGTACCAGTTGCTGGAATAAGTTTATTAAAAATATTCAGAACGAATAATATAACCAAAAGCTGCACGATTTCGTCCTGTTACATTCTGCTTACCGATACAGTTTGTAATAGTTCTTCAAATTCTCGGATGGTATCTTGTACAAATCAGTGGGAGACCTATCCGTGTAGCCAGTTATCCAAGGATGCACAAGCGCAGCCTTAACGTCTATTCTTCTCTCGCAATTATACATCAACAACACACGAATGAAATCTCTAGCATCCTCAGATATGCTGCTCCAGCGATCATCAAACTCCCACTTCCCTTCTCGAATTCTCATTATGGTTTCCCTGTCGTTGATACCCCTGAACGGCGAGATTCCCGAGAGAAGGATGTACGTGATGATACCGACAGACCACATGTCCGCGGCGAAGGACACTCCTTCGTTGTTGGTCACTTCCGGTGCCACGTACTCGGGCATTCCATACGCCAAGGTCATCAGCCTCGTCTGAGTAATTCGTCTGGAGAGACCAAAGTCGCAGATCTTCAGGTCGTCACCTCCCGTGTGTGAAATCAACAGATCTCCGAGCTGCAAGAATATTTCACCAATGAGAACTCGAAGGATCGACTATATTCCAGTGAACGTATATGAATTATTTATTGAAACGAAAATCAACCGTTAGGCCAAGATGAGCAAAGTGATTATCGTGCATGTACTCCAACCCCCAAAGAAGTTGCCTGATATAACCGGCAATCTCTGCTTCTGTGTAATATGCCTGCCTAGTCAGGGTATCCACTAGTTCGCCACCTGCAGCTCTATTGGTTGGTTAAGAAATATTGCATTGGAAGATTTGTGCTCGAACAGCGTAAAACTGATAACGGTAACAAAATACCTTTAAATACCAAACTTAATTACTCAATTACTGTCTGATAATATTAGTTGATAGATTTAAGGCATTATGTTCGAAACCTCGATGTAAATGATTACACTATTAACAAAAATGCAGAAAAACAAAATTATAGAAATACTTCGGCCAAAGGATACAGTTCCATAATCAAAGTGACAGATCGGTCATTCTCATAAGCATCGTGCAGTCGCAGCAGCTTCCTATGATTCAAATTATTCATAATCTCCATCTCGTTGTACATGTACGGCCTGAGTTCCCCTCTGCCATGCATGACCTTAGCCGCGTAGTTCTTTCCGGAGCATCTCTCTACAGCATGATACGTGACACCTTGGGTACCACGACCGAGCTCATCGCCAAGATCATAGTAGTCCTCGTATGGTTTGTCGTGGCGGGTTCTAATATCAGTTTTCCTCTTGTACGTTCTGAATCCATATTCATGCTCGTTCTCCTCCACGTGTAGCATCACTGAACAGGAGATCGATCCGGCTACATTCCCTGCGCTGATTGAGTAAAGACCCTCGTCCTTCACTATGGCGTCGTTGATGATGAGAATCGAAATATCAGGTTCCGTGAATTCAATCTGGAGGACCAGAAAAACATTAAAATAAATTTCTCCAATTCCAAGAGTCTAATTTATGAACACCAAGCGTACCCTGATTCTAGAAGAAGACGTAAGAGGCTTCCAGTCCTTGTACCATTTGATCTCCGGATAAGGTATACCAGTAACCCTAGCCACCAACTGGCCGGTTCTTCGGATCATCACGATCACCTCTTCCGGTCTCTGGATAAAAGTTGGATACTCTGCGATCTGCAGGCAAACCCTTTGCCTAGCTTCGCCGTGCTCGTTAGTAGCCACAGCTTCATACATTCCTTCGTCCCTCTCTAACATTCTGTTGATGAACAAAGTAGCTTGTCCGTTTCTGGTGTAGCTTTGGTCGTATCTACCACCGGACTCTATCAGCTGGTCATTGAAGTAGTAGGTCATCCTTGGTTTCGGGTAGCCGTAGACGAACCAGAAAAGATTGCAATTGTGATTTTTCACGCCGTACTGGGTGTCGTATTCCTGACGGAGGAACCTTGGCGCCTGGGCGTAACCGTCATGAGGTGGCCTTTCGATGTCAAAGTCCTTGGGGAAGTAGGGACTGGTTTCAGGACGGAAATCGATGCCAGGCGGCAAATAAGGGAAGAACTTGGGCGGATCAGGCTCCAATTTCGCTCGATAGGTCTGCGCGAACGGCGACGGATCGCTCATCCCGTATTTGTTTTCCACGCGGATACGGAACTTGTAGTCCCTGAACGGCTCCAGGTTGCGGATGTCGCAGACGCAGCTGCGGATTCCCGAGCGAGCGGTGAACCAATCGCCGTCTGGCTGTTCGCACATTTCCACTTGATACGTCACTGGTATTCTAGGGCCAATAGGGATGGACGGCTTCCAGGACAACGTTAAATGGCGGTCCATCATCCTACTGATGATTGGACGGTCTGCCAAAGGTAATGGAACACCGGACTTCCGGTATTTGTCGAAGTCCGCGTATTGGTCTGCCAGTGGTTTCTTCGCTCGCGGTTCTAACGCTAATGAAAGTATAATTCGAGGATAGATAAAGAATGTAACCAAGGAGGAATTGAATAATTCTTCAGGGTGGAGAATTCAAAGTAAAATCCTTACATTCGTAGATCAATTCCGCGGTGCACGAGTCTTCACCGTGAGGATTCACGATCTTCAGAACGTATTTGCCCGCGTCCAACTCGTCGATGTTGGCTATGGTCAGGCGCAACAGGCTTCCTTCTTGGTCCATTCTGATCCTGTCTGTCTGCCATATTCGGTCGCCGTTACGGTACCACTCGAAGTCCGGCTCTGGGTAGCCTGTGACGCAGGCGGTGAACTTTGCTGGCATTCCTCTGTACACCTCGCAGTCGCCGATCCTCTTCAAGAATGATGGAGGTTCAACCTTCTGCATCTTTCCTCTGAAAACGAAGAATAATTTCCGTACAACCACTTCGAGGGGACGAACCCTGAAGAACAACGAATTCAATTCTTACAAATTACATACATCTTATCAACCACAGCCAAATTGGCCACGCACTCCGCCTCTCCGCTTCTGTTCACCGCTCTGCACTTATAAACCCCGGAGTCGTCGTAAGTGCAGTCTTTCACGTACAAGCAACAAGCGTCTCCGTCTCGTTTTATTTTGTACTTGTCATCGTCCTGCGAAATCGGTTTGTCGTTGAAGTACCAGCTGATCTCTGGTCGTGGGACGCCGGTGATTCGCGCGGGGAACTTGGCGTCGAACGTAGGCAACTGTTGAAGATCCGTGAATTTCTGGGTAAAGCTCGGTGACTGGTAGATCTTTCGAACGTTGGCTGTAGCTTTGGTCGAGTCCTCGCCCAGTGGGTTGGTCACACGACACTCGTAGACACCCGCGTCCTTCGGTTCGCAAGGATTGATCTCTAACTCGGTCTTCTTTCCGTCACAGGTGACTGTCACACGATCCGAGGGCGCTACAGAAGCTCCGTCCTTGGTCCAGTTCACGTCCGGCACGGGATTGCCGACGAAGGAAGCGGACAGATTCAACGGCTGACCTTCTTCGACGTATACGTCCCTCATTGGGTTCACGAAGCTAGGTTTCTCTTCGGGGACATCCGGTTGAAGCTTGCCCATGATGCTGATGGTACCCTTGCAGGAGGATGTGCCTTCTGTATTACCTGCGATCACCTGATACTCGCCTGCATCTTCTGGTGTAGCTTTATCGATAATCAATGCCTGACTTCCGTCTGGTAGGCTGATAACCTTTATACGTTGTCCATCGGGTTTAATCTGTGGATATACAAAAGATACTGTAGTAACAATTTTATACTTTTACGAATAGAATTAGATCCAGACGCACCTCCTCTCCATTCTTGAACCACTGAAGCTGCGGTACTGGTTTTCCCAACACCTTGACCTCCATCTTGACCGGGAAGCCCTCGACCACCGTCAATGGCTGAAGACTTGTCACGAATTCTGGTCGTTTCTCCTTTTCTTGGACTTCCACTTTAGCAGACCCGGTGGTCTCACCAAGGGAATTGGACACTGTTAAAGAATAAGTGCCAGCATCTTCTGGCCGAACGTTGTCGATCCTGAGACCGATCAAACCGTTGGGTTCGTTCATGAAATATATCTCCTTGGCCTGTCGCAACGGTATACCATCCTTGAACCATTGCACTTGAGGATTCGGGACGGCGACCACTTGAGCTTCCAGTTTCAGAGGCTGACCAACGACTGCCTTTGTGTCCTCCAATGGTTTCGAGAACGATGGTTTTCTTCTCTGGGCTACAATTGCGTTTAGTTTTATTAGAATAAATCAAATTATCAACGGTAAAAGTTATACTTACGTTTGACAGCCACAGCACACAGAGAAGTGTGGTCACCGGTGGAGTTAGAGATCACCAACTTGTAAGCTCCACAGTCGGTTGGTTTCACGCAATCGATTGTAAGCTTGATACTGCCATCCGGAAGGGACTCGATCTTCACGTGCTCATCCGGCACAATCTTCTCCCCGTCTTTGAACCAGGCGACGCTGGGCATAGGGCTGCCATCCACCTTGGCCTTAAGTTCAAGAGGTTCGCCCTCGTCGACGTCCAGTGATCTTGGCAGAGTCTGACCGAAGGTGGGTGTGATCAGTTGCATCTTCAACTGGCAATTAGTCTGAGCGCTTCCGGCGACATTGGTCGCCTGGCATTTTATGGTTCCAACATCACTGTGCGAGAAGGTCTTGATGGAATAGGTGCTGTCCACTATACCGTCCACGTGAGTGGTTATCGTGTGACGACTGTCTTCCCTGATGACCTGGTCGTCCTTTAGCCACACGACCTGCGGTTTTGGGATACCAGTCACTCGGATCTTCAACTCAAGGTCATCACGGTCCTTGCAATCAACGTTGGTGAGGGTCTTAGAGAAGGTTGGTGACTCGGCTGTAACATTTTATAATATATTTCATTATCTTCGGTTACTTTTACAGCGAACCAAGAGGATGACGATACTTACTATGAGGTTTCAGCGTCGCCTGCGCGGTCACTTCGCCGAGATAGTTCTTAACCTGCAGAGTGTAAACTCCCCCGTCTTCAACCTCGATGCTCTTAATGATAAGCTTGTATTTATTATTCCGTTTATCTTCCTCGAAGTCGAACCTGTCCCCCTTCTCCAATGTTTCTCCGTTCTTCAACCACGTGATGTCTGGCTTTGGGTTTCCCACGATGATGACCTCCCACTGGAGTGAATCTCCAACGGGCGCAACCATGTCCTTGAATTCTTGGATTTCCGGCCGTAACAGGAGATTGAGGAAAGCCTGAAGGACGATATTCTGTGTAAAATAAAGCATGACGACTCGTTTCGCGTAAATAATAGGGTCATTACTAACGCTGGCTTCGGCTTCGCCGTATTTGTTCTTCAGCTTCAACGTGTACTCTCCAGTGTCTTCCTCGGAGCATTTTGGAACGCCCAAGGTAATTGTGGTCTCGGTCAGTTTATCGGATGCTGGTTTATTTCGTACGGTACACTTCAATCGGCTATCGTCCGGCGGGACTTCTTCGCCCTTGAAGTACCTATTCAAACGAATTACCTTTAAAGTACCTTCCACGATATTGCACGGTGTATAATGTCTAGAAATCATCAGTTCCACTTACCACGTCATCTCAGGAATAGGATCAGCTGTGAAAGTAGTAGTGAACTCCCCAGATTTTCCTTTAGCCACATCGACGTCGTGCAGGGGCTCGGTGAACTTCGGTCTCCTAAGATCATCGACGGTTCCGACGGTCAAGTATCCTTCAGCGGTGTCTTCGCCAAGTTTATTCGTGAGCATAAACGTGTACACGCCTTCGTCCTCGAGGATCGCCTTGCTCAGCTCCAAGTTGAAATTCTCCCCGGTGCCGGTGATCCTCACGCGATCACCCCCACGCAAAGGCTTTCCATCCTTGAACCATTTGGCGTCCGGTCGCGGCAGACCCGTCGCCTTGATCTCGAAGTGTACCGACTGAGTCTCGTAGATCGTTCGATCGGAAAGACTCGCGCTGAGGATGTGAGGGGGCGCTACGTAAACAATGAAAAAGTGAGATTCGTTTGTCTAACCAGAACGTTTCAAGGGGTGTGTTGCTTCTAAACATTTCCTATTTTTAGCCGTGCAGCTAATGCGCATCTCGTCACGTGCTGCTTTGTTATACATTAATTTGTTAAGGTTACAGTGTTCGAATGCTAGACAAATTTTACTACTTCTGGAAGGATGCTTGCCGGCTGTATCTTCCGTGACGTTGGAAGGAAACAAGATGGCGGCACGCCAAGTAGGGTAAAGTGTAATGGAATTGTTTAAATATCTTCAATTCTTCTAGCATTCTTACTACCAACTTACCTTGTAATACCAATTGTAAATACCACTCTGGGAGAATTTGACTGACCTGTTGAGCAAGCCGTGAGTGTTGGTTTCAGATTAAACTCAAAAACGCCGAGAAAATTCTAATTAATTCCACAGACTTACTTGTTGGAGAACCGGTATGTCTTCTTCGTTTTCTTTAAGATTATATGTAACAGTGTCCTATTGTTATTGGTTATTATGATCCTTGAAGTGAATTAAACATTGGTTAGATGCTTTCAACGTTCATCTTTAACGTGCACAGGAGACAAAAAAAAAAAACATGAATGGAAGTGTTAAGACGAAATACTGAGTCAGCGAGGAAACAGAAGAGGGAAATGTTTCATAGAAACCAGCAGCCAGTATAATCGACAAGAAGCGGCAATAACGACGAGTAACTCTGGTGCGTCGATCCGAAAGATCCATTCTCGCAGCCGATGGGGCAATCCACTCGTTACCTGAGTCTCTGCTAGATTCCTTCTCGAGTATATCATCAAGGACGCTGCGTTGCCGTTTAACGCGGTCTAGAAGCGCCTCGAGCTCCTCGTCGACATCCTCGTCTGCGCTCAGCGTAGCCTTCAAAGAGCTCTGCCTCGACAACGATCTCTCTATGGACTTGATCGATTCTTTGGAGTCCATTCTTTCGATCTTCGAGCTCTGTCGCGACAGACCATTCTGAACGGACGCTCTGCGCTCCTCCAGATTGCTCTCGACCGCCTTCTGCGTGATCGAATTCGTTCGTTCGATTTTTAAGCTCTGTTTCCTCAACTTGCTCTCCTCGATCGTGGGAGTCTGCGGTTGATCCAGCGTTTCCTCGTGTACCTTCTCCGACGAGGGTCTTCTTTCTGTTTTAGCAGTGTGCTTGGTCAGTCCATCTTCGAGGACAGCCGTCGCAGATTCTTTTACTGTCTCCTGGATCGTTTTCTCGGACGGTGTCTCTTCTACAGATCGTTCTTCAATGATCGTCTCCGTGAACAGGGTACCTCTGAAAGGTCTCACCTCGTCGAGGATCCTTTCCTGAAGACCGTTTCCATTCAACTCTTCGTACGATCCGTTCACCAGCTTTAGATCTTCTGATAATTCGGCAGATTGTATATCATCGTTGCTGACGTCCCTGGAGATCGCCTTCAGGGTGGACTCGTCGTCAGAGACGGACACTATGGAGACTCCTCGGTTCACCAGAAGCCTAGCACGATTGTCCTCGCTGGCATCCGAGAATTCCTCTATCAGGACACCATTCTGTGGCTTTTGATTGGACTCCTCTTGCACCGTGTAACTGTACGAGGCTATTTCTTCGACGCGTGGACCGTCACTGTGTAATTCCTGGCACTCGACCTTTGTCGCGGTCATCTTGCTGATCGTGTGGCTCTCGTCGGGACCTGCGAACGGTCTGGCTCGTACACAATACCTTTGACTAAAAACCTACTAGAGAGAGACCTTTGCTGCGAGCCACCGTAAGCAGCGAGGAACTCGCAGCCCGCCTTTTGGCTATCTTATATCGATAGCTTTCTTTTGCCACTCACACGACCGCTTTTACTCCGTTTGAGACTCGTGAAAGCATTGTTCGGTGTGGCGTTATTTGCTCTCCTGATGGCGACCTTGCGACTGAATGAAAGACAAAATAGATTTTGTAGATTTCTTTGCATTCGGTGGACGGTTCTGTTTTTATTTATTAAAAGCTTTTCTGTTTCGTAACTCTTGATCATTTCATCCAGTCGCAAGATCCACACTCAGAGGAATGGTTACGCGAACTGTGTAAATGACTTTGTAATGACTGACCCTATTCAGGGGTGAGGTGCGATATTACCTGTGAGTATTGCTTCGTGGGTCGTCGTGGAGGCGACGGAGATCGTGATCGTGTCACCCTGGCCGCGTATTACCTCGACGCTTTGTGTCTCCAGTTTCACTCGACCTGAGATTTACATTCAGACATAGTTTTTTCGGCAACGATCTACCCCCCAAACAATATCGGCTACCGGCAAGAGTATCATTGTATAGATCGATCTTGCGTTTGCGATCGCAAAAATTTCGGTGAACAATCAAAAAAGAAAACGTGTATGTGTGTGTGTGTGTGTGTGTCAAACAAAAACGGTTAACAAACGCGTCTGAAGCCTGGTGTGTGCTCAAGTTACGGCTCAAACGTTTCGACGTTTGTGTACGCCTTGGTTGTAAAAAAGTGTACACGGTGTGTAAGAGCGTGAACAAAATACAAAAAGCCCGGAACACGTTTCGAAATATGTAACCTCTTACCAAAATCGCACGACGATCGCGTCGATCACAGGACACACAGTTCTTACAGCCGTCGAAGCGTTTTTCTACAGCGTACTCAAATATCTCTCTATAATATGTACAGCTCACTCGTATTTTGCAAACTAACGGCCTCTTTACGCCTCTACTGATCGTTTTCTCAGATCGATAATCGATTACCTTCCGGTCCCGATTCTTCAGCTTGTTGTGGCGTCGCCTCGACATCCTCCTCCACGATTTTCTCCTCCTCCTCGACTGTGATCTTCTCGACGATCTCCTTTTGCATTTCCTCGACGCCCTCTTCCGTTTTTGCTATGGAATTTACATGTACACATTGGGACACGGGTCTCGACAGTAATCGTTCACGGATTTGGTCGTGTAACGAAACGAACGTGTAAAAAAACGGGGATGGAACACATAAAAAAATCGTACAGGTACGTCGTAGAGAATACTTTTGTGTGAGACACGAGGAGAGACAAGTAATTAACAGACACGTGGAGATAGAGACAGAGAGAAAAACGAGAAAAGTCAAACAAAGTGGTTCCGCGTCAAGGGTCTGGTGTGCGACGCCGATCTTTTAGTATATTCCGTTTGGACTCCGTGGTTTTTTGTTAAAATCAAACTTCCGTTGGAAATATTGTGACAAACGACTGTGTGCTTTCTCTCGTACACATTGGTTACGATGAATAACAAACCGAAAAACGAAACCGTATCTTTGCATCGGTACTTACTGAACACGTTGATAAAACACGACGATTCGCTGGTGATTGTCAAAAATTAAAAATTAAGAAATCGTGTACATCGGGCACGTTACGTATCTGAAGAGCTGCTCTATCGATTCATTTAACTCTGGAAAATTCTTCTGTGAATTTTTTTTCATTGGTACATAGTATTTTGTGTTAACAGATCAGAACATCATCGAGAGTGCAGGTCCACGATGGAGCAGCGCAACAATTGAAGTGTAATTGACACTGAGAGCTCGGTAACAGTTCTTAACCATGCGTTGAAGTCACCGGAGTGGCGCTAGTGTCGCTACTACTCGTTAGATTTTAATCATGAAAATTCATCGAATGATAATTCAAATTTCACTTAGAATAGTTTACGTAAGATTTGCAGCAAATTGCCAGCAATAAATGACAAAAGTTGTCTAAAAAATCATAGCCATCTAATCTGTATTTGACTTGGGTTTTGTGGGCAACACCAGCTGACAAAATGGTAAAGCAAATTGGCAGAAAGTCTTGCAACATGACCTATGTCAAATTGAGAACAAAATCGGGACAAGGTTTGCGCCAGCCAATTTGTTGCATATGTCGCTGCCAATTTGCTGCCTATGTTGCTGCCAATGTGTGCGCAAGGTGTTTATAGCAAATCTTGCATAAAACTTGTAGTAATAACTTTATAACAGGCATTAGACAAAATTTGACTCTACAAGTTTGGATGACTAGGTAGAAATCAATTTGTCTAGAAGAAAAATTTTAAAATAAGACCAACTGTCATCGAGCTCAAAGCGTCGAGAAATACTGAAATAGAAAAGGAATGCTTACTCATGACGATCACTTTGCTCTTGCTGGTTACATAACCGAGCTCATTCTCGGCCCTAACCTCGTAGACACCTCCGTCAGAACCCTTCACCAAAGTGACAGTCAGATCGTAACTCTCTTGACGTTTGCTGTCCCTGGTGATCTTGATTCTAGCGTCCGCTGACACTTCCTGCCCGTCCTTGAACCATTTCACCTCGGGATCCGGTGTGCCAGCGACTTCGAATATCAACTTCATGGTGTCTCCCTCCTTCACTCTCTGATCGGCGAGCTTCTTGATTAATTTTGGCCTCGAGTTCACCGTCAGTGTCGAGGTACTCCTTGTCTCACCGTACTCGTTTTTCACCATACAGGTGTACTTTCCCTTCATCTCCGACTTGACCTCCGACATCGTCAGCTTGTAGTAGTCGCCCTCCTCGGTGCGAGTGTATTCCTTCTTTTTTTCTGTGATCTCCACGTCGCCGATGTACCAATGGACGCTTGGTTTTGGGTAACCGTCCACTTCCACGACGAACTCCACGTTTGTCGCGCCCTCGTTCACCGTGACGTCGGTCATCTGCGTTTTGAACCTCGGGATGCCTTTTACCTGTAAAATTGACAATGGAATTTGAAACCTTTATCAGGTGCTGTTCTTCATGTTCATGTGGAACTTGAAACAGCATTTGCGAAGCGTACCTGAACCTTCGTTTCGTCGGACACCATGCCGTGATCCGATGATACTTCCGCTTTGTACACCCCGGCATCCTCGCCCACGGTACCCATGATCTTCAGGGCGAACCTGTTACCGTCTTTCATCATTTTGATGCGACTGTCTTGCGTGATCACCTGTCCGTTTTTGTACCATTTGACAGATGGCGGTACTCTGGACTCGATGTCCACGAACAACGTAAGATGATCTCCTTCGTTGAGGATCTGAGCATCGCCCAAGCCCCTGATGATTTTCGGTGGACTGAGAACTCTCACCTTCCAGATCTCCGTGGTCTGATTGACATCGTTACGAGCTACGATCGAATAAGATCCCGCGTCCTCCAGCCTGGAGTTCTTTATGGTCAGCTTGTAATGATCGTTCTCCTCTTTAACGATGCTAATTCGGCTGTCCTCCTTGATCTCCTGACCGTCTTTGTACCATTTCACTTCTGGCGCGGGGGTAGCTTCGATCTGCAGCGTCATGGTGACCGATTCCTCAATGATCACCGTCACGTCCGATTGCTTCTTGATCACTTTTGGAGCGGACTTGACGATCAGCTCGATCTGCGTGACGTCCTCGCCCAGTTCATTCTTCGCTTTGATGGTGTAGACACCGGCGTCCTTCGCGGTGACGTTCTTGATCACCAGGGACATCGACTCTTCGTCCTCCCAGAGGTACTTATACCTTCCACCAGCAACGATCTCATGCCCGTCCTTCGTCCATCTGATGTCTGGTTTAGGGTATCCCCTGATCTGTAGCTCCAGCATCGCCGAGCCGCCAGCGCTCACCTCTGAATGTTTCATTTCTGAGGCTAGCTTTGGCCTCTCCGGGTCCTTCATTAGCTGATGCACTGCTCCTTGGACCGTCAGCTCGGCGCTGCAGCTGATATTGCCTACGTGATTGATCGTTTGAATATAATATTTGTGAAACCTCCAGAACTAAGTTGGAGCCCTATTAGAATCCCCTAGTTAAGTGGGTTAGGCAACTAGGAAAGGAGTTTAAACTAGGTCCATCGTTTTCGTAGGTTCTTAAATACTAAATCCGCTAAAATATTTAATCCCAAGTTCACTATCAAGAATCACATTTTACGCCAATTACCTGTGGTGGTCTGCGCCACACAGGTGTAAAGGCCAGCATCCTCCGGCCTGACATGTTGGAACACCAGCGCCAATGTGTCGTCGTTGTCCTGGAAGAGGACCTTGAATCGTTCTTCGGGGTCGAACGGTTTCCCATCGCGCAGCCAAGTGAACGAAGGCTCCATTCCAGGCTCGAGGAAACTGTCAGGCATGAAAAGCATCTTGTCGTCGGTTACCGTCACCGTTCCTTCGCACGAGGTTTCGCCGAATCGATTTTTCGCCGTGCACGAGTACTTTCCGGCGTCCTGTTTCTGGACGTCATCGATCACCAGTTCGTAGAATCCTTTGTCCGCTTGCTCGGTGATGATTTTTACGCGAGGATGATTTGAATCGATCGGAACGTCGTCTTTATAACTACAACGAATAGAATTTAGAAGACATTATTATAGGACATCATTTTGGGAATCGAGAAAATAAGCTATTAAGTGGTTACAGGCGTACAATTTCATTTCAGGGTTCGGATCGCCCTTCACTTTAACCATGAAGCGCAGGTAGGTGTTCTCCAGGAGCTCGGTGTCCTTCAGACGCACCAGGAAGATGGGGGCGTTGGCTTCTGCCCTTGCTTTCTTCTCCTCTGGTGTCACTGTGATCAACAATGCAATGTAAACGACAAAGAATCACTTAAATATCAAACTCAACCAGTAGTTTCTGAGTTATCTGGAGAAAATATGAATCCCAGTACAATTTTCAATAACAAACTCACGTTTTTGGACCACAAGCTGAGCTGTGCAAGTGGACTGGCCCTCACTGTTCATAGCTCGAGCGATGTAAATACCGGAATCCGACTCCAGGACATTTTGGAGGGTGAGTTTGAAGGTCTTTCCGGTCGCAGAGGCGGTCACGCGATCTGCCAGTCTGTCCTCCAATGGTTTATTGTCCTTCAACCATTGGACCAGCGTCGTGGAATCGGTGTGCTGCAGAGTGCACTCGAATGTGGCCACTTCTCCAGCTGTGCCAAGGAATAGCCAGTTGGTACACAATAATGATAATGTGTGATATATGGGACACTAGATTTTATGGGCAAATTTGTTATTTGCCTGGTAAGTTTATGCAAGTTTATGTACAAGAGTATTCGTACTTTAGAAAATAGACTGAAGGGGAGGATTCTTAAATTGAGTGAAGCAGAGATCAAAATTGCAGTACAGGATCTTTGATCGGCGTATACAACAGTGGAAGGGTCTCAATGAATATACAATTATCTTTTATACTCATATACTACAGTGATCTATCTACCCAACAATTTGGTACTTATTCTATTCTACTTAATCGATACTGAGAAGCTGTTACAACACTTAAAATTCGGGGAATAAAACATGTAGTGTTCTATATAAAATTAGGCCGAGTGATAAATATCGATATAAAAAGAAGACAGTAAAACATTCAATAGAAAAATAGTTGCTACTTGGAAAAAATATATAGATAGACAAGTAAAGCGAGTTCGCGTTAAATGTGTGAGTCTGCAGAATGATGTTTCTGTTGTTGGTCAAGTGTGCGGAGAATGTGTGTAGTGTGTTTACATGGATGATACAGATCGACAACATCTAGGATTAGCAGTGAAGCTGAACCAACCGCCTAGTGGAACGTGGTAGAAGCGTTTTTACTCAGCTGGCTGTAAGATACCGGAAGAACATAGAGATATATCAACGACACAGTACGATAGAAGATTGAGAGACAGACAGAAGTGAGCAGTAAAGTGGATGATTCAGAATAAGTAGGCTTGTCACTTTACCTACGGCGTGTATCATTTCCACGTTTTTTTCTGGTATCTCTAGAACAGTAAAAATGTGTCTTATGTCCGGTGCTCGGTTTTCCTTTCACTCCTCGAACAGTACAAATCGTGTTCAACGAACATTAAACAAGAATCTTAGGAATTAAGGAACAAGTATTTGTAGTGTCCACAACTCAGATTATAATTGAAGAGTTTCGTTGAAACTCACAGGGCAGCTTTTCGGACACTTTATAACTGTCAGTTTCACTTACGTTCAACGCTGGATCCCTCGATCGTTTTGACGAACACGGGTTTCCCTGTGCTGCCCTCGGTGATCTTCGACATGCTCGTTCGTTCTACCGAAGACACGTTGCCGCCTTGGTAAGAACTGCTCTCCATCATCATCGCGCTGCTGGATGACTCCGCGAATGCGGATACACCGCCATTGCGGCTACTGGATACTGAAGAATACTCTGCAGAAAACGATGTCACCGTTCGTGTAATCATATTGCCAGCGGTAAAGCGCAACAACCACCTTTATTTTGCGTTTTACAAGGAAAGGAAACAGTCCTACTTCGATTTTAACGGGCTTTTGTAAGACGATAGTATACAGGTTCCTAATGATATATGTGAAATATTAGATGTAGACACTTGATAATTTTAATGATATACCTAACATCTTATGGGTCTTGGTGTCCTACGAAAATCACGCTGGTTCGGGCGCACTTCACATAAAAGTTTCCGCTTTCAGAAACTACGTTCGACACCGTGATGACGCACAGCACACAGACACTCGAATGGAATAGTGAAATGGTACGGGGCTTCTGAAGCCCCCGAAGCATGGGACTGAAAATTACATTGCATTGTTAGTTCTATTCTTATCTTTCAAATTATCTAATGTCTACACCTAATATTTCGATCAGAATCGGAAGTCGAACAGTTGGGGTCCTTCCCTTGTATGAATTAGAAGAACAAAAATCGTCAAAAGACCCTGGGGTAACTTAGGTAATCAAAGCAGTCGCCAGGAAGAGTCGACCGATTTCTTTTTCTCCACCGATATCGAGACCATATATTCACTCTCTACCTTCGACAACTTTGGACGAGCTGCTGTATCGACTCGCTGAGTATCTTCGAGACATGTCTGCGGTCTCTTCTTCGACCTTGGCCTTTTTGGTATCTGGGTTTTCTGGATTGCTCGGGTTGCCCCTCTTCTCCGCAACCTTTTCTTCAGGTCCTGGATTCCCTTCCTTCTTTGGTCCCGGATTCGCTTCTGCCTTTGGATTACCTGGATTCGCTGGGTTCGCGGGGTTTCCTGGATTCCCTTTTATCTCTTCTTTCGTTTCTGGCACCTCGGTCAATTGTAGATCGTCAGCAGCGTGCTCGGCGAGCGCTACCACATCGCTCGCGTATTGTCGGATCTCCTTCAGCCAGTAAGTCTTCACTGGATCCTTGTGGGCTACCAAAGTGATGGGATAGGCGGGACTCGAGGGATTGTGTAGCTCAAAAGATCGTACGTCCTCGGGATGGTCCTTCACCTCTACTTCCGGTAACTGGAATCACGAATTTTAAACCAAGATTCGAGTTGAACAAGGATGGCTTGAAAAACTTTGAGATTACTTATTCGAAGAGAAACTTTCTTTAAATTTTGTGCATTATTTTCGTAACCTTTTCACTCCCAAATTATTTAAAAATTACCAAAGAAATATTTTGTTGTATTTTTGTGTACATTACATGACTTATAAACGATTCACAAAAACATTTTAACATTTTGAAACTGTTTGATGCTGTTTTTTATTCGTTGGCAACTTTTATTACAGTTATAATAATATATATTATATACTCACGGATATGAAAAAATATATGATACTAATATTTTATTTCGCAATTTAAAATACGTAGCCATATGGCAACACTGGGAGCGAAAGGGTTAAACTGTGAATTTTATGGATAATCGAAAACTTTCGAAATGGTCGTTTAAATAAAGGTATACGATAAGATTAATTACTCACTCGAATAATATCTTTCAAGACGAACACAGATCTGTCTTCCGATATTCGTCTGACTTTGCAGACGAGTATGCGAGCTTTAAACAGAAACAGGTACCTTTCCTTGCTTTTGCCGTCCTTATCGATTACTGTGTACCACTCCTGCGAATTCAAGATAGTATGTAATAGAAGTCTAATTAATTCTGATCGACAATTAGAATGTACTAACGTGTGTGAGTAGCCTGCCAAGCTTATGGATATTTCCTTTGTATCCTTCGATATTACTTATGAATTTATTGTCCGTTGCCCTGTGGGGGATACCTAGCATCAACTCCAAAGCCTTTTGGAGGTCGTCGCAGTTTTCGCCTAGTCGGGTCGAATACTTCACCAGCTCCTGGAATTGACCGTGAATTCTTTATTATTAAAAATGAGAGGAAACTTAAAATTTCGGATATGTTTGGAAACTTTGGTATTTTGAATCCTCCGAAAACCTTGAAACTTTTAGTAATTTCAAATCTCCAAAAGTCTTACAAACTTTAATGCTTCAAAACCTCCAAAAATGTTGGAAATTTCAGTACTTTGAAATCTCCAAAAACCTTGAAAATTTGAGTACTTTCAAATCTTCAAGAATATTGAAAATTTTAGTGTTTCAGTTAGCTCCAAGGATTCAAGAAATTTCAATTCATTCTCAGAGAGAAGTATTCTCAAGATCAACATCAAATAACCGATCGCAAGAATCAAAGAGGATCAAGAAACATGGCGTCAGTATCAGGGGACAATGGATTTTGATATTCTTCTTTTTTTTTTCATTTCGTAGAATAGATAAAGTTTTTCCACGATAGACGGACGGGGTGAAGGATAACGCGTCGCGAAGATGACCCGTTTTTAGCTCGCTAAATCCGTACTGGCGCCCACTCGTTCGCACACCACCAAGAAACGCTCTGTCGCGGTATTACAAGCTACACCTCGTCGAACTCTGTGGCTTTCCTTGATCTATATCCACCAGGAATAATCATGGGATAGAAACGGTGGTATCGAGGCGTACGAATTCCGGATGGTCTGACGACGTGGTGTCGTACCAGCGGAACCATGTATTCTTGGCACATCGTAGTCACCTCCTAACTTGTCATTTATTCGTCCAATTCAACTGGCGAATTGTGAATAATTGTTTCTGTAAGAAATGAACGTACCACCTAATCAGCGGCGATTTAACCCTTTAATGGTGGAATTTTTTTTTGGAAATTTTGTACCTATTTGATTTCTTTATTCTAATAAAAGAAATATACTTTGCAATTTTGACTAAAGTTTCAATTTTTATAATAAAACGTATTTTATTTTCTCACATGACGAGTATAGTTGTCATTGTTCAAAAAGTGGTAATTTCTTTATGACGAGTATACTCGTCGAATACCGTAAAAATGTTAGTAACTTTCTCTGACCCAACGTTAAGTCGCGTAACAACTTACAGTTGAGAAACATAACGACAGCCTTGATACTGCAACAATGTTCTCCTCCATCCAGATTAAAAAGTAAATTAATAGGCTCCTTATTCATAAGTGCTGAAGCCAAAAACCCTATTAATAAGCTACCAGTCGGTAAAATGTTATAGAAAAAGTAGAACTGCATTAAACTAATTTCAATAAAATTAGAATATTAATTTTCAAAAAAATGTTAATGAATTTTACGTTTCTATTTTTTTCCTGAGATCTATAGTCTTCTACATATGTATATAGCAACTCGTGTTTCTCATTATTTTCGGGCATCTGGCCCAGTCTCGAATCAAAGTGATTCGTACGCCAAGTCAGAGATTTGCACGGTAACTAAATGGGATTAACTAGTTGTGATGATATTAATCAACTGTACCGATGGCGAATCAATTTTCTCTGGTGGTCGATACAGCAAGTCGAATAATCGAAATCCTTTTGAAAGAGTAACCTCTAACTCGAGAGGGTGGCGCGCTCTCGAGGGGTTAGGGATTAAAGTTCGGCACGCAACAATTAATCCGCACGGCATGCGATTTCAAGGCGAACCGGGAAGTATTTTAGCGCCGCGTGCTATTTTCGTCTGACAGATTGAAATTTCAGCACGGATATAGGTCACGTGCGGATTTTACAGGTCGTCGTGTCTGGCCGCCGTCAAATTAATTCTTCGTATAAATTCCGTTTATTGACGTGTCCCGCGACTTGACATTTCACGCAGCGCCCTAAAATACCGACTGTTATTCAGGTCAGTATTCATAAAAAATACCGTAAAAATGAAAATCCTTCTGTTTGATAGAACAGAAATTATATAGACCAGGTTTTCTAACAAACACCGTCCTAAGATCCTTTTGTAATTACTACCACTTCTAATAATTACTATTAAACATTGCGCATCTATTTATCTCTTAAATAAATTTACCTTGTAACACTTTTAGTATCCTATTCCATAATTCTAAATCGTTTGAAACATTAATGAAGCAGCAGTCAATAAAACATACGCTGTATAAACTAAATTTTCTCTCAAAGATTCGTGTTTCCGTTTCAAAACAAGACTCGTGCCAGGTGATGGGACGATCTATTAAATTGTACGTAAATAAATAACAATATCCGTGTTATAGATGCATACAGGTGATACAAAGTACGTGAAGAGGAGAATCTATGGAAACCTCGGGGGATATCAAACGAAGCATAAAGTATTAGGCGACGGGGCTGGCCCTATCGAATTTCAACGGCAACTTTATATGACGATTAGATATGCGGGTGGTTTATGCATAACTTGCTGGAATCCTTTCAAAAGATATACTCGGCACGCTGTATTTCTGTCAAACACCCTTGAAATGTATTTTGGATTTCGGTATCGCGGCGACGGTAATCGGTTCTCATTTTTTCGGAACAGGGAAGCCAGGAATGGGACGAACGAAGGGTGAAAATATAGTTTTTCCAGTGGAATCGTACCTTGAGTAGGAGCTGGTAGTCGTTTATGCGTTGTATCGGAAGCTTCAAGTGTTCCGATAGACTTTTGTCGTCACGGAGAGTCTGGCTCAGCTCCTGCAAACACGAGCTTACGTTAAACTTCCTCGAACTTGTGTTTAATTTCACTGATGAATAGCTCTTCCTTTATGAATTTCGATTAAAATAGAAGTCTTGAGTAATTGGTTTTTGAATGTTTACGCAAATTAAAATTTTCATAGACTAGCACGAAAAGTTAATCGAAGACCACTGAGTTTATTAAAATTATTCATGAATGATATATGTGCACAAAATCTGTCGTTTAGTGGTAAATGGACTGCGATATTTTAGGCACTCACAGAATACATTGTAATCTAGAAATCAGTATACTGAAATGTGCAATAACATTTGATTATTCTTTTATATTATTTGGAATCCGATAGAACCATTAATATGGTAAATAAATTTTTCTTGAACTCCAGTTTCTGCAAACTAGTCGATAATAGAGATAAATTATTCAAATCTGCGTACGATTTCTTAAGCAATTTCACCATTTTCTCCGAACTAAATACACCGAGCTTTCATTCTGAAAATAGACGCAAGATCTCGATTTCCATCGCACGGGAATTGGAATTACAAATTTCCACGGTCGATCCACGTGTTGCCCGTCACTGTAATTCGACACCAAGATGAAGAGTCGTGTATTTTTGGATGAGACTGGATTTTCCACGCAACTATTCGCAATCAGTCAAACGGTAAGCCTAACAAACACGAGGAAACGTTTACGAGCATACCCGAGAGAACAATGGATAATAAAACGTCTACGTAACGAAGACTTATTTATTCTTCTAAGACAATTATTCTTCGAAACTGCAACGGCTACCTCGCGAAAAATTCCGAATCTAGGAATCGTCCCTTCCAAAGATCCAGCATAGCAATCACTAATGTCACACTGTCATCGTTTCACCGTTCCAATCGAGATTGTACATAAACTCAATCTCGATTTTACACTTAATCCCAAACATTACTAAAACTTCCAAAATTCGAAATAAATCATTCGCACAAACTGTTTAAAAAGACACCAAACGTTCCTGAACAAAAATCGTCGAAGAATTCGATTTTCCGTTAAGACGAAATCGGGTGACGAATTGACGACCGATGATAAATTATCGACGGAGATCGCGGACCGGTTACCGATATATCAACCGGAAGGGCGGAGACGCACCTTAACGGAGGTCAAGGGACGTAAACACTGTTGTTCGTGTTTTTCGAGTCGTTGGTTCGATGAAGAGACACCGTGGCTGGTCGCAGACTGGACCCAGGGTCCCTGCTCTTCCGCCGATTCTCTTCCTCCGCAGTCGGTGGTTACCGAAAATCACCCGGCAGGAGACCAATACGGCCACGGCTATACTTAGACGCCGGACGAACTCGTGGACTGACCACGCACAAAAACAACACGGACGCACAGTGGTCTGAAAACGCGTTTTTACTGGCCAAAAGAGAAAATGTCATTGAAACTTTCTAAATAAACTATATACAATCTATAAAGTGTGCAAATTATTTAAGATTTTTCAGAAAAAAATGTACCCAAGATACAACAGGTTCCCCTACAATCTTGTTTCAGCGAGTCCTCTGTCGGATAAGAGTAATGTTCATCGTCGTGAAAGACGTATGAACCGCCCTATCGCTGCTGAATCGGCATCCCCTGATTTCCTGCCCGCCCCGGGACAGACGCCCTTTCCATGTCGGAGCGTGTTTAATAGCCGTGACCGAAATAAACGTAAATCGAATCCAAATAAAACTACGCGACAAAATGGAAACCCGTCTCGTAAACACGGCTAATCTACGAGAGTCCCCTAATGCACTTAATGCGACCGCGTTTGAAACCAGACACGATTCGACCGGTCTAATTTTAATATCTATATCATTAAAACGGTTCCGCGAGTCTTCACGAAAATTTCGTCGATCTTTTGAGTCAAACCTCCCGAAATAACGAGGCGAATCACGGGGAGAAAAAGGCGAACAACAGGCTTCGATATAATAAAACGGTTGCAGCAATGATCCGGCCACCCACAGTCTTCGCGTGTTATGGATAACTGATTTCAAATCTAAATGTTTCGGCGAAATTTCGAGTGGAGAGAGATTTCGAAAAAAAAAATGATCAACCCGCGAGAAGCACTCTATAAGCACACTTCAGTTGAAGTTATGGGAATGCTGTGTATCGAATCTTTCAAGAATACTAGAGATTAGAACTGAAGAACTCTATAAAGTATACGAAATAGAAGAACTTTATTCTCTACTCTAAATAATCTTTGGAGAAATAAACAATTTTACCATTCTGTTATTACTACTCCACTCCCACTATTCTTAGTTTCGAACGAAAAGTCTAGAAGATATTTCCCATTGAAACCGCCATTCATAATTCACTGTTCAGTTCAATTATTTTGATGGAACCGATGCTTCTTTTTATTCATCGGCCCTAAAGTGTACAATACGGCCGTAAATTATGCAGTACCAAACTCGAAACACCCCGTACACCGTATATAGCGTACAGTGGTGAACGCAGGACTCCATCATCGAGCGAGGATTACGCTGTCATCGTGTAATGACAGCCAACCGCGACGTCACCGGCCGATAACGTGCGGCGCTTTCTTCCTTTTCTTTCCGGGGCCACGCGTCTCGAAGCGAGACTGTCGTGCATAAGCAAGAGGAGCGAAAGATGTTCCACGCGTTAAGAATAAACCGAGCTATTTCGGGGTCTGGACAGACGCCCGCTTACCCCCGCTTGTTACGTAATCGCGAAATTTCCTCCGATTCGCATGGACAAAACGCGTGCGCAACAACCATGGAGGGAACTGGAAGGCGTCCTTCGTCACACGTGAATTCTACAATTTTCCTACTCGCACTGTGACAAGAAAAAGAGATAAATTTTCCATATAAATAGTTAACGAAAACTACAATTTTATATGGATCTTTTAGCGTGTGACGATAATAAATTTTGACTATTTTCAAAGATGTAGAGAAATAAAGATCCAACGGTCTATCCGAGATTGTATTGGAAAACGGATGTGTTTTCGAATCGGGGGCAAAGATCCGTGGCGCTATGGTAGCTGTCGTCAAATCGGCGAACTAACAAGATGGCGGACAGGAATCTTCTTTACCGACTCGCGGTTTCGTTCCACGAAATTTGCTTTTCAAGAAACTTTGTCTGTAACGCATTTGAAGTTTTGTTTTTTGAGTTAGTGTTTTAATATATTATTTTTGTAGATTGTTGACTGACCTCAAAATATTCTCGTACGGAGTCGTTCATCTGCAGGAATTCCTGGGCAGCTGGTTCGTCCCTGCAGTAGGCCACGTGCTTGTCGAAGTCCCTTTCCTAGTTCAATGAAGAATGAACTTTAATGTTAAATTTATTACACCAGTCGAACATTTCCGATCGATTACAGTATTTTATCACTGAATACATAAGAATTTATATCTCAGCCACTGGGGCCCCACTACGTAATTAACCCTTGGAGTACGGTTACCGGGTCCGTTTGGACCCAACAGTTTAACAGCTGTATCTAATTTATCCATTTGTAAATACAATTTAAGCTAGACGTTGTTCGTATTTAGTCATATAAAAGAGGCAGGTGTTTTTTCATGATTGCGTTCGAAAGTATGTTTAAAAAGAAGGAAGCGTAGGGTTTCAAACGGACCCAGACACCACTGTCTCTACGAACATTAAAAACGTCCGTACTCCGAGGGTTAAATACAATAAGAAAAATGATTCATTTGTGATCCAAAATGAAACCAATACTTTCATGTATCTTAGACTATCTAATTTGAATTGTATAAAGTGTTTATTTATTTCGGGTAAGAGAACTTTGTGTTTAATTTTCTTGACACGACTCACCAATCGTAGAAAGGTCTTGCCCAGCATACGTGGCTGATCCGCATAGTACTTGACGCCCTCGATCAACACCCTGCCGAACGATCTATGTAAGGTACGAATTAATTTTCAACGCTAAACCACACACCATGCCTACGAGCCGGGGGCCACGTCCTCCTTCGATTCAGTGCGACATTTAGGGGTGCAATTATAACACGAACGATAGGTCAGGATCGTTAATCTTCTACAATTCGGTGCACCATGAGACTATCTATTGTGCTGATTAAATAACAAGGTGTTACACGCAACGAATGCTGCAATACTGTTATTAAATACTTCTGGAATGAGACACAAGTCAATTACAATATTTTATTCCGCCTGTTGGTAAATGGGGGAGGGGGGTAAGATCTGAATACTTTTCAACGAGCCACGACAATTGTCTGACTATGCAAAAACTGTCGTTCTCGTTGAAAGAATGAATTTCGGGGTCAATGAAAAAGCGTGCTCACATCACTACCACGGAACACACGATCACACACACGACTATATTACCGGACTTACGCCACTTTGCTCTACGATCTAAAGAGAAAGAAACGTGCGTTGACGAACGTGTGCGATGCGTGTCGTGTATGTATCTATTTATAATTTTGTACCGATCATTGTGAATGGGTTCTGTCTGTTCCCTACCGAATTATGGGTGTAAATAGACATTCATTGCTTACAAAAAAAAATATAAATACAATAATTTGTGTCCTCTGCCCAGCGCCGGATCAAGGGAGGTCTAGGGGGGGGGGCTGTAGTCCCCAAGTTCCAGGGGGGGCCCCGTTCTGAACTTTCCATTTCGTTATGATCAAATGTCATTTAATTTTATTTAAAATAAATTTCAATTTTTGTCTAGCAAAGGGACCCCCTGGACTACAAAAAAATCTTAATCCGGGCTTGCCTCTGCTATGTATGTATCTTTTCGAAAAACAATGAACAAAGATCGTTTCTTTTGTGATGAATGTCTGTTTAGAAGTGTCGCAGTGAACTTGTCCAATCTTTTGCCAACGCGTCCTTTATACGTACGTATTGTGGAAATCAGCGATCTGCTTCAGGTTCGTGAAAATGATGTCTTTGTTGTCGCGCACGATCCGCGGGACATCCGGATTGTCGAGCGGCTTCAAGTAACGTTCGACGACCAGCTGAAGGTCCCTGCCAAATTCCTCCTCGGTCTCGACCAGCTCCTTCACTACCGCCCTACGAGAAATCAAACATTTATAAGTTTATAACAATACCACCTTCGATGGAATTTCTTCCATATTCTCGATCATTTTAATAAAACTCACTCTCTTCGATAATGCGAGTCCTCGGGTCGGTGTCCAATCGCTGTGTCCTCGCTGAGGGCGGTTTGCATTAGTATCGACATGGGCAGCCATCCTTCCTTTGAATCTGCTGTACGAACGTACACTCTATTGGGTAAGAAAAATTTCAATTAAACTGAATGTTTCTTTTCATACGAGAAGAAAGCAGAAGCTTAGTAATTGTTAACATTAAAAATTGTGGCAAAGGAGGTCTGTGGGGGCCAAAATTCATCTCAGCAACGAGCAGTTTGTAGTTAAAGAATTAAGATCAGATTGTAAAAATATGCAAAGATTGATAGATATATTGTTCGTGAACTAAAGGGAGGGGGTTGAAAGAATATAGAAGTCTCTATACAGGTTGTTTCACAAAACGGGGACACAACTTCGTGTAAATTTAGTCGAAACGTGTGTCCGTCGCCAGTAATATCCCCCTAGTCCACTTTAAATGGTACTGACAAATTCAAGGCCTAATGGGCTGAACAGACCGCCAACAAATATATTCTTTGGAATATAATGAGAAGGTATTTTCATATCAACGATTTTACGTGTAAATTAGTCATAACCTGGCCTGCTTCCGGAATAAGAAACAATTTGCGTCCGTTTTGAACCAATATGGCGGAATTTTAACCTTAAATCCTTCTTCAGTCGGCCATTATTCTGATCCAAAATAATTTACACGTAAGCTTTGCAAGTTTCTGATTTATTTATACTAGATGCGATGAAATTGTACAAAATATTGTACACGTTGTCTGCAGTTACTAGGAACGACACAAAATTCTTCGAATAATGTGACGGTCCTGACGTAGCTGATAGTAAATAACTCGCGATCCATTGAACGTCGTCGTTGCCAAACCACCGAATCGACGTTTCTCAGCTTGAACCTCACCTTTACTCGAGCTTTATTTTCAGAACTGGCCGATATTTCACCTTCCTCGGAATCGGCTACCGGTCCGCGAGCCAATAGAACGTAACCAGTTAACTCGTTAAATTATGCAACCGAATTTCATTTAGCTGCGCGACATTTCGGTTTGCGAATCGGTGGAGGTGTTCTCCAAAATTTGTCTCCTTCGAGATCTTCCGGCACTTCCTACGATGGCGCAGGACGAAAGAAAATGATGATAGATTTAGAAATGTACTGTTCGTAAATCATTGCGGGATTTCGCTACGCTGTTGCAATTTTCGCGATGCGTCAATTTTGATTTTTCGAAACACGATTTATACATTATCGACTCTGCAACTGTTCTGGCCGCTGGCCAATCACGCAAAGTGTCTCGGGGATATTATTGCCGTAGGGACGTTTATAAACGCTTCATCTTCATTAACGTCGTCGTAAATTAACACGGTCAGTTTTATCTTGGAGTCCACTCGAGTTGAAACATCATCGATATTAATATTACAAACAATGTTGTATTGTCCTGGTATCAAAGATTAAATTCTCCGGTCAGAATATAATTGGGCTTCTCATTCTAGGATAGGGCACTCAGAATCACTATTCTTTGTATTTTGTCAAACTTTTATCCTTAAGTAATAGTCATTTAAGGTTTTAATAGTTACTCAAGCTTTCATCCTTAAACCTTTCGATACTATGGACTACAGTCGTTCGCCATGAAGTAACTACCATTGCGGACCTAGTTTCTGACCAGAACCCAATTTCTGATGAGTTTAGTATATAAGTACCATATAATAATTTTATTATGATAAAAGTGTTTTCTATAAAATAAGTGCGATCAAACAGACGGTCGATAATTCTAGTTACATTCCCACCAACCGCCGATAGACGAGGATAATAAGGACGCATAACAGCCATCTAATAAACAGGCGAAGCGCTTCCACGGAATCAGAAAACCAGCGATATACATTAATGACCGAATAGTCGTCTTCAGTATAATCCGTAAGGTTGAAATACGACGAGTTCATTGGCTCGCGCCGTTAACATAATGCCCCAGGGCTACTGTTTGACCGGAGCACCTGTCGTTGCTATATCTCGTGCACGGATTTAGTCGTGCGAGTCCCCATGTAAAAGCGCGCTCGCGTCCAGTCTTCGTTGTTCAATGGAGCCCGCCACCTTTCTTCGATGCTTCTTGTTATTGTTCGATCGTTGAACCGACGTTCGCATCGAGGGGAACTTCTCTTGGCTCGGACTCTTCGTAACCGCGTCGTCCATCTCCAATACCAACGAATTCGAAAGCAATAGTGACGTTTTAAGAGTGACGGTCGAGGTAGCGTAATTTATTGCTCGGTTCGCACCTGTTGGGACCATATTTTAGTCACACTCACAGCCTTGAGGCCTAACGATGACACGCCCTTGGCGAAGTTTTCGGAGTTCAACATCGGTTCAGTCGACGATCTTCGTCCAGATTGCCTTGGATTGTGATCTTCTGGTTCCTTCGAAAGATGATCTGAATCGTGATGATTTCAGCTGTTACGGTTTCTGTTCTTGTGATTTAATATAGTGTTCGATGATGATTTATATGACACATTGAAAGACGGAGGTTTGGCCACTTCTGGTTCAATTTAGAAATGAGAGTTTCTGATGTTATAAGTGTAGGTACTCCTTCTGGTGAAACTCTTTCGTTGGGATGGTTTAATGTGATTAGGTAAAGTAATAAGTAATCATCTATTCTGTTAAATTCGGTGTCGAAAAAGGATATAGATCCTCTTACGTTAATATAGGAGACTATAGATACAATGGTATCAACTGTGGCCATCAACGAAGGGACTCCTTCCCACAAAGATCCCATTCAATGGAAGATCAGTCGAACGCAGAAGTAAGGTAACCACTTTCCAGTCAGTACTCGGATCATCTTTACTAAATTTGCTTATGTCTAAATCTGCATTAATCCAGTGGTACCAGCTGTATTTACCAACACTCTTTACTCTA